TCCAGACATCTCTTGGTACTAACGCGCATAAATGATCAAACAGCGAACGACGCACGCAGTTTGCGACACCCACGCTTGACCTTCCAACATTGAAGGAAGGTACGAGTCGAAAAAAAAAGATCTCGAGAATACGAACGCATTACGTCATTGTCGCTCGAGGAACCCGATTCGATCATAATTACATAATTACATAATTATATTTATTGGCTTGTTAATAAATTTAGTTGATAAATTTTGTAGATATTTTTAGGATCAATGGTATGATTTACGATAGATTAAAAAAAAAATTTGAGAGATCTTTTAAAATCATTAAAGTGCATAAGTGAGAATCTGACAAGCATTTATAATTTGAAACTAAATGATGCAACGAAGCAACGATTAAAAAAGTTTCTAGAAAGCTATCCCATTTTGCAAGGTAATTACAGTGCAAAGTAATTGAAGCGCTTGCTAATTATAAGTCATTTTTAAACATCATGAAGAGATGATATATATCTACAAGTGTTCTAGAACGGATATAATTTACATTACAAATTCTTGATTTTGTTAGAGAATTGCACAAAAGAAGAATATTTTCATTGTAAGAGAGACGTTTAATATAAGAGAATCTAAAAAACAAAATTTTTTCAAAATGTTTAAACACATTTTTTTAATATTCTATGAACACGGGAATGTTGGGCACGTATTTCACGCGAGCGTACACATTCAACACGCACTGAGAGAAAAAAGGCGCGTGCGACACAGAACGTGAAGCTCGTACGGATAAATCTGAAATGGGAATTTGGAACAGCAAGGAGGACCGCGGGAACGGTAGCGGTTGGCTTATAAATAATTGATGAAGAGAGGTACGATGCAGTTTCGCTTGCCGCCGATTTGTAATTGTAATTTCGCGAGGTGCATGCCCAGTTAAGCAAAGTAATTATGGGCAGATTTCGTTATCGGGACACGTGCATGATCTATGGAAGACAAACGGGATACTGTGCCGGGATCTCAAAGTTGCTATTATTTTTCTCTCTCGATATTCTATTTTGCTCGTCTAACTTTCGTTACGGCAAACAATGCATTTCGAAACAGATATTCAAATTGATATAATATCGATAGAGATTGGAAGAAAGGTTTAGAGTATTATTGTAAAATATATATTTCCTTGTTCTTTCGTTATAATTGAAAGTATCATGATATGTGACGTAAGATCCTTTTTTCACATGGGAAATATTTATCAAACTTATATAACTTTTGAATTCCATTTCCGAGAAACGCTTCATCGAAAGTATAGAATATATGTATAAAAAGTTTGCATAGTTGCACGCGAAAATTCAATTCGTCTTCGATAAAATATAAAGTTCAAGGTTCTTCGAGAGCATTGTTGGTCATGCGAAATGATTGGTTTTCGGTCTGTCGAACGCCGTAATCGCAAGGAATACCTGCGTCCAACATTTCCACGATTCTTCTTGCCCCTCTTCCTATGGCAAACAATGCATTTTTAAATCTGTCGTAGCCTTATTTTTTGAAACGTAATATTTGAAAGTAGGAGACTTGGGGGATCGATATTCCGCAGGTCATCCGAATGAAGAACAAACGTATATAAATAGATAATTTCTAAATAACGACTATTCTTTTGTATAAAATCGAACGAATAAAAAGCAACTGGATGAGTCTCTTGACAATATATTTCATCTTGCATTATGTTTAGAAGAGAAAACATGTCATATATTATGTATTATACATATTAAAAAAATAATTTTGAATATATGAAAAAATAATGATCGTACTATATAGACTATAAAGATTAGTATAAATTAAGGAACTATTAAATTTATCATTTATAATATATTGTCAAATTTTGACAATTTTTGACGATGTTCAATAATATTATAAAAAAATTATTAATTCGTTTTCATATTTACAATAAAATGGTAATTTAAATTTGATAAATTTGATAAAACGTTTTTAAATATAAATTTATCTCTATTCAGTATTGAATAATGAAAATGTTTCATTTATACTTTGAAGAAAGTATATTTCTTATTGTAAATCTCTCTTTCTACAGATCGTATTGACAACTAATTTCCGCGGCAAAGCCTGTGGTATTTCCCGACAATAAAAATAGCATTTTATACGGAAAACGCGCGCGTGAGATTTAACAAATAAATCAAAATAAATCACATAAGCGAAATGATTTCCTTTTTTCATTTGTAGTAATATTTTTTTCATATGTGGCAATATTAATTTTTTCATATTGTGAATTTGATAAGCGACACGGATTATTTCTCGAAAAGCATTTCAAGATTTTTTCTTAGAAACCCATTCTTAACACAGCGCACGAAATTGCTATTTAAAATAAAAATAGGACGCAGTATAATCAATATAAAAATATTTGACAACTTCACAAATAATGTCTCCTATATAAATTAATTTTGTGAAATAAAACGTTTCATATATACCGCTAACTAAATTAAAATTAAAATTTTTAATAGGTTAATCGATTTCTACTTGCAGCGAACAGCCCTATCTATTGTCGCGAGATGCAACTGCGATAAAACTCACCTTATTAAGGCAAATTGACATTAACTCGTCGAAAGTCGGCCAATCTTCCGCGTTAGTGAACGAAGTCTATGAAAGCAACAAGGAAGTAATAAATCTTGATCTAAATCGTGCTGCCAAACATACGACTCGTTTATATCAATTCCTAAGATCACCTCTATTACTCTACTCTTTTCAACCTTGAACTTTGTACTTCAATGAAATTTCCAAGTAACATCGATAAGTTGTTTCGAACTCTTTGTACGTGAGCGATATACTTAGCGAAGAAATTTATTCTGGCTATAATATCGTGAAATTTATTATATTAATGTTATTTTTAAAATTCTATTATAATACGTAATACATTTAAAAAAATAAAAATTATTTCTTTTATTTCTTTCAAAATATATCGAAATATTTTTAATAATGGAAAAATATGTAAGTTTAAAATAATAATTGTCTAAAAAGAAAAATAGTTATTCACCGATTATTAATTTTAAATAACGAGATATATCCAAATTATTATGCAATATGTATATCCGAGATATGTTATAATTGGATATATTTGGATATATTGCATACAATTAAATTTATAATTTATTTTCTTTTAATAAGAACTCTCTTTTAGTATGAAAAAATAATAAGGTAAAGTAATAATGGGATAAAATAATATTTTTATCTTAATTAAAAATATCTCAATGTTGAACAACAAGACTATTATTTTAGAATAATTTTTTTCACAAGTATAAAAATATCTCAAAATACTATTATGGTCAAAAATATCTTTAATATTATATAAATTAGAGAGCTCTCTTTTTATAAAAATTATTATATTATTAAAATTATCTTTTTTTATTAAAACAAGAATATATGTCATTTTTATGCGTCTCACTCTACATATCCGCATATTTAATAATAATATTCACCTAGCCACCACTTGATTATGTCACTGATTATAATGAAAATAGAAATGAAAAAAAAATTAAGCTACTAAAGAATTTATGTACGAATAAATCACACTTGAAACTTATTATTAGTCACGTGTACATATTATATAGGGGTTTCTTTTCGATCGCTTGTCAACCTACATTAACTATCATCACGGTTGTAAGGGTAGAACTTTGTGAGATGGACATGCGCACTGCCACACAATGTCAGTACGTTGTAACAACACAGTTGTGATGGTAACATTCACAGTGCGGTAGTTCTATCAACGTTGCAATGTGCGCGTTAGCCGATTATTAAATCATCCGCCCCAGCTAATCGTATTTCGTAACTTTCGAAATTCATCATTTCGCGATTAACCACGCGATCGCCTGTGAAAACATTCAACAGCATTCACATACAAATTGTAGTGCTATATATACGCTATTTCTCACATCAATGTTGACATTGGACACGTTTTGTCATGTTTCGTGCAAATTTAATTGCATGAGAGTATGAGATTTAAATTCAAAGTAGAGAATGCATATTAACGTTTCAATGACACTTTGTTTTATTTAGCCTATAATATCAAATTGACACTTTCTAAAAATTTGCAACTGTTTGTTATCGTAGCCGCATTGATTTATCAAAAACTTCCTTCAATATATCTGCTAATGAGATTGCGGGCAAATTAGCTTCGACTTAAATCATATTGTCTATGACTTAAATTTAGATTGACAGTTATAGAAAATTGCATTTCTAAAAAATACTCGATATTTTTTAAAAATTTATATTTTTAATTATTTATACTCTTCGTCGCAATTTTATTAATTTAACAAAGCTTATCCTTAATAAGTTAATTCAATTGCGAATATTTAAATAAATTTTAGAAATTATAAAACAGTCCATGTGATATTGTTTTATAAAAAGATATATTATTTGCTCTAAAATATAAAACTTTTAAAATACATAATTGTTTTTATTCTTTTTTTATCGCACGTATTTTAACTTAACAAGGATTTCTCTAGATTTATTAATGGCCAAATTAAAATAAATTACGAAAATTGCGTTTCTTTAATAATAAATTCTTATTATACGCGCAAAGAATTAAATTCAGATGAATTACACACTCAATTGTAATTAAATAAACGCGACAAAATTACAAAATAATTAAATAAAAATTCATTAAATGCAGCGAATAATACATACTAATACGCAAAAAATTATTTATAAAGATTTAAAAGTTAGCATAAGCAAGAGGCACGCACATCGTGGCAATTTAACTAAATTTTCGATAAACTGCTTTAATAAGGCATTTTTTAATAATGCTCGACCTGCCTGTTGAGCACGTAAGTATTTTGTTTCGCAAAGTTTGAGAAGAAAAAGACTATGAACTTGATGTACAACGTCACGACCTTTACCTATTATCGATATAGATTTTCTCGTATGATTATATATATAACTTTTTATTAAAGTTCTTTCGCACATTCTCTGTTTTAAAAACTCAATATTAAATTTAAAGAAAAATATCATGGAACATAATCATATTCACATGTTTTTAAATTATTTATCCCGAAAATTCGCATAATGAATGACAATATCACGTGAAAATGTGAACTATGAATTCTACGACTTTGAATTCTATAAACGAAACTGAAATAATTATCTGTATGAGTTCTAAAGATATCAAAGATATCAATAATTCGTGATTGGATAAAGCAGCAGTTAAATTTTCAATATAAGAAGATTTGTGCAAGGATTTCTTAGGAAGAATATGACAGTTTCTTAGGACTTTCTTATGACCAATGACATCCAAATAGAAAATTGATTGAGAAATCGATAAAAAATATGCATAATCGACCGCAACAGCTGGGCACTCGCGGAGTTTCCATGGACATGAAAACATCATGGGCCGCACAGGAATATGATTCCATTAATTTGGAAACAATGGTACAAGTTTTATAAACTTGAAAATTAATTATATATTGTAAAAGATATCAAGATATCGATCACTGTAAAATATTGAAATTTTAAATATTTATAGTTTACAAAAATATTTATAAATGTAGAAAGGTATAATCGCTAGTCGAATAATCAAAGGATTATTGAAAAAATTATATTCGACCAAACTAGCCAGAAATTTCCTTTATTTAATACGACGTTTCGACCATATGGTTGTGGTCCTTAAGGGTCAAGTATATACGATGAAATATAATAATCAGGAGGCAAACATAGCACTTGTAAAAACCATCACGAGTCACAAATGAAAAACGTTATATAATGATCAATTATATAACGTTTTTCATTTGTGACTCGTGATGGTTTTTACAAGTGCTATGTTTGCCTCCTGATTATTATATTTCATCGTATATACTTGATAAGGACCACAACCATATGGTCGAAACGTCGTATTAAATAAAGGAAATTTCTGGCTAGTTCGGTCGAATATAATTTTTTCAATAATCCTTTAAAAATATTTATAATTTAACTAAAATTACTGGTATGTATTATAATTGCAAAACTTAATCAGTTAGTGAAGATTATTGATCGGTTAAATTAATGGAAAATTGTAGCAACGAGAGCAAAAATATCATTCAATCAATATACCTTATTCAGTGAGAAGACGAGAAAGATTCATTACAAGTAAGTAATCGTATCGTCAAAACGGGCCAACGTCAGATCTTTCGTAAGACGTTGCGCACATTTATCTGCAATATTCCGAAGCGGAAAAGGAGAAACCGCAGACACGAGAATGAAACGGGAATGTTGCTTCCTCTATATATGGTTATGTGTGTCAGAGTCGTCGACTTCTCGAATCTCGAATAGCCCGTATGCCTACGCGATACCTAATCCATCGAATCGTTTTTTTCCTTTTTAAAAATCATTTCGTGCGTTTTTAACGCATCTAAAACGAATACAATTTTAATGCAAAAAAAATTAATGTATTATATATTAAGCATTTTTATTTTGAACTAAAATATAGGTCGACTATTTATGTTCCATGCCTCTTATTCCTTCACTGTTTATCTTCAAATATATTCTTTCACGCTTAATTGGCAATCAGCTACTAATGGATGTGTTATTAGCAAATAGTCGTATCATAATATCATGTTTCACCAGGACACAATGGGTATAGTTAGTATTTGTAATGTGCATCGATTGTCAGAATCTCGCGAATATATATCAAGGATTTGCCAATACAATAACAATGCATTTACGAGCATTTATCAGGTCAAAACGTAACGAAAACTTTATAAAAATAAAATTGGCTCGAATAATAAAAATTAAGGTTAATTAAAAATTGGCAAGCAACTTTATTGATTACATAAAGTTTTCAATCAATTAAAAATTGACAAGTAAGAGCTAATGGCTCTTACATATTATAATAACACATATATTATATAATAACACATTACAACAATGTATAATTTAAAGATCTCTAGCTAATATTTTTATTTATTGTACCTGAAAAATACTTCTCCTATGTAATGCTGAAATAATCTATAGTAATATAATTGATTGTTAAAATTTCATAATCATTTCTTTGTTAAAATTTTATAATCATAAAGTTTTCAAAATTTTCCATATTTTCCTATTATTCTACTATCATGAGTATAATTAACGTTCCGTTGTCATTATTAATTACCTTTCTGATGAATCTCGAGTTTGCGTTCATAACCGTATGGTATATAGAGACAAAGTGTTCAATATAGCGGGTTCATTAGGAATGAATCAATTAGTGGTGCATCTGATTGCCAGTGCAATCATCGAAGAGATATGCAATTAGGAGAACTAAATGACTATTGAACCACAATTGATCTTTGCTCCATTTCTATTTCCTCAGAAAATGACTATGATGATATAAAAAAGATCTTATTATGAATATTTATAAAACTAATACAAATCAATTTGATCGCAAAAAGTAACAAGATTATTAAGTCTTAAAAAAAATATGTATAATTTATCTTATTATCATAAAATAAAATGATTCAATCTACAACTTTTTCCGTAAAAAGCCTTCATTATCAACTATTTTCTTATATAACTAAAAATTAATTTATAAATTGATAATTATAAAAAATTCATGTAGAACGAATAGCAACGTTTTTCATCAATTTTACCGCCAATTCTTTTGCTAAATAATCCGAATTTTATTTAATTATTTATTCAATTGTTCGAAATATAATATCAAAGATAACATTGATATTCTTCAAGAATTGCAGAAGGTTGAAACACACAGCGAGCGTCGCAGGGAAAGACGGACGATCCGCTTTAGCATAATAACGAGTTTACTAACCCCCTCGCATGTAGGTTAGAGGTGAATCGATGAGACGGTTGCCGTGTAACCTGCGGTATAGAAACTCGCGCGATACCGTGCACTCACATGCGAGCCGACGTACGTAACCGCGCGACGTCGGTCCGCATTTCTGCGCGGCGACATGCCGAAACTCAAAGCGAATTATCCGGAAATGCAGGCCCGCTTCCAGCAGAAGCAACTGCAGGAGAAGGAGCAGAAGCTGCTGCAGCTGTACGATCAGCAGCAGCAGCGAGCCTATCAAGTGGTGCAACGGGGTAGCGCGGGTTCCAACAGTTCTAATCACGGCGGTTCCACTGCAACTAGGACCACAGCGACGACAACGACTCACACGACCTCGACCTCGCAAGGTGGTAAGGTAAGTGATTTCGCGGAACGAACGAAGAATAATACCGAGTGGAGTTACATCATAATTTTGCACGCGTCAGCTCGAGTCGTGATTCATCGCGCGCTTATTATTAACGAAAGTAAATCTGAGAAATAAAGACGAATTCCTTGTTCGGAGATTATAAAGAGAAAAATAATTTTAATTTTTCAAATTATCTGTTTAAAATTTCAAATGTATTGTTACAATCGCGCAAGGTGAGGCAAATGTTCGACGAGAGGCGGCAAACCACCGTCAAGGGAATCGACAGGAGTTACCCTTTGGAACCGCTCGAGAACAAGTCGCGGAAGCAAACGAACAGCTTGGCGACGCAAAGGAACGGAAATTCGATGGTGAACCGGCAATCCGTCAACGTGAAACGCATAACGCGCGCGGATGTCAATAGTAATGTTAACGGCGGCAAACCCGTCGTTTCCTATCACGAAGAAATCATGCGCGAGTCATTCGGACCATCCGTTATCGGACGTCGTCATGATGACGAGGACGAATTCGTTGAGAATCGCGTCGCCACATTTGCTAACGGATATCGTCATGAAGCTGACAATGAGGTTGGTTGCAAACAAAATCCTAATGTTCTGTTGTTCTATTCTTAATTTAATTGAATTAATTTAATTTAATTTAATTACTCATATGTGTGAGATTATCGATAATTATTAAGAGTACTGAAAAACATTCCCTTGAAATGTGTATTTTTTGATGCAGCTACTTTATCAAATATGTGTACTTTTTGGTACAGCTACTTTATCAAATATATTTTATAAATGTATTATTTTTTAAATTTATTCTATTAAAGCAAGAAGAAGTAATAGATCGGGAGACAGTAGAGAATAATCGCATGATGGCGAAAATCCATTTAATGGGATTCGATGAGAGTCTAAAACATCACGTGAGGAACGATTTAGAAAACGAGGAGTTTCCGGATGACCTCATGGTGGACGTGCCCGATAGACTTCCGAGGAGAAACGTCACGAAAAAATTGTCTCAAGCAGAAGCGCGACTCGAGCGATTCAAAAACGCAAACGCGAAGAGAAGCAACATGTCGAAACAGTTGACTTCAACGAGCAACGTGATAAAAAAGCGATCCGAGCAAACGACAAAATCGAATTCGAGGTAAGTTTTGTATTATTGTTCATAATTAAAACTTGTAAATAAAGTATAGTCTGCAGAGATTAATACACATTGCAAAATTTTAATAAAAAGATTAAATTTTATATAGAAAATATTCTCTGTTGCGATTGGAAATTAAGTTTATTATTATAAATATGCGTGCAAAAAATCATTGTGAATCTCAATCATCGACAATCGCTAATAACTCGCCGCTGCTTGCCAGAATTAATTTACGCCACGTAAATGCAATTGCTCCTCGAATATTACAGATATATTGCGCTAACAATGTACATCATTGAGAAATTCGCGAAGAAAAAATACATGTGAGGAAGAATAATATCACATAATTTTTGTTATCTAATACATGTGTTTATCTAACCTCCGCCTCATCGCTAGAAGTAAACTAGAACGAATATTAAAAATGGACAAATGGTGGATAACTAATTCACTGAGTCATGAATATTGAATAAATGAGTATCCTCAGAAGAGAGAATTAATTCGATATTTCCTCTGCTCCAGTTAGAAGGTGCGTGCAAAATTACTTCACGAGCTTAATTATCTTTCCGTGTTCATTTAACCGTAATTTACACGAGGCAGATTTAACATTTCGGGTTGCGAGAAAAATAACTAGCAGAATGTCTATCACAAAAGCAGCTAGCGCTAATCAGCTTGGGCGCTGAACTGAAATAAGGTCGACCGCTGTATGAAAAAGCACGCATTTCTTAGTGTGATCTTTCTTCAGAAATCGTTCTACATTTGCTTTCTCGACTGTATATTCTCAGACGGAGTGAGATCACCGGAACTTCCCCAACCGACACGAAAAGCGGAAGCTGGATCTCAGATCGCAGTCAAAGAATTCTTGAAAATGTGAAAAATTTTCTGCCGCCTGAAGCTCGCGCAATCGATAAAATAAGTAAGAGACGAAGGGAAAATTCGGATATCGAAATATTTAACCGTCGCAACAATTCGCCAAGTTTTTCTAAAAAACCAATAAAAACAGAAGACTCTTCGATTTATCCTAGAAAGGCTTTAAATAGCTTTAAGTCACTAACGGCTGATGGAAAAATATTTACAAGACATAGCACGAAACCGCAATTTTTTTGTAAAGAATCCGAACGATCTGCAACAACTATGAGCATTGATCGAAAATCTGATTCCTCAGGATCACCATTATTTTATCGAGAAACGTTAACAAAACAAAGTAAAAGTCCGCCCTTTTTTCTCAATGAATCTGAGCAATCATCGCAAGTATCGCGTACAACAAGTGAATCTAAATCACCGATATGGGATATAGGAATTTCATTAAAACAAAGCACGAGTCCGCAGTATCTTCTTCGTGAATCTAAACGATCTGGAACAGCTATGAGTTCTGATCAAGAAATCGAGGCTATTAAAATCGATCGAGGAATATTAAAAAAGCGAAGTACGATTAATTTCGATAAAAACCTCCAAACAAGTCTCGATCGAAAAACTTCGTTTAAATCACCATCGTATGAAAGAGAAATATTAAAAAAGCGAAACACCAGTCCGCAATTCTTTTGTAAAGAATCCGAACGATCTGGAACAACGATGAGCATTGATCGAAAGTCTTATTCGTCAGAATCACCGTTATTTTATCAAGAAACATTATCAAAGCAAAGTAAAAGTCCACATTTTTTCTTCAGCGAATCTGAACAATCTCGTACAACAAGTGAATCTAAATCACCGTTATGGGAAAGAGAAATTTCATCAAGACGAAGTACGAGTCCACTCCGTTATGAATTTAAACGATCTGAAACAGCTATGAGTACTGATCGAGAAATTACGGGATCTAAATCGTCAGAATGGAACAAAGAGATATTAACAAAGCTAGGTACGACCGATGAGAAATTCCGAATTTTAGATACAAGTCTCAATCGAAAAACTTCTAAATCGCCATTATACGAAGGAGAAATATTAAAAAAGCGAAGTATCAGTCCACGATCCGAACGATCTGGCACGACAATGAGTATTGTTGATAAATCTAGATCGCCATCATATGATCGAGAAGTAACAATAAAGCGAAGTGCAAGTCCGCGATTCTTTTGCAAAGAATCCGAACGATCTGGCACAACTATGAGTATTGATAGCATTGTTGATAAATCTAGATCGCCATCATATGATCGAGAAGTAACAATAAAGCGAAGTGCAAGTCCGCGATTCTTTTGCAAAGAATCCGAACGGTCTGGCACAACTATGAGTATTGATCACAAAATTAAAAAACCTAAATCGCCATCATACAATCAAAAAATATTAAAACAAAGCACTACTCCACAATTGTCCAGCAGGAAAAGCCAGCAACGATCTGCAGCAATTGTCAGCATCGATCGAAAATACGATGGATCCAAATCGTCTGGAAAAATTCGCGAAAAACGTGAAAAGCGTACGGCAAGCCCGCAATTTTTCTGCAAAGAATCCGAAAAATCTGCTACAACGATGTTGATCGAACCAAAATCGAGTTCAACTGATTCCACTAAAAATATATTAAAACAACGCGGTTATACTCCAGATATTTTTTACAAACAATCTATAAAACCTTTATCCTCTATTAATAAAATCAATTCTTCACAAGATAGAATTCGAAATCCTTCGATCATCAAACATGAAGCGAAAAAAGCTTTAAAGAAAAACGGAATTTCCAGCATCGTTACGGAATCTCGCAGATCATCGAAGATTTCGGAAACGTCCGCAACATCGACAAGTTCGATTGTAAGTTTGAAATATGGCTTGGAATTTGACAATATTTTGCAATCAGCAGGACTTGTTAGTAAATTTATGAAATCTCAAAATGGAAAACAACACAAAATCCATCAATCGTCTCCGAAACATATAAAAAGTGGAAACGCTTTGATTGCGAAGCATAATCAATCGAGAAATCGATGTAAAACTTCGTCATCTTTTCAAAAAGCGATTTCGTCATCTACTGAAAATAGAAAAAGAACTACACCAGAATTGCCTCGCAAAAGTATCACTCCAACAGAAGTTGATATGGAGATTCAAGAGATTATCATGACCGATCATCGTATCGAACGCGACAAGCTACAAAAGACAGTGAGCCCAATATCGAGGCGACAAATTGATGGAACATATACAAAATCGATAAGCGACAAAACAAAATTCAAAACCTCAGTTACCTATCCCGTTCGCAAAACACAAAAGCAGAGAGCATCTATTTTAAAATCAAATGTTTTCAAATCGAAAGAGGATTCCTTCAGAAGAAGTAAAAAGTCCAAAAATTATCGAGATAGTGAAGAAAACATAATCAGTCTAAGTAAACTCGATTGTAGTCCTGTAAATAAGACTTCCCGACATATAACTCGACCAAAGGAAGATGAAAATCTAGTGAGTAAAACTAAAACATCTCAAACACAAGAACAAACGTGGAACAAATCCGTACGAAATCAAACTGAACGCATTGCATTTCGATCTACGAAATCTGAAAATCGACAGTATACAATTCCTCGATCTCTGAAACAAACACGGGATCGATCTATGGAAACTCGCTCTTCGAAAGCGTCTCCCGATTTTTCTGGGGAAAGGAAATATTTTGATGATATAGTTCCGCATTTATGCGACTCTAAGGAACAAAGCGGAGGAACGCGTGCAGAATTGGATCAATTGCGAAGTTTACATTCAACGCGATTGCAAGATACTTTAAAAGAAAAAAACTTGTCCGCACCTGAATATAATCGAAAAAGGATAGAAAACGAGAAGGAAAATGTGGATGAGGTTGATGCTGGGATCGAAAATAAAAAATATCAAACGATAATTGGAATCGCTTTGAATGAGGAGATTAAGGATTATCGCAATATTCCTCGTCCAAATTCCACTGATCAAAGTATAGATAAAGACATTATTCTTCGAGAAAAACGAGCGACGATATCGAATACTTTAAAAGCAACAAAAAAAGAATGTGGTAGTCAACATGTAAAATCTAAAATTTTACCGCGAGTTCCATCTTTAAGGAAAACTGTAAAGATTTCCCTTGGTGCCGACACTTCAAAGATTTTGCCATCTCAAAGAGTCACATCGCATAAGAATTTCACATCTAAATTTTTGACAAATACCATCAAAGATCACAAAAACGGAAATGTATTCATCGCAAAGAAATCGGCAAATTTGTTTAATAAAACGAATGTAAAACGTATAGAAAAGTCGGAAGACACTGCGAGAGAATTTTCAAAAATAATAATGCAACGAGAGAACGAATCTAAAAAAAATGTCGAAAGAATGGACTCCGTAGAGTCGGCATTAAAAAGATTTGACTCCATCGGCGCAGAATTTGAACCTTTAGGCCCGACAAGCTTCCAAGCATCTCCAGAGATTTCCCTGCAGACGATGGATATGCAAACAAAAAGTTCTATTAAACAGACTTCAGAGGGATCAACATTAATTTCTTTTCCGGAAGTAATAGATAATATGGTTTTAAAATCAACTCCGAAATCTTCAGTCGATAAAGATTTCAAAAATTATTTAAATAAAAGTAATTTAAAAATTTCCGGCAAAAGGATTTGTTCAATGAAAAGATTAGAAAAAAGAATCGAAAACACGATTCATAGCAAAAAATCTACGCAAACTCGATCACCAATATGTAAACGACGATTATTCGAATCTGATTCAGAAAAAGAAAGTCAAGAATTAAATTATGCAAAAGCGCGTAAGAAAGAAAATTATTCTTCCGTAAGTTTTAGATTTCATAAGGATAAAGCGATTTCAAAGGTAAAATCTTTCAAGGATCGCGAGGATGCAAAAGAATCAAAGAGATTGCAAGAAATGCCAATGCTTTCCGTGAAGCCATTACGATCTATCGAAGATATTCGGAAATCAATCGATAACGAACAAAATAAAATAGTAATTGCAAAAGAGTCGAGGTCAGCAATTGCAAATCGGCGTTCGGTTTCGCGACAGGATGTCGATGCGAGACGATCGGTCTCTGCGACCGATGCAGCAAAAAACGTATTTCTCGGGGACAACCCGGCAAGATTGACTAAAGCTAAATCCTGTGTATCCAGGATCACGAAAAGCCCGAGTCCTGATTCAGCTACGAGAAAGCATCACGAAACGAACGCGCGAGCGACAAGAGGAAGCGTACCTTCGTCTCCTTCCAAAAGTCCCGATATTGCTTCTAAAGTAAGTATAATTGAAAAATTGGATATTTTTACCAGAATTGCTTTCTATAATAATAATAAAAATATTTTTGTGAGAGAAAGACGTATGCATCATTTTTCCTATCTCTTATTTATCGCAATAAAAAGCCGATTATCCGAAAAAATATTTTATATTTATATAGATAAATATGTTATTAAAATATATTTTAAAATAAAATGAAATCTCGTGGAATATTAAGTTTAAAGTAATTTATGTAACTTCTCACAAGTATAATATATCATGATTTGTTCCGTCAGTATGCCTCTATAGAGCCAAAGAATCAAGAAGCGAAACCTTTAAGAAAGTCAGCGGTCACGAAAGGCGTGGATTCGACCGGAAGTAAAGCGGCCACAATTGAAGTTGTCGACACAATCGATGGTGTCGCTCTCCAAAACGGCTCATTGCACGAATCTACGACAAAGAAATCCGACGCCTTTATAATAGACGATCAATTCGCAAAAGAAGGTGACATAGTGTCGAAAAAATCACTAATAAAGAAGTCTTCTAGCAATGTAAGATTTTAATTTTATTTTAAAAAATTTAATAAGAGCATTATTTTAATTTAATTTAATAAGAGCGTTTTTTTATTACATTGACAAAACGGAATGAATAATAATCTAATTTTGTGATTTTTCGTATTATTTAAAACTAACAGCTATGAATGCAATTAAAACGTAATAAAATTACTTCGCGTTATTTTTTCGTTATATAAATCGAGTTAAAATTCAAGTTTCAAAGTAGTACTGATTCTATTTAATGTTCCATAATAATCGCGTATCTTTTTAAGATCATTATTAGTTTCTTAACATTCCATATTTTTTTATAACTGAGATGCAAACTAAAATTTTATACAAAATCCATTTCTGTATAAAATTAATAGAAAAATATAATATAATTTTACTCCCCATTTTTTCTACTAAAGCTTAATTAGAAGCGTTTTGTTTACACATAACCATCAATTATATTAAAATATCTTACTCAATTTTTTATGGAGAAACAATACGTCAAAATATTCAAAGAATCTATACAATGTGTATGTGTGTAAAAAGAAAATCTAATAGAATTTTAGAATATTCCTGGTCTATTAAATATTTGATATCTGACAATGAGTCAATTGTGAAACAAGTTGATTTTTATTTTGTGATTTGCAAAAATCATTTTACATTATGTTACGTACTATGTTACAATAAGCACAGATATTGCTGTCGATAGCCGATAGTAATTCATTGCTACTTAGTTATATAAAAATAATTTAAATTACAACTAAAAAGTATAGAAGTAAAAATTTGATTTTTAGAAAAAATATGTTCTTTTTCGATTGCGAAAAATTAAAGATAACTATATTTTATTAATAGTTAATGGAATTTATGTTCAAAAATTGTGTACGATGAAATAAAAATTTTAAATGGTTTTTTTATCATCTTTTTCCAATTTTTTTACTATATTTTTTCTGGATTTCTCAATTTTTATATATAATATGAAATAAAATATAGAATTACTAGTTAAGATAAATCATAATATCATTTATACATCTGTCAGACAAAAAATGTTATACAATTTGTTAGTCCTATTGAAAAATTGCTAAAAGAGTGAACAGATTAAATGCCGCAGTTTTATTACTAACGTTCGTTTCGACATTATTGTCCGTTTCGAAGTAGAAATAAATCCGTATTTATTCGATCAAATCGTGACGGGTCGGCGGTGAAAAAAGACAGTGCAAGAGTAATGCTCTCTGAAACGCGGCGTCAAAATAAAATGTCGCCTCTCGTGACGCTAACCCGACCAGGCAGTTAATCGTGCATGGATTTTCCGCCCCATTTCCAAATTGAAAGTCGTATTGTGCATGTAAAAAAATCAATCAGCAGTGAATGCCAGCCAGGTATTTGACGTAAAACTGAATTATATTGCTACGGTCTTTTCACGGCCGTGTAATTTATTTCGCAAACAATTGCAATCAGAATCAATTTAGAAATATATTCTGTGAAAAAAAAAATGAAAAATTCTCAATGTTAGTTATAACATCGCTTCAAAAAACGAAATGATGAAAACAGGTTAAATTATATTATACAAAGTACGATTATAATTGAATTTAGTAACTTACATTTTTATTTTACCGTCAAAAGATTGTCGAAAATTTCAACAAAGAATGTATTAAAATGTAAATTTTTTATAGAAATATATGCATTTTATCTGTTCATTTAATTTATATGCGCAATGTTTACTTATCTAGAAACAACAAAGAGCTTCTAGTGCATCAGATCGACCGATCTCGGTATCATCAAACTCTAGTGTTAGCTTAACTCATGGTCAAGTTTCTGGCACGAAAAATAAAATGACAACAAGAGCTAAGACACCCGCTTCCGGTGGACCACAAGCTAAGGGATCATTTTCACCAAGATCCAGCGAAACTTCCGCGTAAGTCTTTTTAGAAACCGTACTGTATATTTTAATACGAAAAATAGTTCAAATAAACAGTTCGAAAAACCATTTCAAATAAAATCTCTAAGTATAAATGTATAATAAAAAAATATAATAAGTGAATAAATAGTATTCACATTTACAAACTTAAAATAAGAAATGTTTAGAGCAAAAAAAATATGTGATTTATATTTGCAATCAGAATAATAACAGACAAGTAATGTCTTTTGAAAAAATGTGCACAAATATATCAAAGAAAGAAATGAGAGAACAAATATACGTGCATTATTCATATCTTGCATCAGCTTTTTTTATTTCTAATTCAGATAAACAATAGTCATAAAAGTCAAACATAGTGGATCTTTAGTAGAATTAAATAGAATTTTCATTATGGATTTTAAATGCAATTTTTATATTTTTTGAAAAAATTAAAAATTCATTAAAAAGTATAAAAGCCGTTTCATCTCAATTATTTCTTCAATTATTTCTATAAAAATTATTTACAACATAATTTGTCCTCCAGCCAACGATACTAGCTACATCAACGATTATAATCTCCGCTAGAAAGATTCATAATGTCAAGTGCGAACATAAGTTATATAATAAATGAATGCATATAAATCAAGTCGCCAGAAAAAAAATTATAATTTAAATTTTTGCAAATTTTATGTATTTTCTAATAAAAGATATTTTATTATTTTACAGAGATAATTTGGTAGCCTGTAAGACATGTGAACGTACTTTCGCAAAAGATCGAATTGGCTATCATGAAAAGATCTGTGTGAAAGTAGTGAATATGAAGAGAAAAAAGTTTGACGCAATGACATTCCGAATCAAAGGAACTGAGCTCGAACCGTTTGCCAAGAAGGGCCTTACTAAAAAGCAGGAGGTTAGTATTTTTTTTATTTATCGATTTATTATTTTATATCTTGCTTCGATGGTTTTTTTCAAATTCAAAAATTTTTTTGACATTTAACTTATTTGACAGTCAATATAAATACAAAAGAAATAAAATATCGATTCTTTTAAACTAGCGATCGCGTTATTTTATCTCACAATGAATATCTTTGAAAAGAAGATTTATAAATTAAATTTTAATGAGAATGCGATAAAGAGAAATATATTACTAAATGTTGGTGCGTAAAAGTATTAGACAAATCATTATAATTCACTTTGGTCGAAGGCTGGAGGAATCAGAAAAAATAGTGATCATATATTTACATTGTTCCAGACGAAGAAACCGCAGGTAAAATCCGATTGGCGGCGCAAACACGAGGATTTCATCAACACGATTCGTTCCGCCAAGCAATTACAGGCACACATGGCAGCAGGCGGAAACTTGAAGGACTTTCCACCACCTCCACCCAGCGATACCAGCGATTACATCCAATGTCCACACTGTAATAGAAAGTTCAATCAGGCTGCAGCGGAACGACACATTCCCAAATGCGAGACTATGCTTCATAATAAACCAGCGCATTTACGAGCATCAAGACCGAGACGCTAGCAAGATTATAATGATCTTCCCTAAAATGAGCTTAAATCCTCCGCGAATTTTGTGCTTTCTAATAAATTAATTATAGTCACTGTCTAGATACATTGTCTAGGGATTCTCCCTTCTTCGCGGATTTACAAGCATAATACGTTTCTTTGCATCAGATGCAATTTATTCGATTCAGAAATTTTCGCCCATGTTTGATACATAAATGTGATTTAAAAGATTGTTAAATTTATTGAAATTTTGGAAAACATTTCCTGCCTTAAATTCATATTTGTAATAAATAGAAATTATGTGTTTATAAATTTTTTACAGTATATAACCTATATTATATACATATATTTAAAGATAAATAAATATAAGACACAAGTTTGTGTGAAAATTAGTTTCTTTAATTAGAGCGCTATTTGCATTTTACACTACACTAATGATATAAAAATTTTATAAATTGAACTTGTACGATACTTATATAAAATTGAATATTTGGGCAAAAATTAAATGAATAATAATAAGAGTTATTTATATAAGTTAGCGATTTATCTAGTCGCAAAATTTTAGATTTTTATATTTTAATGTTAACAATTAATAATTAAAATAAAAGTGCCCCTTTACTAATCAATACTGCTTTTTATGTGTAAAACTATTATCATCCAATTGCAGTTTTGAATAATTATTGATAAAATTTTTTACCAATTTTATTCATATTTTTCTACTTATTAGAATTACATGCATTTTTTAACTGCAAGCTTATATGCAGAGATAATAAAACAGATGTAAAAGTGCTCTAATATTGTATACATGAAATAAATATATATAGCACGAATGAAATAATCAAATTGATTTTTATTGTACAACGTAAACCTGTAGGTCCTTATAAAATCGTGACAACTTTGTATAAAAAATATTGTTTGATAATTTCAAAAAAACACATTGAGAAATTACATATAAACCAATGTGATGTATTATTTAAGCTTTACATAAAATCTCTTTCCCCTTATTTAATTGTTCATAGATGTATTTTTATTTTTACGTTTTTATGTTATTAATAAAAGTTAATAGAAACAGTTAGAAACAGTTAATAAAAATAGTTAACAAAAAATATTATTATATTAAACTCTCTCTTTTCCTGTATAATAAATTACGTTTTTTAATGTAGAGAGAGAGAGAGAGGCAGAGACAGAGAGAGAGGGGGAGAGAGAGAGAGAGAGAGAGAGAGAGAGAGAGAGAGAGAGAGAGAGAGAGAGAGAGAGAGAGAGAGAGTTTATTGTAAGATATGCTAATAGCTTTTAAAACTTGCTTCTCTCATTCTCATATAAATTCTACTTCTTATTATGATACATTATGATATTATTTCTTCTTATCGTTTTTTATTCGAAAGCGATAAAGAGCACAAAATGAAGCAAATGCTCATTTATCTCCCGCTAATTTATCCACCGCTAAGAATTACAAATATTGCAAAAAGCGTATAATCGATACACATGATTAATTGCGGAATGATAAATTACATGTATATATGTATATAATTATATATATACCTGATAATACTGGCGTCATATTTTCGATGCACTTTGGCGACTTTGGCGAGGTGCTTGAAGATTTCGAGCGAACCCGATCGTACGAAAACGAATCTTATTTTAATCACGAAATCGCGTATAAAATCGCGAAACCACACGCAACGTTTACGTTAATACAAATACTTATGCGGCATTTGCGATAATTTCGCACGGCACGATTCACTTTTAGGGGATAATCGCGAAAATTATCGGAGCACGACGCGACGCGTTCTTTTTGGCGGGATCACTATGGCGGGCTTTCTATGGCAAACTTCAATCTATCGAAAAGCAATATTGCGATTCTCGAAACGACCACTATCGAATGCCGTCCGTCAATGGCCGACGAACCAATCAGAATGGTCCACGAAAGTTCAAGGTATCGGCTGGGATGCCGCCAGTGCATCCAGAGAACTTTATATGGAAGTAATATAGCGCTTCGTGTAGTTCGTGTGTGATTCACTTGTGACAGAAAAAGTATATGGCTGTTAGCGATGTCCCGAGTCGTTTGTGAAGTCTACAGTAAAATGTTGGGGCTTTTAGGTGAGCGATAAACGCATGCTTCTTGTTAATTTGCCGGCTCGATGATACCGGTTGCCCCGCGATGATCTTTGACATTGCAATCAAAAATTTGATGAGTTATCACCGAGCTTTTACATTGGTGATAACCGCAACAAGTGTCTCTCTTGTTAAGTCTGCTTTCGTTAAAGTTTTATAATTTCTACACTTTCTTTTAATCCTTACATGTAATTCAAAGTGGTTATATGAAAATTTTTTCATATACATCTAAAATGATACATTTGTATTTCCTCTTTCTTATAGGTTTTCTGCTGCTAGTTTCTGGGGCGAATTGCTTGTATTCGTCCAATTCAGCTGTCATTGATCTTAGGCCAAATAATTTTGATAATTTAGTCTTAAATAGTGATCACATTTGGGTGGTTGAATTCTACGCGCCATGGTGTGGACATTGCCAACAATTGACACCAGAATATGAGAAAGCAGCTAATGCATTGAAGGTGACTCCCATCATGTTCTATTATTATTTTTTTTAATACATACATTGAGACTTATTTATTATTTCGATAGGGCATTGTAAAAGTTGGCGCAGTAAATGCTGACGAACACAAATCTCTTGGAGGTAAATATGGCGTTCGTGGTTTTCCAACAATTAAGATTTTTGGACTCGACAGCAAACCAGAAGACTTCAATGGCCCAAGAAGTGCAGCTGGTATTGTTGACGCTGCATTGAATGCTGCCAGTAAAAAAGCACGAAGAGCCTTAAGTGGCAAGAAGGCAGACAGTGATTCCAAGGTAAGGTTAAAATTAATTGTGTGATTAGCTTTAAATGTATACATAGAATATTTAAATAGATGATGAAATATATAAATAAACAAATAAATGACAGCTTTTTTGATTGGCAAATAATATTAATTTGGATATTTACTTGTTGCAGAGTTCAGATCCCAAAGATGTAATAGAATTAACAGATGAAAACTTTGACAAAACTGTTTTGAATTCTGAGGATATGTGGCTAGTTGAATTTTATGCTCCTTGGTGTGGCCACTGTAAAAATCTGGCACCTGAGTGGGCAGCAGCGGCTACTCAACTTAAGGGCAAAGTAAAATTAGGAGCTTTGGATGCTACAGTAAATACATTAAAAGTAAGTAGCATGTTTTACTGATATTTTTCCTAACAATATATAATCAATTTAATACAATTATGTTTTAACTTATTAATGTTATAGGCTAGTAAATACGAAATCAAGGGTTACCCTACCATCAAATACTTTGCCCCGGGTAAAAAAGATGCCGATTCGGTGCAGGAATATGACGGTGGTCGCACCAGTGGCGATATCGTTAACTGGGCGCTTGAAAAATTAGCGGAGAATATTCCAGCACCAGAAGTGATTCAAATTACATCTGAAAAAAGTCTGAGAAATGCTTGCGAAGATAAACCAATCTGTGTAGTCTCTGTCCTGCCACACATCCTGGACTGTCAATCTGACTGTAGAAACGGATATTTGAAGATTCTGAATGATCTCGGGGAGAAATATAAAAAGAAAATGTGGGGGTATGTAGCAAATTTACATTTATTAATTTTAAAATAATCCAAAAATAAATGTTCTTTTGTATTTGAATATAATTATAGAACTGACCTTTTTATTTTTACATTGTAAATTATTATTTTATATTATTATTTATTATATTACTTAATTTTATATTATATTGTATTAAACAAGTAAAATAAAAAATTAGATTATATAAATAGAGATTAGCATAGTAATTTTTAATATAAAATCTTGATAAAATTTGATTTTCTAAATTTTAATTTTTTGAAACTTGATTTGATGTATTTTAACATTATATGCATCTTTAATTTGTATAATAAACAATTTTTATAAAATTATAATTACTTTTCTCATAGATGGGTTTGGTCCGAAGCTGGTGCTCAATCAAACATTGAAGATGCTTTAGAAATTGGAGGTTTCGGTTATCCTGCATTAGCAGCTGTCAATATCAAGAAGATGAAATATTCCTTGTTGAAGGGCAGTTTCTCATATGATGGAATAAATGAATTTCTACGAGACTTAAGTTATGGCAGAGGTGGTACTGCACCATTAAAAGGTGCTCAATTGCCTGTTATTTTCGAAACAGCGGCTTGGGATGGCAAGGACGCTGAACCTCCACAAGAAGAAGATATCGATCTTAGTGATGTTGATCTAGATGAGAAGGAAGAGCTATAATTTATCGAAAGCCAAATGGTTAAATTCTTCTTAAGAGAATTTACCACATGTGAAGTACATAATTTCTATATAAAGCTGATTAGAAGCATTAATCATGATCCACAGTATAAAGCTCACTCGCTCGAGAAATTTATTTTGTATCAGACTTAACATTTGTATTTATAAGATTCTACATCAACACAATGATTTCTTGATAAAAACTTATGGTACAATGATAAAAAGCAATTCCATTATTTAATGATTTTTGTAAGAACAAATATATATACATATATATATATATATATATATATATATATATATACATATATATATACGTATATATATACATATATATACACACACACACACATATATATATATATATATATATATATATATATATACACATACATACATACATACATACATACATACATGCACATGATATAGTTATTTGTCGCTCTGTGTCTAAGGAAAACTAATTCTCAGGTGTAATTATTCAATTTTATAAAAACACTTGTTTAATTCTTCCATCTGAAAGCCAATTTTAGCCAATTTTCAATAAAATTTTATATATATTGAGTTGCTTTATAAGAAACTTAAACTAGTCTAGACTCGGCATAAACATATCCATATAATTCTCTGATTCTCATTGTTTCTCATGTTTAAGTAGAAAAAGAAGTTTGAAAAATGTATGTTGTGTGTTATAATGCATTTATTAGCCTGCTTATTTTTTATAGAAAAGTGGGTTATAAAATTAAAGTACACATAGTTTATGTAAAGTCATATATAGTTTCCTACTTGTAATAAATATACATCATACATTTACATGTATACTGTTTCTATAAGTCTTTTTTTATGAGCTTAATATATACTGATACTTTAAGAAAAAACTTTTCTGCTTACAGAACTATTAATTGGTTCTCCCTGCAATGGGACCAAATTTGAAGAATGTAAAATTCAGTCTGTCATAATATGTTAATCTTTTTATATTTGTAAAAGTAATATTTTGTTATTATATGTTTATATTATTATCTAATTAAATGAAAATATTCTATGTAGAAAGTCTTCCTTCACAAGTAAAATTGACACAGTTTATTACTTCTACAAAATAACATTTATGTTAGAAAAATTATTTTTGACAGATGTATATGTATCAAGATGTACATTTTCAATTGTATAATCTAATCTGATCTTTTACAATAATATAATAAAACATTATTTCTACATTGGTTGCTGTAAATACACTTGTATAATTTATTAAAAATTAATTTAATCTATGATTGCACATAAAAAGGAGTACAAAAACAATAATTTCAATGTTTAATATTTTTCTATTTGGAGATCATAAAATTGTCATTAATTAAGTTTGTATAAAACTTAATTACAGTTAGCTCATATAAAAGCTTATATAAAAATACTGATATCCTAAGTGAATATGTACTCACTTATGTAATCATAAATGTATAAATTTGTATTCTCAGTCTTTTTCTTATCGATTTAATGATACATTGTTTGATACGTCATTTAATACATCATTTGAATTAGGATAGATTGGCATACTGTTAGTATTGTCACTAACAGTACACACAGAGTTAACTTCTGTTAATTCTATGATATCGTAAGTCTGATCTCTCTTACATATGTATGGGTATAATATAATTATATAATATGTTATAGTACCGAGTATAATTATAGCTAAAATTATCGCAATTATTCCCCAAGCTGAAATACCAATTTTATGAGTTGGATGTGAATTTGATATGCTTGTAGATGCTGCTGTTTCTGCTAAATTCTGATTTTTGTAATACTTGGCTGGTATGCTATCAAAATCTCTGCCATGATAATTATGATGTTCTGTCTTATAATTTTGCCTTGAGCCATGCGAGTATACTCCACTTTCAGTTATGGAGAGGGTTGCTGCACACATTGATTTTTGCATCATTAAAAATGATTATAATAGACTATGTCTAATATTAACAATGAAGAGATAAAAATTGCAATTAATATAATCATAATAAAAATAGAGATATCTCAATTTTTAATGTAGAAATTCAAAATTGGAAAATATTTCATATATGAGAGATTATTAGAAAAGGTTGAACAATTTAAATATACACTTACCAACAAGCACGATAAAAACAAAATATATTGCCTTCATACTATTTGGATCTGTTCTTTGCGATTGAGATTCTATTAAATGAGTAAATAAGACGTTTTTCGTTAATGCAAACGGAAACAAGTAATAACTATTCAAATAAAAAAACGTGGTCTTCGTAGTGCACTGTGCAACGAACACCGTATACAAAAGATAAAAGTCTGTGGCAACAAACAAAAGGAATGTAATGCACATTCCACAAACTGAGAGATGTCATGGCCTGCTTTTAGATGATCCCTTATGATCCCTGAAAGCGATACTCCCTCTATGGACATTGTAAATGTGAATATGAACTATAAAGCCAATGTTTATGAATGTTTTCAGAAGGTAATATATAATGCGCACAATTTCTGGTTTTGTTCCGTGCTATGTACACGAAATGTCGGTAGCATTAGTGCTGTAGAACAAGATGCTTATGTATGTAAAATTTATAAAGTTTCTTTATAGCCTCTTAAGCCTCTTTTCAGCGATAATAATTGATTATTTCACTGTACCTATTTCGTGAATAGCTATCATTACAGAGTAGAGTTTGACAATGTAATAAAATTAATAATAAAATTCCAATAAAATTAAATACAAATTAATTATAATAATTAAATATAAATTTGTTTATAATTAACTTTTTCTACGTTGAGAAAAGTTCTTCGTTTCTTTTGGAATATCTTAAAGATTCTTTTAATTAAATTTTACAAAATATATATTTAATTATATATATTTAATTATATATATTTAATTATAAATATATATTTAATTAAAATTTACAAAATATATAACTATTACATTTGTAGTATTTAATATTTAGAAATAAATAGATAATATTTCATTTTTATATAGATTAAGTATACGATATTATTTATTAAAAGAACTAATATATCTTTTATGGATCTTTTTGTTAAATTAATTATTTAGATCTACGATTCGATTGTTTTACTGCATTTTAATCCGAATTATATATTTAAATGATCGAAAAATAAAACGATAATAAAATAATAAGCAATATATCTATTTTAAAAATAGTATATATAAATAATAAATAATAAATAATTTTTATAAATTACTCACCGCATGTCTCTAGCTACTTCAGGCTCTCTCCCTGCTTTCTGACTGTCCGATACTTTTCCAGATGTCCTTCTCTTTTGTTGTTTCATCTTTTATTGTTTCTTCGTAGCAGTTACGAATTCACTCGCGAACAAACAATTATATTTCAGTTAATTATATTTCAGTCATATACAGAAACAATCGCGAGACACTTTGCACTCTCGATCGCAAAATAATCATACGAGATACGTATTTTTATAATATTATTATTATTTTATTATTATTGCAAGAGAGGAACACAAAAATTACAATAATTCTCGATTTTTAAAGCCACGAAGCCAAAATCATGCACCACTCGATTCTTACACTAATTAACTATTTCTATTTGTTGATGTATAATATATGCATAATAACGCGAATCATAAGATTAAAATATTAAAGTAATGTAAATTGATGATACAGTAATCGTTTAATTAATATGATATATATGCATGCAGTTTAGGAAAATTTAAAACATCGGGCGAAATCGAATTTCATTCTATGCAATGTTAAAGAAATAATTATTATTCGTAAAGTTCGATAATCGAAGAATATTGCGAGAAAATTTGTAATTTTTGCCCCTTTCGCTTCAATTTTTATTTGCAATAATGAAAGATCGCGTTTCGATGAATTTATCGTCGCCACAATTTCATGTCATTTATTAATTAATTATTTGTCAATTGTAATAGTCGAATTATTATATTTCGATCTAATCGCGATCGTACTTTTAGGAAAAGAATTCGATAATACGGAGCGGTCCGTATCGCTACTTTCTCCGTTGGAATGTCGCCGTGCGAATGAGGGGAGGTCGTCGCGTATATAAACAATAGCGCGCTACGTCACAAGGTCGAATGACGTGTTAGCTCGCTACGTCACAAGGTCGCATGACGTGTTAGCTCGCTGCCGAAATATTTAACGCGTACTGTGAGAATTGTATTTATATACAAGTATATTTTTAAAGTCACACACACACACACACACACACACACACACACACACACGTACACTGAGAAAAAAGTTGTTAACTCGACTAAACCGTTTAACTAAATTATTATTTTTTTAATTGAAATATTGAAATATTTAAGTTAAATAAATGTCATGTTAGATTTATAATAGTTAAATATTCCAATTAAAAAGACAATAATTTAGTTAAATGGTTTAGTTAAGTTAACAACTTTTTTTCTCAGTGTACACAGATTAATTATTTATTAAACCTCACGAGATATATTAATCGTTTAATAATATAAATGTATTTATATCCAAGTATATTTTTAAAGTCTCACACACACACGTACATTGAGAAAAAAAAGTTTTTGTTAACTCAACTAAACCGTTTAACTAAATTATTATTTTTTAAATTAAAATATTGAAATATTTAAGTTAAATAAATGTCATGTTAGATTTATAATAGTTAAATATTCCAGTTAAAAAGGTAATAATTTAGTTAAATGGTTTAGTTAAGTTAACAACTTTTTTTCTTTTACAATTAGTCTTTTCTCTGTCTACTATTTGATTGTTTTATTACGCTTTTAGAAAGTCAAGTTCTATAATGTAACTTTTAATGTTGTATTTCATATGAAATTATTATTTTAAACATAATAATTTTCTTTCTTTGCATTTCTATCATGAATAGACATTTCCAACCTTTACTAAAAAAACTAAAAATATCCCTCAATTTTTTATCTCTTTGGACAATTTATTTACATTTATATATAATTCTCTTTATTCCTTTAAAAGTGAACATCGAGAACAAGGCACACGAGTATTGTAAATGTCAAAAAATGATCGTGCGAATATTATAGTTGTGAATATATAAAAATAAATGCAATATACTATGAATTTTCTACGTTATATATTGAATCGAAATTGCACGAATCGAATTGCGCGAATCGAATTGCAAAAGAGGAAAAGAAGAACAAGCCTATGAATAGACATTTCCATTTTTATTAAAAAATTAAAAATATCTTTCAATTTTTTCTCTCTTCGGATAATTTATTTACATTTATATATAATTCTCTTTATTCCTTTAAAAGTGAACATCGAGAACAACTCTCTTTCTTCAGGCAAGTCTACATATATGACCAATATGATTAATTGATTTCATCTTTATATATTTATCATTATGTGATATTAATTAAAGCCGTAGACAATATTTCAGAAATCAAAGTTGTGCGAATGTTGCGCGCAGGAATTGTCATGCGCAGAAACGAATGCGCAGTGGTTCGGCCGCCATGTTGGCGCGTGACTGCTACGTCATCGCGTCATAGCTACGTCATACGCGTCATACGTGACTCGGAGTCATACGCAGTTACACGGATCGTCGAACGTCCGCATTTTTCGCATCTTTTAACCGTTTTTAAACGAATATCGCGAGTGAACGAGCGTCGAAAGTGTCCAAGGATGATCGCGCGACTTTCATAGTGTGTCGATGGAAACGCGCGACAGCGATTTTTGACGATATTCAGTGATGGCGTCATTGCGAAGATGGAGCGAAGTCGCGTCGCGTTATTTGCGCCCTTAATAATGATTATCGGATGCGAGCGAATATCGGGAGTGCCGAATAAAGTGTCGCGCGTTCGCGTTGATGATATCGTGTGGATTTGTGTGCATCAAGATCGGAATAGGACGTCCCGAGGCGAGCGAACTGTCCCGAGGAGGAGCGGCCTGTGGAACATCCGGTGAGTAGATTTGATTTATCATATTTGCGTGATAATTTGCGCTCATTCGACGCTTATACAGCATCGCGATGTCCCGAATTACATTCGGACAAATCGGCATCATAATTCGATTCGGTGCAATTCAAATAAAGTCGATCACGTGAAGATGGTTATGCTAGAAGCGATTTCAAATTTATTTTGTACGCGCGCGCAGTGCTGCACAGCCTATCTCGTAAGGCTGCCAATAGTTACACGATAAATTTGTTTGATCTAACCTAACCTAACCTAACCTAATCTCTCAGTGTCTTTGGATATCGAATGTAAACACAAGCGTATGCTCCCTGGATTTTATCATGCTTTCAAAAATAATATTTAATTATTTCATTAGTGTATTACATTTCATTACGTAGTATATTAATCGTATTAAATGTGCGACGTACAGTTTTACACATTTTAATGAGGAGCATATAATATAATTGGTTAGGTTAGATTAAATTAAAACAAGCTACTGTGATTCATTTAAAGTAATAGGATTAATTTGACGAATGTGCAGCTATTGAAGTTACATGATATTTGTGGACACATTTTTAAAGTAATCATGAGTGTCTTATCTCGATTACATGAAATTAAAATATAAAATATTTATGTATTCCACATTAACATTATTCATTACAAGTACTATATTACTACATTACAAGTACTTTTCTTATATCTCAATCATATTCAACCATTTATTTCATCGATGAAGCTTTTCATATATCGCAGACAATATGATACTGTTTGTGGAATTTTACACAGGTAATACATGGCACAAAAATAATTTGTTCTAAAGTATTGTGCGCATTTCTCAAAAATAAATCAAATTAAATTATTTTCAGAATCCAAAAATCGCTACATTGCCAGGATTGTATCTTATTATAACTGCGATATTATCACCTTTTAATATGTGTGCGCAGTATTACATACATAAAATATATAAATTTATTTGAAATGTATGGAAATCTCTATCTTATTTATAATATTTATGATATTATAAAAGAAAATTGCAACTCTAATGAAACAGAGCGGTGAAATAATTGGTTGATACTTATGCTGGTCTACAATATTTACCCTTTTTTCACCATTAGACTGGTGCTTTTTTTATTATACAGATGTTATCTGTAAATATAGTACTCGTAATGTTTCTGTATCACTGTAAGCACACAAAAATGATAGCATTTGCAAGTAATTATGTTATACTTATATATCATAAGAAAGAGAAAATAAAATTAAAGTTGAATACTGAATGTGCTCTAAAGTAAATCTCATCTAAATAAATAAATGCATAAATGTGCGCCTCACATTCCTCATGAAAAAAATACATAATATTAATCTTTATGTATTATTATTTTTAGATTTGTTTTTTATTCTTTTAAATTCTCTAGATGCACTTTTCTTCTCTCTTTCTTTCCAACTACTAAATATAGATCTATCATTTTTAATATAGATCTGTGATTTTTAGTGTACATTATTGCAGTAAGTGGAATAAAGAGCAAATCTTTTGGCACATTTAAAATGTACAGGAAAGTCAGTTTTATCTGCATTTTTTTCAATAGAAATATCTGAAAAAATTCATACGTCTTTTTTAATCTTAGTCTTTCTAAATAAAAATTAGAATAATAAATTTGCAAAATAATTTGCTTTAATATATTTTTAGTGCAAACATATGAAGCAAAGTGCTCAAGGTGCATCACTATGAAAACATCGATAGAATAAAAAATAGATCGTATACAAAAAAATTAAAATATTTACACTACATATTTGTGGAAACTGGGCCTAAGGCCGGGTCTACCCGAGTTTACGTTAAACTGGGTCCTGATTGGTCCATTCGCTAGTTAAACTCGGATTAACTGGATTGTGGAACTGGGCCTAAGAGATTGACCAATCACAGTCAAGTATGAAGAGAATACTTGATTGTGATTGGTCAATTTCTTAAGACTTAGGGCTTAAATTACCTATTGTATGTAGGTCGGTACTAAATAGACGGAGAACCAACCTAATTTGTCTTTTTCTATAGTTCTGGGTTCGATTTTTTATGGGATAGCATACTCACTTAAGTACATTATAGAGTTCTAGACGATGAGCCAAAACATCTGATTTGATAAACATGGCAATGTTGAAAGGATATGTTTCGGCTATTTGCAATATTTTACCAACAAATATAAATTTATTGGGATATAACGTAAGCACAATAATTTATCATCAATATAAATATGTTGATAATTATATATTCTCAGTAAGTGATTACATATATTACATATATATTTTATTTTTTATAGCAAGTGCGAAACTTTATTGGTCACAGACAGTTGCGTGACAGAAAGCGTAGAAGATATGCAGAGCAATATGCTGAAGAGCGATTGAGATTGGTTGCCTTAAAGCGAAATAATATCTTACCACTAGATATAATAGTAAATAATGATTTTCTCTCCATTTTTATAGATGATAAATTCAAATTGTTCAATCATTTGCAAGTTAGAAATCTACAAAATATGCAATTTATGTAACATGTAATGTGCATTGATATATATCTTGTTATGGACAATTTTTGTAGGATATATTAATCCTCTAGTACTTACAACATTTTAATGCATATTGTTTGTATAATCTATTTATATACAATATTGCAATTGTCTGAATAATTAATATAACAATATTTCTAGAAACTTGCTGGAAAACAAATAGATAAAACAATTCCCAGACAAACTGCTCTGAGACAATTGACGCCAAGGTGCGTGGTAACTGGTCGAGCTTATGGTACAGTGCATCGATGGAGAATATCGCGATTCATCTTTCGCTATTTAGTTGATCATAATAAAATGGCTGGAGTACAACGTGCCATTTGGTAAATCAGTATACATCAAGTTATTATACTTTTCAAGCTATTATACATTATATTTGAATATTAATATAGCTTATATATAATACATAAATAGATGCAAATAAAATTTTAGAAAATAAAAATTATCTTATTACATTTTCTTGACTTATTATTTCTTGATTTAATGTTCTTATTCTTTTCTTTTATACTTTTTATATTATTCTTTTTTTTTTCTTTTAACATTTTATATCATGTATGTTCTTTTTACATTTTGAAAAGTGATATACATATATATTTAACATAATTAAAAATGACATGTATATTTAATACAAGAATAACATGTATATTTAATATAACTAAAAACATATTGAAATTAACATATATATTTAACATAATTTAAAAAATGTTAAATAATGTAATTAACTGCTAAATTAATTAACTAAAAAAGCTAATATATTAATTGCTGATTACTAATGTATTAATTGAACATGTATTACATTGCATCAAAATTATATCAATCACTAAACGTTGATAACTGCAGCTTATATATAGATATTCTATTTCAAGAAAAATACGAGATCTATATTGATTCCAATTATTCGACTTCACCTCACGCACACGTATGTTTTTCATAAAGAAATCGATTCATAGACGCGTGCTGCATGTAAACAAGTCTCGCTGTTTTCTTTTCTATCTCATACGTATATTTCCCATAATTGTTTATGGACAAGTCGTATCCTTGAATATTTTATTAATTCTAACACCTAACTCACTCTCATACAATCGTTTATCTCGTCTGATCGAAAAATGCAAATGTATCGTACTGATCTAAAGATTATAAAGTGTTTAAATAAATCTGATATACAAATCTGATATACCCATTGTAATGCGAAATATGATGATAGATAAAAGATTACTAAGATTAATAAGATTACTAATATTAATGTAGTTGTCACACACACATATCATGTCTTACTAAAATTAATGTAGTTGTCACACACACATATCCAAATTTACAGATATATTTTTTTTCCTTTGCAATTCAGGTAGCAAAAATAATCACTTTGACGTTATTTTGATGTCAAATCGCGTCAAAATGACATTCAAATGATTGTATATGTGATAACTGCATTAATCTTGGTAAGAATAATAATAACGATCATCAATTTCTGATCAAGTAAATACAATACGTATAAAACAGCTAATAAATGTGTAAAATAAATTTACGCTATTATATAAATTAAAATTTGGCCTATTATTATACCTTACTTAGAGTTTTTACATTTTATTATTAATTTAGTTATTTAGTTATATTCAATTTATAACTTAAATCCTTCGATTTTTGAGTTGTTTTTGAGTTAAGAAAAATAACAAAAAAATTTTCGAGAGTCAAAATAGATTTAAAAGAACGATTAATTGAAATACAATAGGATTAAAAAACAGAATTGCAGAAAAAAAGAAAAAAAGCTTAAGATTTATTTAGAGAGATATAATTTTTAATATTTAAAATTGCATATATTGTTGTTTTTTCTTTATTTTAACTTGAAATCTTTACATACAGGAATTAATCTCTGATGTCGAAACGATTTCATGATTAGAAGATCAAATATTTAAAGAAATTCAAAATAGATAATTGCTCATAATATACAGAAAAAGAAAAATAAATAATGCAATCAATACGACTGGTATCGTACACGCGCATTATGTTCTCACAATCAGTAAAGCTCTGTGTTTGAGTAATAAGTGGTATAGTCGACTGTTTGATCAGACATGCGTCGCAAACCTCCTCGTAGTCGCTCTTAATTCAAGTCGGTCTTTGCGCTAGTGCACGTCGACACACCTGTGCGGCGAGTTTATCTATCACCATCAGTGAAATTAATCCATTTCTTAGTCATTGTCTATATTTACGGATAGAAATCGATTACGAAAGTAAGAAAGTTCAACTACGAAAAACAGGATTTCATATGTGGGTATAAGAATTCTGTAAAATTTGAAAATATTAGTTTCAGGGAATCTATTAACACATAAATTTTACGTGGAATAATTAGAATTAAAATATAATTAAAATACAATCAAGATTTTAAAAAATATATACTTATATATTTATATATGAAGAAACTATTTACGTGTATTTTCGATTAATTAAAATTATTAAAAATTCTTTGATTAATCTGAAACAAAATTAAAAAATTAAAAAAAGATTCAGAATCCGGAAACATTTTTATGTGCTGAGTATTGCAGATTTAAATAATTAAAATTGTTTAAAACAAATTTAAAATATATATTTATTATAAATACATATTTATTATGAATGATATTTATATTTTTATCTTAAGGTTTTTCATAAACACTATTTTATAGACTATAATATAACTACTTTATACTTTATAAGGTTTTTCATAACTACACTGTATACATTTCAATCATTATCTTGATCGTAAATGCAATAATAATCTTAAATACAAATGATTTAGATAATCTTAAATGCAATAATTTGTGTACAATTTAGAAATTTATTTTCGTAGGCTCATTGAAACTATTTAGAGAAATACTATATACATACATATATATGATGTATGTGTGTGTGTGTGTGTGTGTGTGTGTGTGTGTGTGTGTGTGTGTGTGTGTGTGTGTGTGTGGATTCTTATGCATGTGTATGGAAGCATATTCAATATGAAATTATATTTATTATTATCTATTTATATAACTAAGTGACAAATATAGATAGTTTCTATATAATAAATTAATTTTTAATTGAAACATCTAAAGATTTTAACACTTATTAATAAATCTAGACTCATAAACACATGTTAATATTAGCGTGCTATAACATAATTTTATTGTGAAATTGATAATTATTTACATTGATGTCGAATTGAGATTAATAATAAATGATTGATAATAATCAACTGTTGTGTAAGTTCAGTTGATATATAATTTCAATGAAAAACATGAGTTATATAAAATGTGTTTGAATAATATCTGATATTCACACACGACATGATACATGTACAATAACAACTTGTGCATATATATATATATATATATATATATATATATATATGCGTATTATTTACTAACATGAAAACAATAATATAAAATGTATAATATGTAATATTTCTTATACCTTGATTGCTTTAATATGATAATTAATTGATTTCTTTAATATGATAAAATTAATTAGAAATGAAAGAATCAAATAATATCGATGATAATATTGGTTTTATTGCATTAAAGTATTTCTCAGAAAAATAAAATAACTTTTTTTTATTTAATTAAAATATCTATATGTTATTCAATTCAATAAATAGCAATTTAAAAAAATCCATATATAATTATAAATATAAATACATATATAATTAAAAATACATATATAATTATATATAAAATATATGTTTTCCTTATTTTGTATAATCTCTGTCCATACAAAGAAAAGTTAAAAACAAATATATATAATTGTAAAATATATATCAATCATAAAACATATCATAAAACAATTATAAAACATATATGTTTTCTTTGTTTTGTATATACGAATTTTTTTCCTGGAAAATATTGATGTATAAAATATAATATAATTATAATACTAATATAATATAATTTTTCGCTTTAAAAGTATTCTTTTTATGTTTTTAAAGCTGCACATAAACAGAGATACATCGATATTCACTATGAGTTCACCATTACTTTTCCTACCTATTTCTTAATTTTTACGAATATAGATACGCGTGCCATTTCATAATGTTAGTCTTATAATAGAAGTTTATGGGCAACATAAGAACGTATTCACAAATTGCACCAGGATAGCCACTTAATAGCGTTTGATCAACGTTATTCGAGAAAATGAACGTGAAGTAAGACGTTGCATTTGACAAGCGAATCGACTATCTGCATCAACATATTGAGTTTATACCCCCCCCCCCCCCCCGTTAGATAAACGACCAACCCTTTCCTGCAGCGAAATGTGATACTTCTTTTACATCTATTGAAACATGACGATAATTAATTGGTCAAGTCACATATATATAATGTTTACTGTATCATGTTTATTGTAAATGGATACATAAAATGCGTGTAAAAATATACTAAAAAATAAAACAAATGTTTCATATCTCAGAATAGAAAAAAATCAAAATACTCTGAAATTTATTAGATCTTTATACATATAAGACTATTTATATCAATTTTTATAGTATATTACTCACTATAGTACTCTAAAATATGTGCAAATTTTATATTAACGAACTATTCACGCATATATTGAGCTTTATTATATGTATTGTGTTAATTTCCATTTGACAGCTTTCAAAAAAAATATACGAAACTAAAATATATATGTGAGTATATATATGATAAGTAATTATTTAAACTAATATCATTTAAAATACACATTATACATCACCATTTTACATGCTATGTGAGGAACAATCGCATGCTTCAGTTAGTCTTTTTTGCATTTCGCAACGAGGGTAATACACATTATATTGTGGATACAATATAATTAACAATTCTCTAAGAGGTTTATTTAATCAATTTTAAGCAAATGCAAATCAACAACCATTATTAACAACAATCATTATTAATAAACTCTTATAAAAATTTGATAAGAAATTCATATTTTTTTAATGAAGATTTTTTGCATAAGAGACGATTTTTAATATACTTTCTTAATTTATCTTGACAAAATAATCAATTTAATTATCTATCAGGAGTTTCACAACGGAATGATTACTTCTCTAAATGTCAACGAGGAAGCTTACGGCATGATGTTAAAAACGAAACGAATACTCACTGCAAGTTCTATGAGAAACAGTACGAGTTGTCAGAAACTTTTACCATTTCTAATGCGTCAAAAAAAAGACAAGGCAAAGGAGATGGAGACTCAATTTACGGAATCGCGTCCTTTGGGTCCGCCTAGGGTACGACCTTTTCTTCGCAGCAATTTATCACACGAAAATTCTCAAACTGTAAATAGTAACGTAAGTATTATAATGTAAGTATTATAAGAAGATTCGATATTTATCTTATACATTACAAAATATGTATTTATGCTTTAAAAAGAAAGAAGAAAGCATAAAATATAAGATATAAAGATTTTACAGAAATAAAACGAAACTTTAACATAAGAAAAACATTATTAATGATATGTAAAAGATGTTTGAAAGATTGGAACATTTTTTAGATATGTGTGTATGTATATATACATATATATACATATATGACAACTCATCTATGAAACAAAATTTTATAATATATCCTACATTCATATTATATATATTACACACAAACACACACACACACACACACACATATATATTTATTTATTTGTATATGTATAATAATCGAGAAAGAAAATCTTTCAGGATCCAGAGAGCTTCCAATGTGCAATAGGGCCTATTTTAGGAATGGCCCAAATATTCGGAGTATTGCCAGTCTTAGGAGTATCCGCGCCAAATCCGTTGAAGCTAAAGTTTGTGAAATTTTCATTTCGTACTGCCTATGCTGTTTCCGTAACTATGATGGTGTTTTTTATGGCGATATTAGCAATTATGCACATGATAAAGACGCTAAATGCTACAGCTTTCGAAGTGGAAGGTAAACAGAGATAAGTCCTTTATCGTATACTTTATATTGCTGCATAATATCCTATCCAGAAAGCGACATATGTTCATTAAAATGAAAGCACAAATACGTGAATAGTTCCTATAAACATTAATTAAAATTAATTAAAATTCAACAGATCTTACATCTCTTTCTAGAAATAAAAAAATAAACGTAGAAAATATAGATAAGGAGAGAAATAAACTAGGAAAAAATAAGAAATAGATTGACTTTATCTTTTATTTTCACGAAAAAAGAGAAGAAATCATTCTTTTAAAGTTAAAATCAATTATGAAATTAAATTAAAAATCTTATTAAATTAAATTAAACATCTTCTTGTCGTCATTACATGTCATTAATTACATAATCTTCTTAACTTATTAATTACAGTTAATTACAATCTCTCTCTCTCTCTCTCTCTCTCTCTCTCTCTCTCTCTCTCTCTCCCCCCCCCCCTTCTCTGCGATACTCTTTTTTTCAGCAAATTTTAAATTCTTAAACATATAATTGTACTTTAGGAGGAGTAGCAGCTGCAACTGCAGGCGCAATATTTTATGGGAACAGCGTAATAGGTTTGATCATATTTCTTTGGCTGGCACCGCGTTGGGTAACTCTTCAATGCGATTGGAGAGCTATGGAACATTTTATAGACAGGTAGATATTAAAATGCAAATTTGTCAAGAGAAATTGAAGATCGTTGCACAGCTAAATCGATCGATAATAGCATATGTACATACGTTATATTTGCATATAGAATTGCATAGGCTCGACAATGAAAGATTGTAATCTTGCATACATTCATACACGATGACAAACAAATGTTACAAAAACAATTGCAATAAAGTGTCGTAATTTGAATTCTTTTGAATAAAAAAATTATTTTTGTAATAAACTTTAAAGCAAATTGAAAATAATTTTTTAAAACAAATTGCACAATATATATACTATTATTTTACGATAAGTATACTCTAATTTTTATTGTCATAAATATATATATATATATATATATATATATATATATATAATATCTGTATATACAACAATATTGAAATATATGATATGATATACGAAATATATGAAATATATGATATGATTCATAACCATTTATAGAGTAATCAAGACTGATATCATAAAAATATCGTGTAATTTTATAATCTTTGCCTAGTATGTAAATGTTATAAGTGTTTTAAAATCACCTCAAATCCACATCAAAACTATTCTTCTCTCTCTCTCTCTCTCTCTCTCTCTCTCTCTCTCTCTCTCTCTCTCTCTCTCTCTCTCTCTTTCTCTCTCTATTTACAAGATTTTAAATAAAAATTGATTGCTTCTTATTTTGAATTCTAATAAACAATATAAATATTGCTCTTTGTACGGTTAATTTTTCATTGGTTTTATACAAAATTTGATAATATAATGTACTTATATCAAAATCGATTTTGCAGTAATAACATAGAACGACCGAAACTTCGTTGGAGATTCAATTTGATAACTGCTTCTATTCTGCTTTTGGCTCTTGGTGACCATATCTTGAGTATAGCTGTCATGAAAAATTATGATTGGAGCAATATGAAGAATTCGTCAATTCCACATTTTCTACAAACATATTGCATATCTAATCACGCGTTTGTTCTGGAGCAATGTAAGCACGTTATGTTTACATATATTATAAATTACTAATTATTATGAATTTGAAAATCTTCGTAAAATGATTCTAATCGCAGAAATAAGACATATACTCAAATTAATAAGAATCTAACTTGAGATACACAGAAAAAAATATCATATAGTATTAAATTATAAAATCTACTTTTTTTAATAATAATTTTGTTTAAGCGAATATTTATGTAAAATAATTACAATTTATACTTTTTTCCTGCACGATTTCATTTTAAAATTATTGTTTGAGTTTCTTCTCCTCTAGATTTGAAAAATTTTGGATATTTTAGAAATACTAATTTTTTTTACTTCAGTGAATTATAACCTTGCACTCGGAATTTTCGTCTTTATTGTCAGCAAACTGGCAACTTTTACATGGAATTTTGTGGATGTTTTCATCATGTTGGTAATAAAATCTTTATTTATCAGAAAAAGTTAATAACTTAAAGTTAATAATTTATTCGATTTTATCAATTTTTTAATTTTATTTTTTTAATTCAATCCCTCGGTTGAAATCTTCAGGTAGCTACTGGTTTAGCCGAAAGATACAAAGCGTTGAACAAGAAATTAACAATTTGTGCATCGAAGCATAGGACAATCGACTGGTGTGGTATCCGTGAAGATTATGCTACACTTAGTTGCATGGTGAAAAAGGTGGACAACGATATCTCACCTATAATCCTTTTGTCATTTGGAAACAATCTTTATTTTATTTGTTTGCAACTACTTAATGGATTGTCGTAAGTATACTATATGATAAAAAAAGAGTAAAATCAATTATTAATTAACAGTCAAAGCACTATTAAATATTACTGATAAATACATTTTTATATTTGCACGAATTATCTGCTTACTCCTCTGTCTGATTCAAATAAAAGAAAATTCACGACAATAAGAAAGTTTTCTTACAAAAACAACAACCAAATTTATTTTTTTAATATTGATTTATGGATTGCAGTAGTAATATAATTAATATAGTAATATATTATAATATAGTAATATAATTAATATAGTAATATAATATACTAATATGTAATAGTTGTTATCATATTTAATAATAAATAAAGCAAAGACATATAAAACAGTGATACAATGTATTAATACGGAATACAAATAGCAATTTCTAAGTTTTAGTTTGCTTGATCCATACAGAAAAAGAACTGACAGCACCATCGTCAGCGATATCTATTACTTTGGATCCTTTATATTCTTAATCGGTAGGACAGTGCTGGTCACTTTGCTCATTGCTAGGATCAACGATCAAAGCAAAGTGGTATTACCGATTTTGTATAATTGTTCAGCTTCTACCTTTAATGAAGAGGTAAATAACCCAAGAAAAATAATATAAAAAGAGAAGAAATTCTTTTAAATTCTTTCACAATTTTTATAATGAATAATTTATTTAGTTAATTTGTTGCTTAGAATATTTCATTTATAATTTACAGACGGAAAGGCTTACATATCAACTTACTACTGATGACATTGCACTTACGGGAATGCGCTTCTTTTCTATTACGCGGAACTTCATGTTAGCAGTAAGAATAAATTTTTCTGCAATATTTCATATAATACGCGCAATATATAATACACGAATTTTAATAGGAAAACAAATTTTACCATTGCATAATTTTATGACATTTATGTGTACCCATACAGCACACAAAGATTGCATACACGTTGCAGCAATCTTTCACCGCAATATTGCAACGTTGCAAATTCATTGCAAGATGTTGCTGCACCATTGTTGTGGGATGCAGCAAATTTAAAATGTCCGCTTTTAGGAATATTGCAATGTAAGATTATAGTAATGTTACGGTGCAATGTATTTGTAATATTAAATCGCGTTTTACTACAAATGCAGACATCGTTTTAAATTTTATAAATACACTTTGAAAATATAAAAAAATGTTTAAGAAAGATAGGAAAAAATGCCTTTAAAAAACTATCTATTAGTGTTTTTTTATTAGATGTTTCTTAAATATTTATCTTGATAGTATACATACAATTATTTTACATACATTCGACACCAGAATATTTTAATACGTGCAATAAATGAACTATTTCCTATTTACCCATTCAATTGAGAAAAATCTATTTAATATTCTGAAACCCAATAAGGGATCCAGATTATTAAACAAATTATTTATTTAATAATTTAGATCCTTCATTAGGATTCAGAATATTAAGTAAACCAAGTTAGTTTATCAGAAATTAAACTGACACAAAACAAGAAATATAATTACTATATTAATCCTTTGTAGATCTTATATCCACTTTAGATGAATTCGAATACGAGTTAGTTAAATTAGATGTCGCCGCGTAGTGGCAAAGAAACACGTATTATACATTTTCGCTATGTTAAAACGTTGCTACAACATTGTCAAAGTAATATTACAAAATAATGTCTCTGCATTATTTCTGCAACATTAGACTGCAGTGAGCAATATTGTAACATTGCAGCAATGTTGATGCAAGCTCTGTGTACGGGTAAAAAGATTTATACAAAGAAATTATATATTCGTAAGCATTCTGTACATATTTATATACTCGATTTAATTGTACATTAATTATTAGAAAAATTATCGAATTTTGTTAGCATATATTTTGCATTATATATATGTTATGTAATGCTGTATATTTCAGTATCTCGTTATGATATGATAAAGTTGTAATAACTATTAAACATTTATAATATATCAAATTCATTTGCAGGTAGCTGGTGCAATTGTAACATACGAAGTCGTGTTGCTTCAATTCAATATCTCGATAAACGAATAACAGTATAACACATCTCATTGAAACAAAATATTATAATTTAAAATATAAAATAATATAATATTTATATTCTCATTGAAAATATATAAAATTGACTAAACATGTTAACTAAAATATCAGCATAAATCCTTGTTCTAAAAAATTTTCTATAATACGTGTAATTTATTACGTAGCATTTCTCTTATATATAGCATTTCTCTGAAATGATATCTATTTTTCAAAAATATATTTTGTAAGAAAACATTGCAAGCGTAAATTGTTATTTATCTAACAATTACTAACAATAAAGGTTATTATATCAAAAAAATTTGTTGTTTCAGTTACACATTATTATAAATTCTGTGTGATATTATGCGATACTGTGCAATTTTATAATATAAATAATTTTCATGAATTATTTAAATATAAATGTAAAAGCCAAGATAAAATGTGACGCTTTTTTCGTTATATCTACATTTATATTTTCATAAGTTAATAATTAAATATGCTTAATAAAATTTTTTAATATAATCTCTTTATTTGATCAATTATTTCTATATAAATATATAATTATGTAGAAATCATTTTTTATACAGAATTATCCAAATAATGTTTGTTATATAAGATTCTTAAATATTATATTTAAAATATGCTTCATACCGTTTCTATGTTTATTGTTCATATATATATGCAATGTTTAAAAAATTATTACAGTATAATATCATTTCAACAAGTGAAAAAATAATATAGATTGTTGCTATATTATATATTTTATAATATATATTAAAACACTGCAAAATACATATACATATATATATGTTTTTCACTTATTTTTGTAGATGATGATGTTTCCGTATCTAGACGAAGAAATGTGTAATATTACATATCGTTTTATGACATAAATGCTGATCTAAAATATCCAGTTCGCTTTTTTCCTGAATCGGGCTATGTTAGGAACAACTATAACAAAAAAATAAATTAGAAAATAAAATCATGCAAAAATAATATGCAAAAAATGTTATATGTTGCCTATTTACACAGAAAAAAGATATAAAATATTTACATAGAGAACAATTTATTTGTCGTAATCTGCATTCTTATCTTATTCTAAAAATCTTTGTCGAAAAATGTCCAGAAGTAAGATAAAAATAAAAGATTAAAATATATATAGCAAATATCTTTTACTACATATATAAATAAGTAACAAAATATACATATCATAAAAATATACATATCATAAAAAATATACATATCATAAAAATATACATATCATAAAAAATATACATATCATAAAAATATACATATCATAAAAAATATACATATCATAAAAATTATAAAGTAGTAAATATTATTACATGTGTTATATACATATCTGAAGACATGTGGTAGCAATTTCTAAATAATGAAAACTTTCTACATACAATATATTTTGTAAAAAAAAATTACAAAAAGTATAAATTGACATTTATCATAGTAACAATAAGGTTATTATATCATAAGAATATATACAAAATATAAGAAATAATAAAAGATAGATTTAAAACACAATAATAATAAGTATAAACTATATTCTGCAAAAAGAAAATATTATATATTATCATAAAATATTAAAATACATATGAAAAATATTTAAAAAAGTTAGTCTAAAAAAGTAGAAGAAAGGAAAAGGCAAAAAGTTATTAGATTAAATTACAACAATGCAGTTTAGGATTTATTCAAGATAGTATTATAATAGAATTATGCAATTTATAATTAATGCAATAGATATGTGAATAAAATAGATTAGCAAGTTTTAAAGTAAATATTTAAAAATATGTTACAGCAGTTTCCAAATAATGAAAACTCTACATACATATACAAAATATGAGATATAAAAGATAGATTTAAAACACACAAATTTCATTAAATTAGCTATTAACATGAGAGTGCTGGGAAAAGTAAATAAATATGTAAATAAGTGAAATATAATGTGTATATAATGTGTATAAATAAATAAATATAAAGTTTACAAGTTGTGAAATATAAATAGAGCGAGTTGAAAAGAGTTGTATTTACAAAACTTCACAAAATATGTCTACTATATGACATTCTTCACAGTTGCGTGATTTACAGTTGTAGAAGCAGATATAGGTGATCGAAATCCTTATAAATCTTTTCGAAAGCTTTCTACCTCACCTCGCAACTATTTGTAATATTCGATTGATCCACTTGCTGGACGGAGTTGAACTGTACCAGAACCAGTTCGTAAGTTACAATAGTTCCAGCGACCTAAATCATCATTCGTAATTGATACAGATATATTAAAGATATCTCCAATCATAATTTAAAATTAAATTATCTCAATAAAATATTTAAAAGAGTACTTTTATTTTTTTAATTAAATATAAAATTATTATATTAAATGAATATATTAAATAAAATTTTCAAATTGTTTTTTAAGAAAGTAAGATATAATAGATTATCTCGATAAGATTATACTTACGGTTAGCACGAGACTTCTTGTTACAGAAAAGAATTTCATTCCTGTTAAGCTTATGTTATCTGTCGTTACTTGCATCAAAAATCTAGAGACCTGCAATATTGCAATATTATGCAAACTTATATATAAATAAAGAAAGAATTAAGAAAATTAATTTTTAAATAGCATACTACTATTTTTTTCAATTAATTTTCTTTTTAACTAATTTCAACTAACATTTTTATATTTTTATATTATTTCTTAAATCTCTTTAAATATTTATTGAGAAAGGAAGATCATAAGAAACAACCTTCTTTTATAATAAAAGATTTTTTTATTTATGAATAATATTTAAAGATTACTATCATATGGATCAGTGATTAAATTTTAATAATATTTTAAGACTAACCTCGTTGCTATAACTAGAACCAGAGACGCTATATAAAATTGGTGCTGGTAGAAGAGATTCGTCGTGAACAGAAGCCACATACAAGGATACAGCCGTTGTTCTTGCTAATAAAAAGCCGAAGGAGAAGCAATAGTAGATCTTTCGCATAATACCGCGTATTGGACTGTTAAAAAAAATGGACGTTATGCAAACTTATCCAAATTTTTTTTGCTGTAAATTCCATCTTTTGAAGCCATCTTATATCGAACAAAATTAATATTAGCACAGAAGCAGTAACAATTATAAATAGTTATAAATATGAAATGAAAAATTTTAGATTAATTTTCAGGGGAAATTTTCTGTTCGAAAAAAATAGATTTTATGTAAATATAAAAATATGAGCGATATATTAAAATGTTATATGTTAGTTATACTTGAAGGAAAACAGCAGTTGGATGCAGATAAAATATAAATCGGTAGCAAAGGCTAGAAGTACGATGCATGAAATGTGAGAATCCACTCTGCGTGTCAGAGTCGCCAAGTGATTATAGTCACTCCTTGCTTCAGCCCACCACCATTCCGGCATTGCCTTAAGAACGACAAGGTGCTAAGTTGTTAATAGGTAATAAATTTGTTAATAAAAGCAAAGATTTCAAAATGTAATTGATTTTTCTCACAAAGAAATTCCTAATATTGTATCTTAGTTAATTTAACACGTTCGCTGCCACGCTTTTCGGACATAGTTTGTTACCACGCGCCAAGCACTTTCACTAATTATTTTATTCACAAGCTAAGAGTTAGGTCCAAATTAACATGCTTATACTACGAGTTAACTCGCGCTTGGCATAGGAAATCGGTAATCGACATTTGAGTATATTCCTAGTTGGCTTGTGAGATTCATATGCCAACTACGAGTATACTCATAATTGGCAGCGAACATGTTAATAAAGATATATGCGACAATATCTTGCATAAAAAATATAATGTTACTAGCATTTTCGTAAGAGAAAACAAATATTGTTTATTATATTTTGCATATATTTTACCTTTCCCCGTATCGAATAGAGACGACTATTTAATTGCCTGAATTGATCTGCTAAGGCTATGCTAATAAGAATAAGAAATAAGTCGACGAAGTTCCATGAAAATGTACTGAGGACATTTATAGTTTCGACCAAGATTCCTTTCCAAAGACTGTAGGGCAGTTTTGAGAAGATCTATATAAAATTTACATATATAAAATATAAAAACTCTATATAAAATTAATAATTACATAATATTACATTTTAATTTAATGATAATTGAATTTACACGCTAATTATTTTTTATGCAGTTTCTCTTCTTCAGTTTATTATAATATGCAGATAAAAATTTAAAAAATTTTAATGCATTTATTAATGCATTTAAAAATACATTTAATTATGTAAAATGCAGTATTAAAAATATAAATCAAATGATTTAATACATATATCTAAGTGTCTGTTTACATTATATTTATATATGTATACTTATATATATTACCTGAGGAAACTGAGTTTGAAAATAAATACCGATGATATCTGTATCCCCGCGATGATCCGCACATTCTATTGCACTAACGTATGCAGAAACAACAGAGGCACTATGTTCCACTATTTATAAAAAAAATAAAAATAAAAAATGGTACATTTATTATTTAATATTAACCTACAATATTAATCTAAATACTAACTTTCTAATACTATCTATCTATTAATCTAATCTATCTATTAATCTAATCTATCTATTAATCTAATACTAACTTTGACATTTGATAGCAAATAAATACATAAATGTAATTTATTAACAAGATATTCGGCAATAATGTACAAGAATATTTCAATAAATAAGGTAAAGAAAACTTGTCTTTAAAGAGAAAAAAAGAAATTTATAATATATAAAAATATTTAAAATATATATAGTTATAACTATAACTTGTAACATATTTCTATATTACTTTTTCATATATTTTTTATATGTATCTAGGTATTTGTTTGTTTTTTTGTATCAAGCATTAATTCCAACAGTGAAGAAATTTGTGTCAAGATTTTGGAATCTAGAAATACTTTAAAATCTAGGAATAGCGGATTGTTTTTCCCATAGTTCTAATTTTACATCAATTTTCATCTCCCAATTTGGATCTCTGAGGAAGTTCTTGACTAGAAAGTGATATGCAACTGATAGTTCTTCAGCATATCTTGATTCTAAGACTTCGACGCTAATTTCTTCTGGAATCAATGCACCGATGACAAATACTAGATATATATATATATATATATATATATATATATATATATAAGAAATATATGGAAAAGTAATATATGCAGTAATATATGTTATAAGTTGTGTAGTTATAATTATACATGTATTTGCATTGCAGATTTTATTATTTTACTTATATTAAAATGCTCTTGTATATTTTATTCAGAATAAAAATAGATAAGTTATCTTGATATAATAATAATACATATCTTCGCAAAATGATCAATTATAATTGAAAGTGACTATGCATAATCTTTAATTTATTTAAAATTAAACAAATACCAAAACTCACCTAATGCAAGCAACATGACAACAATAGTTACGATTTTGAAACGAGTTGCCAGAGTAATCTTTGAAATTTCTCGATATCTAGAAGTGAGTTCATACTCAAGTTTCTCCCAAGTTAACGCCAAACAAGGCCACTGCCATGCCAATCGTACGAACAAGACAGCAGTCACGAGGGTCGTAATGTAGAAAACAAATGTCGCTGATGTTCGGGAGAAATGTCACTTTTAGAAAGACAGTATATAACTAACCAGGGTTGAGAAGTAACTCGTTACTTGTAACGAAGTTACAGTTATAGTTATTTTTGTTCGGTAACTCTAACTTAATTCGTTCCTTCTTTTCAATTTGTAACTTAACTCAGTTACATATTTTTGATAACTAGTAACTAATTTAATAATTACTTTAATAGTTATTTTATATATATATATATAGATAGATAGATTTTTTTAAATCTTTGCCCATCGTATTGGAGCGCCTTGCACTTGCTCATAAATGCTTTTATCGATACTTTATGATCCAATGCGTATGCTCCCATTTTTTATTAATAAAAATTTTAAACATTTTAAATCATTTAACATATCTTAGTATTTCATGATAATCATCGTGTTAATCATCATGATATGCAGAGTATTTCATATATCTTATAAATATTAAAAAACTAACTAAAAGAAAATATAGTAATAAATATTTGTAATTTGGATTATTTGTGATGTATATATATACAAATATATAATAAAAAATATAGTAAAAAAGTAATTTAATTACATATACTATCTATCTTAAAATAATGAAATTATAAGAGCGATGCAATACAATTATATTTTTTTATAAAAGTTTTCTTTTACATTAAATAAAAATTTTTGTTTTTATTTAGCTATTTTTAAATTAAAATAAAATGTATATTTCTCTCTTTAAAGTGAATACCATTTCTAAGATTCCCTATAATTTGCAAGAATTAAATTAATACCTTACAAGATTGTCATTAAATTATTATTACTGCGTACAGATTTAATATTTTTATTTCTATTGCAAGAAAGTAACTACAAAGTAACGTTACTTTTTGAATAACTATAACTGTAACGCGTTACTTTTCAGAATCGGTAAATTGTAACTGTAACTAGTTACATTTCTTAGTAAAAAAACTGTAACTGTAACTAAATACTTTTATAAAGTAACTTTCCCAACTCTGTAACTAACAATCCATCAAAATTATATTCGATCACTTACTCATTGACTTACTTATTTTAGTAGAGTTTGTCCCTGTAGCGAACAACCACGAAATATTATAAACCGACATAAAGGACACTCCCAAGAAAACAATCAACGTGTAAAGAATCTTCGGACTCCTCCATGTAAATCTGTAAGATATTCAGAGCACGTGAGACGCGCAAAATTTGTAACCGAGAGACACAAAATATCACACTGTTTTCGAAATAAATATTTTCTAAACAATTAATTATGCACTGTCTATTTCTATCTACCGGAGATACGAAGCGTCCGGTTTATTGACACCGCACACCGGAAACATGGAGAAACATTGGGCCAGCATAATGATCGGCCTTATCGCTGCATACAGACTATTAGTAGAAGGATTGAAAGTCTGTGATGGAGGTACAACAGTCGTCAGCACTAAAAATCGCGACGGTTAATAAAAAAATCTGCAAGTATCAAAACAAGTCACGAATAGTTAACGCAAAATAAATCCGAAGCTAAACTTACTTTCGGGTACTACTACATCGGTCTTTATCGGATCGAACTTACGCAGGTTACTCTTAGGCGATCTGAAAAGAATTACTTTTACATTTTGGACGTATCATCTATTGACACGAAATTGAATAATTGACATCTGAGACTATCCATGTATATATTTTTAAAAATAGGTCGAGTTCACACATAAATAAAAATAAAACACACTTTCTTCAATCTCTCTTGATAGTGAGTTAAGAGCGCAATCTTATTGTTTTTCAGTTAAATTAAGCCGTATTAAAACTGATGTTTAAATTTGCAATTTAATGTTAAAACAAAAAAATGATATATCCAAATCTGCTAAGAAATTTCTCCATCATTGCAACAGATTTTAATCGACAAATATGAATTCTTTCTTCTTCCCTAGTTAAATTATACTTCATTCTCTGACGTTAAATCCATGTAGCACAATTTTTTTCTCTCGACTTAAGAATTTTTTATCACTTGCTTTCAAAGACACACCTCATACGATGCATGCTGCGACTAACGTTGTGTACGCTACACGATTGCATGATGGACAGAAGACAGAACTCGTTATTTCTAAGCTTTATCATGCAGCGAAATGACAGGGCGGAGGGCGCTTTATAAATATCGAACTCAATAAATGTCCACTTCCAACAGCCAGTGGAAAGACTGCTCGAGACTGCTGAGACCTCGTCCTCGACGACAAGGTGCGTGAAACTCGCGCACAAAGAGGGAGAGATAAATGAGTCTCTCCGAGAAAAGAATTCGACGTCATCATGACAAAAGGGGCGATTAAGTTTATAATTTACTCCATAAACATATATAATTTTTAAGAATTTTAGGACATTAATGTCTCCTTTGAATAATTATTAAGTTAAAAAAAATTAATAAAAGTTAATTAATAGAAAATTTTGAAATATGTATTGCAAAAAGTAATTTTTATTTAATATTTTTGTTATCTTCAGTGATTTCAAAGACATTAAGATATTCAATTAAAGATATTTAAGAAACTCAATTAAAGATAATTTAAAGAATTTTTTTATCCTTTTGAAAAATTTAATGTTTGACATAATTTTTTTGATAAATGAAAATTAAGTATAAAAATTTATAAAAAAATTATAATAAGATTAAATTTTAATAGGAAAAGTATTTATGTTTGTATAAAATTTTAAAATTTTATAATGTTACTGAATTTGCCAGTTACATTTCTGTTACTCAATGAATATTATATAAAGTACTTTTTAAGTACTAAAAATAAAAATAATTTTTTCTTTTCAGCTTCAAAACGTTACTTTTGAGAATTGTTAATTGTTAATATAATTAATATAATTTGATATGAAAAATAAATTCATAATGTATAAATTTTCATATTTATCAAAGAGTAATATAGCGGAAACATACAAAATGCTCACACGATCATCTGTAATTAAATAAATAATTAGTTTGATGTCATCTCTACAATAATCAACCACCTCATGTATAATGCTATGTAAAATTCAATTAACGAGTCAAAGTGAAAAATTCTCGGCACGCAAAACTTGTATAATAATTTGAATAATTTAAATCAAACAATATTTGTCTCTGCTTGCAAAAATTGCAAAGAGAATAACATATACAAAATAATATTCATAATCTCTGTAGAAAAATGACAAAATGTTTAATTTATCTTTGTCAGAAGAAATTTCAAAAAATCTGTACAATAATGTTAAAATAAAAAAAAATGTTTATATAAATTGTCACATAACGTCTGTGGAATAAAAAACATTAAGTTATAATTAATTCCAAGGCAGGTTTAATTACAAACTATACGATTATTAACCGAGAATGCCATTAAATTGAAATGTTTGCACATAACAGTTTTTATTAGAGAAGGCGTTTATTTGAGAATCATAATTGAATCGATTTTTATTATATAGAGTGCTTGTTCACTCAGTCTTGCTTTTCCTAAGTATTCCATCTACAGTACCAGTCAAAAATATTGCATCATTCCCCAAAAAACGCAAACAGAAAACACGAGTAACTGATTAAGTTTCTTATTTTTTTAGCTATTTTTTACTCATATTTATTAATTATTAAAATAAAATAATAATAATAAAATATAATTTGATAATATTTGTAAACATTTTTGTGTGTGTTAAAACGACTTTCCTATTTCTATAAGTGATGCAATATTTTTGATTGGTATTATATATCGCTACATTTTTTTTATTTATTGAATCGATCCATATATATATATATATATATATATATATATATATATTCAATTAAATAAAAGTATATATCATTCTCCATATTAAATATCATCTTCGAATACTTAAGTGTGAACGATGCATATATCTGTATTTTATTCATTTTTTATGGCATGATAAAAAATATATAAATGTATCATAACATGTTAATACTTGACTTACTGAACATTAATTGTAACAGGATGCCAAGAGTTTGCAGGACTCCATCGTGAATAAGACATTTTAGCGACGCTCCTTTCTTTCTTTGTTTATTTTGTTATGTTATTTTATAATTTTCTTAACAATAGACATTGAGAGTTTCTTCGCATTCTCGTAAGATCAAGTCAGCACATACTTCTAGAAATTCAATAAGCAATATAATTAAAAGATCGATAAAAGTATCCTTTCACATACAAAAATAAATTAAAAATAGAATCATGTAATTCGGGAAGCAATCAAAAGATATATTATTGATTAAAAAATTGTAGTCACTTTAAAATATTTTTGTAAAAGATAGATAAATTGGAAAAAAATTGAAAGAAAATCATTCTGCGAAATCGAAAAATTTCAACTTCTAAGAAAAATCAAAGTCTTTTAAACAAAGTCTTCATACATTTCACCGATTTCGAATAAAAGAGAGAAAAATGAGAAAGAATAAGAAGAATAAATGAGAAAAAAGACACATAAAAATGAACAAATTACATGCCAAGATTGAATCTTTTAAAGATTGAATAATTATAAACCTTATTTTTTTAATTTTGTGATAATTAAAGAGATTTATACATTATTTTTGCAAATGTCCTAAATTTGTCTTAAATGTCCTAAATTTTGAAATCTTATCGATCAATCGACTTAATTCCCATGTCTTTTGCAAGGCGATAGCGTTATACGTAACCGGAGAATATTTTAGTATGCGGAAGATAAAACAATGGGCGCGCGTGTGTCGCAAAACAATGTCGTCTGTCGCAGTACGCGTTTGAATGTGCACTGACAGTCGTAGAGGAAACCACTATAACTTATGCGCTTATTGTTTCTATCCCGTGTCTAATCTTTGCTTGCACAGGCCGGAGAAATAACAGCTTCCCATATGCGGTTATAACGATTCGCACCTGTGTGTGCGGCGATTTGACATACTTGACATGAACCGCATTCATTGTCGTAATAAAGAGGTACTCAACTCATATGCTTGCGCCATTTATGATTTACATATCTGTAGTATCTTCTATCTAAAATTTGAATAAACGTAATATTTGTTTCGTAGAGCTACATTTGGCTATTAGCTTTGTCTAAAATATATAATGTTTTTAGAGAAAAACATTTTTAGAAAAAATTTACAAATTGTGGTAAAAATTACAAAATTTATAATTAAATATTTTTATATTATTTATTATTATCGCACCTAATAAAATAAAAAAAATCATAAGATTAATTTTCTAAACACGAGATTTATATGAAACAAATAAAATTTATTATCGAAGAATTTTATTTAATGCTAGTTATATGCACGTTGAGAACACGAAGCTTTAGATAAAAACTATTTATCATTAGCGATAATAACCGCTTCAAATACAGGGAAGACATCACCTGCCAACTCTCAGAATTAAATGCATGTGAAACGCGAGTTTTTATGCTATTTATTCAATGAGCCTAACGAGCTATTACATATATGTAATAAAAATATACATCCATCATTTCTTCTATCCTCATCTATTAAGAATGTACAAGCTCATGAAACTGAGATAAGAACTCGGTGAATATCGACCACAATTCTGATACGTACAAAATCTCTAAACAACTGATATATCCAGCAAATCTTGGCTGCATATGAAAATATTATGATTTGTAACATATATATCAAATATATTTGCGTATTCTATTTATAACATTCAGAAGTATACATCTGAAAAACTGAATTTGTTAAAATCAATAAAAAACAATTATTAATTGTAACGTAATTATAATTGCATAATTAATAAATGAATCTATAAAAGAATTTAAATACATAATATAAATAATCTAAATAAATAGAAAAATAAATAAATAATATAAATGAGTAGAAAAAAAATTAAAAAATTTGTTGGTTTATACAAACGTTAAAAAATCAAGTTTACTATTTTACTAATTTAAAACAGGTCTTCTTTTTATACAAGATATAATCTGTATTTAATATAATATAAATTCAGATTTTCTAGATATGTTTTTACAACACATTTATGGGGTAACATTAAACTATGGAAGCAACAACTGTATATTAATAATAGTGCCGCCATTTTTTGCGAGTAATGTTGTACTCGCAACATTAAAATGAGTCATTTTCTGTATTCTTTTGTGTGTGTGCATGTGATAGAGCTATTTCATCTTTATTCCAGTCTCTCATGGGCATTTTCCGGGACGATGCACGTGTGGACAGTCTTGTCTTCCTGACAAGCTGTGCAAACGGAATTTTTCCAATGTCACACACACATACATACATACATACATATCTGCTGCTGTTTCTCTGATACGTACTTTTCGCATGCAAGTGTGTATTGCGACTCGTCTCGCATAGACTGGTGGCCTACTTTAATATCATCCCTTTATATTATGGCGCATATTAATAATATCGAAAGATAAGAACTATTTAATTTCCATCATAGTCTATTATACTTTTAGAATTTTTGTTTCACTCCAATACTATTATATAAAAATTTTATACTTTATATGTTACATAATAATTTCGATAAAAAACTTGTACAAATATTGCTCCACCTTTATGATCTGATGCAAATTTCTATTTTATGCAAATTATATTTTATATAAATGAATTATATATTTTATAAAACTTTTTTTATATAAAAATAAATACATGAAAATATATAAATGCATCATAATAAAACAATAAATTGAACACATACAACTTAATAAAAACTTAATAAAAACTTTATCTGAATAAATAAATAATTGAGTTTCAATATTGCAGTTAAATTTTAGATGATGATCAAAAGATACTTTTAATTCTGATTTCTCTGTAGAATTGCAAGAATCAATTTCAAGAAATGAAATGTATGTGTTTGAATATGCAATGAGCTTAATACTTCCCGTCTTACAGGAACAAGGAGATTACGATGATTGGGTTGTTATGTAAGGAATTTACACATACGAATCAAAATTGTATTGTGTTCCCACAGGTAGAAGTAATGTACACATTGTTTTACAATTGTGTCAATCTTCTCCGCACAAGAGTCCACACAAGAGACCACTATACCATTCACGCACAAAGGCCATGAGAATACGCGAGTATTCTGGTTTCGCGATCGATCTGTATTATTTTTTAACGATAATCGCAGCAGTATCATAGGCCGTTTTATCGGCACATGTATCTACAATCGCGAGGGCGCGATGTCGTACCCCCGTTATCGCGTCGAATCGTTGATATACATATCTCTGAATCATTTGCGTCAAAAAAACACTAATCACTATCGTTCGGCTGAATCGAGTCCATTAATGCTTGCTTTTATATCTACAAACCCACAATAATCGCCATTACCTCGAAAGCGTAATTACTGTTATTGACTATGAAAAACAGGTACGCATGGAAAAAAACAATACATCATTAATGCTCGAATTTCTGTGAAAACATGGAGAGAAATAATGCGAGTTGACACTTAAACTAAACCGTACAATTAAATAACGCGACACGAATTTCTTTCATTAGAGAAATCAATATCGTTGCTTATCACACGTGTCTCTACTACACTTATCGGGAGTTTTATCGATAATATGATCAAAATACAAAAAAAAATGGTAAAACTGCGCCATGCTTCCGAATTGACGTTATCGAGAAAAAAAATCACAGGTAAATGTCAATTATTTAAATGTATCAACAGTTTTTTTCAAAAAAGCGTCGCAATAAATTTTAAGTTATACAATTATTTTTTCGATTGTTTCTTTCAATAAATTCGTCAAAATGAATACTTCCACTTTTTTAAAAGATTATTACATATAAATCTAAAACCATTTTATTTCACTTAAAAAGACCGTATTCTCATCGCGTATGCTTTATGTAAAATTTTTAGCTGTTTGCTAAAATGAAATTTTATCCTAAATTTTAATTTTTTCACATAAAAGGTATGTTCGAAGCGCAAACAAATACGAGATGAGAAACAAACGATCATTATTTAGTGTAAAATGTATTTTAAGAACACGAACTAATTAATACGATTACAATGCTTATATGATTAAAACGATTACGTGCCTATGTACAGAAGCTAAAAACATCTTATTCATTGACTTAATTAACTAGATGTTCATGTTCGTAAAAATCCAGGACAACGCCGAAACGATATCGACTAAACTCTGAGAGTGAAATTATCATCTTCAAATATCTATATACATGTTCACTATGCGCAATTATACGCTATTAATTGCTTAATTCCATATGTACAAATATCTAATCATGTGTTTCAATCGTTAGAAATATCTCAAAGTTCGTATGACGCTTCTACAGTTATATAACATTAATAAAAAGGAATACTCGTTAGGTAATGAGTACTGAAGTTAAACGTTAATGAAATTACGCGACGATATTGTATATCATAATTAAATGTTACAAGCTCTTTTGTAACAATTTTCGCAATAAATATGTAAAAAAAAGTTACGACTATAATATATTGTAATGTAATTCTTCTTGGAATTCATTTTACTCGAAATATTGCGCGCAAAAAAAATATCATTCTATATTTATTGAAACTGTGTCAAACAATCACTTATCGAACCTTGAATATTTTTGCTAAAAGAGAGATGAACATTTGATCTCGAAAACATATATAAAAATTTCGATTGCGGATAAAACTTAAAAATCTCTTTGATGTTTTATTGATAGAAAATCATACGCCATTTTTTGTTTATTAAATTTAAATCTTCAATTAAATTAATCAATAAATCTTAAAATTTGAATGTGATACAATATATATTGTAATGTCATACATAAGTTCAGCGATTCCTATGACATATTTCGTCTTGATTTATAATTAATATTCACATTATGGATATTATATTAATAATACCAATATCGATGCAGTTCTCAATTATTCAAAATGTAGTTCTCTCGCTACATTATACAGGGCGGAATTTGTAAAATTTAATAACAGCGCAAAATTTAAACTAGTTCAATGAGTCCTTTTTGATGGCACATGTTTTTCATTGGCTTTTCTCGCAATATCCGATTAATCGATAATCGCATATAAAATAAAAAGTAAAAACTTTGTTAAAATTATGCTGTATATATATAGCATACATATATTACAATATTACTTATATTTTTTTAAACGATATCATTATTAATAAAGCCAAAGTCGATTCAAGCGCTACGCATTTAGTGAATTTAACTGCTTCAATATTTTGTTTCGTCGATTTTAATATAATTCCCCAAATAGAAATATAATAAAAATTTTCAATTACTTAACAAAAAGAATGCTCAATGTTTAAAATATAGTGTTTAAATCTAGTTTAATAATTTTTATATTTCAAAAAGAGAGAAAAGAAAAAAATTAAATCTTTTGTATCATTTATTAAATCGAGAATCACGTAGAAATACATAATAAAAATTTCAATTACTTAACAGATAAAATGCTCAATATTTGAAATATACTGTTCAAACTTAGTTTAGTAATTTTTATCTTTCGGAAAGAGAGAAAAATAAAAAAATTAAATTTTTCGTATCATTTACAGAATCGTATTATATTTTTCATTTTTATAATTTGAAATCAATAATTCTAATATTTCACACAAGCTATTAGGATTTTTTCTATCCAAAACTAATTTTACCCACGCTTCTTTATTCGAAAAAATTGTAAGTCAATTTTTACCTTAATAGCAAAAATTTTTGATTTCCTTCCAGAGAAAAATTGAACTTAAAAAAAGTCATTGCAAGAGTAAAATAAATAGTTTGTGATATAAACTTATAAGGAGTAACAGTTGACATAACAAAGTAATAAAAATTGTATTTAAGACAAATTTTAAATAGATTTTACGATCTTTTGCAGTTAAAAAATAAACGTTATAATTAAAATTTAGAATTTTACATTCTTGCATTAAATCTTTCAACTTTAATCTTTTATTTATTTCTTTTGAGTCCAAATTCTATTTTTCTTAAGTGTTTTTGCAGAGACAACAAAATGCGTCATATACAGTTTGTCATTTACATGTGTCAGTCAACATTTTATCGCTATAGTCAACATTTTATCGCTAACTTGAGTCAAGAAGCATAGATGAAAACTTCATTTACAAAAATGGTATGCGTTTTCATCGTGTTCTCGTTGTCATCATTAATGATGCTCGAAAAGGCTCAATGTTGTCACAATGTTGTCAATGTTCACAGCGAAATTCGCTATGAAGTCCTTATAGGCACGTCAGCCATGCTGTTTCGATGTACCCGGTATGTTCGGGTCTTGTCCACTGTTATTAGAATGATCTGTAACATAGAGGGAGATTCAAGTTTTTTTGCAACACATGTTTCGGATAATACAGATGGCTAAAATATAAGCAGCCTAAAAAATAAGCATCGAAAAATCTAAAAAAATACAACATTGTTTTGCGATAATATTATTATGTAACAAAAAATTGTGTTCAACGAAATGTCATAACATTTTGGTAAATTATTAAAAAACATAAAACTGCATCAAATAAAGTATATTATATTTTTGTAAATCATTAAGGCATGATATATAGCACAGGATCAAATGATTCAAAAGAAGGAGAGTCAAATATTTTATAATTTTCTTAATTAATTATTATTTATTATTTACAACTATTTTGCAGAGATCATGAATGATTAAGGAGCGTGAATTGACACCTGTGTCTGTAGACAGCTCCTCAAACCGATCTGATAGATCAGAAAGGCCGGTCTCGGCATGTCGGCCGAGGATATCTGGTAACGCGTTTCTCCTGCCGGTCCTTCCGGTCGACTGAAACTCTTTAGAATTGTCGCCATTCTCATAAGACCCGCCTGGAGTGATCGAGCCGCTCGCATTGCTCGCACTCTTGTCATCGGGCCCGTTCCCAATTTCCTCGGGGCCGACTGGCCCCGCTCGTCTCGGTGTCAGCATCCTCAACACTGGAAATAAACGGCAATCTTTTTTTCGTAATCTATAAGTGTTGTTTCGCAAGCTCATTCAAATGATGATCCTTCAGCGTATATGACATTCTACTATTATACAAAATTTTCAATAAAACATTGTCTGATCTTTATTAAATTTTTCTATAACAGTTTATATAACAATTCCTATAACAGTTCTTTTTTATAAATGTTTAATATTTTGTGTGATTTAATATTTTAGAGATACACACACGAACATACATATATATAAAGAATTAAAAATATTATTTTTACGTATTCATTCCATGTAAAATTATCTCATATAGTAAATATATTAACCCTTTCATCGTTATTTCTGTATATTTTTCGTAAAAAATATTAAAATAGTCAGAATATTATGCATGAAAGCATTTATGCAATGAAATAAATAATAATGTTATGAATATCTTGAAGTCGCTAGTCAAATAAAGGGATCAAAGAAATATAATCGACCAAACTAGCCAGAAATTAATTTATTAGTACGACGTTTCGACCATATGGTTGTGGTCCTTATCAAGTATATACTGGAAAGATTATAAATGATTACTGAATTAGTTAACTGAATTAGTTTGAATATATAGCAACGAATTAAATATAACAATTTTAGTATACCGATGTAATAAAAATCAGGAGACCGGCATGGATGATAATCTTGTAAATTGCAAGTCACATTAAACAAAAACGTTGTTTTAACTAAATTTGAATTCGACAGAAATTAATGCGTCTGTGAGAGACTTCGTCAAGAGACTAAACAATAACGATCTGAAAACTGAACTACGTGACCTTTATTACTTTGTCGTAAATATTGTTTAAACTATCCGTGTCTTTCTGTAGATTGATTAAATTATTAAATTTCTTGATGAAAAACATCTCAGCAATTTCTCTCTTTCGTACATATTTTTCATTATGCAAGATATCGGGTTTCAACCAGTCGAAATCGTGTCTGGATTCCAATCTATGCTTGCTAATGACCGAGTGATTAGATTCGTGTAGCTTTATATTATTACAATGTTCTTTCCCTCGCGTACGTAAATGTCTTTTAAAACTTTATATTATATTACTTTATATTATGTCTTTAAAACTAAATAATTTAATTAGACGCGGTAAAGATTCCTTACATAACAATGATAAGACAAGTGTAGTATACAAATTAAACTGCAAAGATTGCAATTTATCATACATCGGGCAAACAAAAAGACATTTACGTACAAAGTAATAAAGGTCACGTAGTTCAGTTTTCAGATCGTTATTGTTTAGTCTCTTGACGAAGTCTCTCACAGACGCATTAATTTCTCTCGAATTCAAATTTAGTTAAAACAACGTTTTTATTTAATGTGACTTGTGCAATTTACAAGATTATCATCCATGCCGGTCTCCTGATTTTTATTACATCGGTATACTAAAATTGTTATATTTAATTCGTTGCTATATATTCAAACCGTTAACTAATTCAGTAATCATTTATAATCTTTCCAGTATATACTTGATAAGGACCACAACCATATGGTCGAAACGTCGTACTAATAAATTAATTTCTGGCTAGTTTGGTCGATTATATTTCTTCGATCCCTTTGAAATAAATAATCATAAACAACAAAATAAAAATGAAGGAATAGAAAGAAGATAGTTGAGAGCAGTCTTATAGATTAAAGATTAATGATGTTGTTAATTAGATTTCTTTTAGATATAACTCGATAATGTTAATTAAGTTTCACAAAATATAGCAATCTACATTAATTAAGTTTCATAGAATAGAGTAACCTAAAATCAGATGTTAATTAAGTTTCACAAAATATAGCAATTTCTAATCCAGTCAACATTGATAGGCTTGAGATATGATGTAATAGTATTAATTGAGGTTTGTAGCATTAGTTGTATGACTAGTTAGACATAGAAAATGTTAATAAATTCAATATGTGTATATATCACATGTATACACATACATACATACATACATACATACACATCCATACATACATACATATACACAATATATATATATGTATACATACATACATACATACACATATATATATATATATATATATATATATATATGCAACTAATTAAAATCCTTTAATAATTATATTTCTAAAGCTTAACTGTCTCTTCTTACAAATCATCGCATTAAATAAATTATATATATAGTAATTATGTAATATATAAAGATTTTTTTATACACAATTCTTTATACACATTCATTTATTTTTAATTTATTGTTATGTAAATTATAATTTCGAAAAAAAGACAGATTAGTCTTATGATGAACACACATACTTATTGTATGTAAAAAGTATTACAATTAATTTATCATTTCCAAGTTTTTGCATTTCTCTCCTACATTATAACATGGTAGTTTACATTCCTAATTACATCGAAGTATTTTAATTACATTTCACGCTTAACGGCACAAGTACACGCGAGATCGAGTATGAGAAAACATAGCATTACGCGATTAGATAATAGAATCCTCAATATCTTTATGTTATAACTATTGTACATTGAATAATGATTTGCGATTTTACCAGGAAAAACATTTTAGTATCTTTACAATGTTTAATTTAATAATTACATTTAAATATTCAATATTAAAACTTGAATAAATTTCAGTATTAAATACTAAAACTATTGAAAATTGTGGTATAAAAATTATTAATTTATATTTTCTCATGTTTCGAAAAAGGATTCTCAATTTTTATAAATTATTTTTGTATCAAACACACACACTTTCTTCTTATATATATATATATATATATAAAGAAAAATTAAATATTAAATATCTTAATCTTTATGTTGAAAAACTTTATCGTTATTTAAAAATATTTTAATCAATCGCATGAGTGCGTATCTATTTAGGATTGTGAATTAATTCTCCACGAGCACTTACCCGTATCTAAATTTTTCGTTAATTGAAAAGTTTCACCAAAAATCAACACGAGTTTGAATGTATACAGGATGGCGAACAACTAATCTAAAACATTACCTTCTTCGTGAAATGGCAGATATCCATCATCGAGAATTTTATCAGCCTCCTCACAAGCTATCGGAACGTAACCCATATCTATGAGATTCTTGAGCGTGTGACTCGATAAGACGATTGTGTATGACGATGATGATCGCAAGGTCTACTGTGCAAGACTACTACTTCGGAAAGATCGACGCAAGAAAAGTCCGAAATGTTGAGTCAATCACATGTAGTGACGTCAGCACATATACAGCTGACGATGTGGATATACATAGAGTGTATTAAAACTATTGTCGGAATTATTTTATATCTGCAGACATTGGTTAATTTAATGAAAACTTGATTGATAAAAAATCATTTTACATAATTTTTCCATTTCTTTAATATTAAATTTGATAATTAAACTATAAAGAATTTTCACTGAAGCCTTTATTTACAAACTGAAAGAAAAAATAACATTATTTATTAACGGTTTGATAATTTCTAATTTTTAACTTCTAGTTTTTTATTTCATAACTAAAATTTACTTTTTTATCATGATTAAAATTATTACTACGTTGAAAGATTATCTTGTAAAATTCGTCGAAAATTTTCAAATTAAAGAAACAGTACAATAATTCTAATTGTAAGATATATGTGTATAAAAATGTACATGTGTGGTGCATTTATCTCTATATTTCTTGTTGAAATAAACATCGATAAGATGATATCGCGTACAAAAAATTATCAAAATCATACTTGTTTTCCTATTATTTTATTGCAATGTATGCAATTTACATCTGAAGTGCATGATTTTTATGTCATTAGTACAGAAATATTTTGCGTTACGCAAGTATAATATACAAGTAATTACAATTAAAACAGAAAATATCGATAAAATATGTCGTGGATTTAAAAAAATGTTAAAAGACAAGCAAAAAAATAAAAAAATTAATATTTAATTTTTGTGCAAGCGTGAAAATTTTCTACGTTAAGAATCATAAATTTTAAAAGAAAAATTAACTTAGTTACATATACCACGTTTAAAAAACATGATAAATTTTATAAAAAATTAATAAAAAATGTTATGTTAACGCACTGTTAGTCACTTTTTCGAACCGTACTTGTTTTTATCTTCATATGAAGTTAATATCAAAACTATAAATATAAAGAGTTTATATCGCAATAGCGGTGACAAGTAAATTATTTCGTAAAGAGATATATAATTTACTCATACTCAGGTTATTTAATCTAATTGCTCGGAAAAATACGCTATAGCTCAAATAGATATATAGTTGCTACAATTTAAACGATACATATACATTCAGCTTGAAAATATACAGGAATTTAATACAGATGAAGTTAATACAGATAGTGGTCATATGAAAGTCAATAGATCAACATTGTAAATTCTTGTTTTATCTCATTTTACCTATTTAAAGATTACATTGCGAAAACATTAAATATATTACGTAACACAATTACATAATTACAGCACAAAAAATACTGCAATATATCATATATTGTACACGATATTAATTTTATTTACAAACCACTATTTTATTAATAATTAAACTATTTATTAAAATTAATGATTTATTAACGACGTATTTATTACATCACGTATATTTTTATACATCACTTTTTTAAATGCACACTATTAATTTAATTTAATTTAATTTAATTTAATCTAACTTGCAAGATGTATTATCGATTCTGCCACGGAATTATTTCCAGAGTTCCCACAGAGGATTTCATCGCAAAATGATTCACAAAAGTTGTCAGGATGAAAAATTAGTCGAAATGTTAGTGCATGTAAGACGTCGAGAGTTTAGTTAAATTAATTATAATAACAGCACGATATGAACAAACGATACCTTGTGCACGTGTAAGATGTTTTCTCTGATATCCTTTGGGCGACGTATAGCCGGAAATGACAAGGCAATCTCCGGCTGCAGTGAAGAATCGTCGCCGCGAGGAACCGCCGCCATCATCAGGCATCACTTTGCGCAGCTTCACCTAATCGGACGTTTTTTATCGTGTTACAGACTATTCCTATCCATCATCGGAGATGAATTAAATCTGGACGATTTAACGTTCCAACGCGAACCGAGGTCACGCGCTAAGATTTATCGGGTCTGAGGAAAAATACTCTCGTTCCTTTCTGTACAAAAAGTAGACCATTTTCCGGAAGCTACAATGGATCCTAATAACTTATTTCCGATTAAATATTTATTAATAATACAATATGAATTAATAGTACAAATAACATAGCGAATTTTTTTGTTTTGAGAAAAAAGATTTTTATTATTTTTTTATTTTTAAAATTTTTCTTGTTTGTTTAAAATGAAAAATATTTTAAAATAAATACATATTTACAGAGTGCCGTATATAACGTATGAGTTCAAAAAGAAAATAAAATATTTTAAAGAATCTAAATGTTTTTGAAAGATATTATAAAAGATGTTCAGTCAATTTATTCTCTCGCGTAATTTAATTATGTTCTCCAAATTTTTGTTCTTTTTAATAACAATGGACTTACAGAATAATTAATTGCACTTAATATAAATATTTATATGAGATAAGGCAAATTAAGTTAATATAACAACATAATAATGTAACGACGATACTTCCACAGACTTAATATATCGTTGTATATTTTATCTAAGTAAGTCACGTGCGTCTTGAAAAATAATTAGTTTTTTGATTTATCTTTAAATTTAAAATACAAATTTAAATTTTTAAATTATAAATTTGCACTCATATGGCATACATTTCCATAAACCATCATACTGTCGTGCACATCCGACCTTGAAAGATAATACTAGTCATAGCAATACACACATGTCGAGCAAATGCGAGTGAAATACATAGACAATCGCATTGATGCTTTATACTCATTCATGATTCATGGCACCCACACGAAGCGTTCAATATACATGATAAAACTGTTTACATTGTCATAGCTCAGACATCGGCGGACCAATAAGAGAGAAGAAGAAAAGAACGAAGAGAGAATTGAGCAACACAAACGAAAGAGCTAAATACATTGTCATCTGTATCAAGATCGCAATCACAAAAGGCAACGAACGATAAGTTTGACGCTTTCATAATAATTTTACGTAAATTTCCTTAAAGAAAGAATTTCCGAAAGGACCTAGGATAGAGAGATTTTTTCCAGATATCCGTAATCATAAAAATACCTTCTTACAAGAAGTAAAAAACTATAGTTATATAAAAAAATAATTACTTCAAGAACTTTAATATACAAAGTGTTCAATTAGAAAAGTTCTGATACTTAGAAAAATATTTTTTTATAAATTTATCATCTCAATGTTTCTTTGATAAAATTTTTGCAATGATAGTTTCAATTTTTAAGTTTTAAGTATCAATTCTCTTCTAATTTTTTCTCATATTTATCAAAGAATAAATTCTAATGAAATATTAATGTTTCATGTAATATATATGCATATATACATTATATTATACATAACTTATATAATAAATAAATTAATTTATGAGTGTAAATTTTTAAGAGATTGAAAAGGAAATCATATACAATTAAATAATAATTTTTTAGTAAAAATTGCACAAAAAATAATATTTTATACAATGCTTATAAAGCAAATATTTATGGATTAATATGCACAATTTCAAACTATTATATAATATATATTGTATAATGATAAAGTTTTGTACGAATGTTTGTTCATTCTATGTTCAACTAATTAAATATACACCATGTCCTAAAAAGGAAATCTAATTTAAAAAAGAATATAGTCCTAAAACAAGAAAAAGATGATGCATCACGAGGAAAAACCGCTGACGCAAATCAATCTTCCGCTTCCAACTCATAGCAAGCGTTTGCTTACATAAGCAAATACTGATGTATATTGTATACATATATATCCTTCCAATATCTAAACTTATTATAACGTAATGACAACGAAAGAAATAATATATTAAAGATATTTATATGAAAAATTTTACTTTCACATCTTACAAAGTAAATTTTATACAATTTTATACAATACGCAGAATTTTTATTATTTATAAATAATATCTATATTATTCGGAAATTTAAATCTTAAGAAAATAAAATTTTTTTGCTCAAAAAATTATTTAAAAATATAATAGTCCAAATATATGTAAAATAGAGAAAAGAGATAAATATATTTAAAATATATTATATATATATATATATATATATATATATATATATGTGTGTGTGTGTGTGTGTGTGTGTGTGTGTGTGTGTGTAGCGTAAACAGTAATGAAATATTTATAATAACAAAAATATGATTTTATATTACTATTGGTAAAATAGAAAAATAAAGCCACAAGTACTTTTCTGTTTTATATAAAATATTGTTTGAAATAGTTCGTAAATATCTCTAAAATTATTTTTTTGCGGTGTTGTTATGGAGATTAAATCTGAAATTTTAATTGCATTAGTTTCCATATAAATTTGTTATTTCTAACGACACCTCTGGAAAAACTCCATGTTGAAAAAAAAAAAAAAAAAATATATATATATATATATATATATATATATATATATATATTCGTACAGTGAAACTTTATCAATAAATCTGCTAAAATAAAGTCTGCACACCATACTATACGTATCAACGTTATCGATATTACATGTCTAATTTAATTACTGATATGAAGCAAATTATGTTTGCAAAAATTATGTTTGCAAAGTCTTAATGACTAAGACTTAGTCATTAAGACTTAGTCACAGTAAAATCGTCAAATAACGTCAAAAGTGACTATTGAGCATTAATTTTATTCTTCTAATATATAAGAGAAAACAAGCTTTATTTGAATTCTACATATATAGCATTTTATTTAAGAGCTAAAAACAAATTATCAATTTTTTAATTTTGATAAATTTTTTTATCAAAATGATTCATCTATATTTAAATGTATAATATAAAAAAAATTATACATGATTCTCCGCTTTTGATATCATAATTCAACACAACTTCCAAAACAAATTAATAATTCAGAGTTTCACCAATAATAAAAAAATGCAAAAGTTTATTTTTCAATTTAATTTTAATTAATATCTTACTATCGATCACAAATACAAAAACTCCCTTGTTCGCGTTTTTCCAATCATTTATCTATATTTTCGAAAGATTTATCATTCGGACAAATGTGAAAAAAGTATATCAGCTATTTTTAGCGGGTCAGGTAGGTGCTTCGCGTGATATACGTATTTCCTTCACGACAGAAAGCAACGAGCAAGCACAAAGTACCGCCACTCGAAAGAGAGCTGTTGTGTAATGGCGAATCGACTCTTTATTTACGAATCATATATGTAAAGTCATATAACTGAAAAAAGCTCTTTGACTAATTGAAATATTAATAAGATTCATAATTGTTTATTTATAATGTTAATGTTATTTACAATAGTAATTTAACAATATAAATGTAGGGACTCAACTTTTGCACATTTTGTTACAAACTTTATTATTTACTTTGCACTTTACTATATATTTATTTTATTATTTATTTTTTTTAATTAAGAGACTTTTTGATTATAATCGCGATGTTCTAAATTAATTCTGATACATATTCTGCGAATTAAACATAACGCTAGTCAGGAGTAATGTTCTATAAATAGATATATGTAATAATATACATGGAATTCGATCGAATACACACACAGTAATAGTGTTGTTTTATAGAATCAATATTATCCGTCGATTTATCACGGAAAAGCACAGTTTGCCCTCCATTTTGCATAAAATAGAAAAATTCAAAATATTTTACGACAAATAACATATTTCTGTGCTATAATAATATCAACTTTAATATCATATTTTTTTTGCGAAGTAGATTTTACTTATTCACGGTTACATTATCTATGAGAGATCAAACACATTGAAGAGAAGAGCCTCAATGTCGACTACTAATGATAACAATTAACGAACAAGAGGATAATTACAATCTATGCCATCAGAATAATCAATTTCTTCCTCTTTGACTTCTTGGAATTTTTATTATTATCCGTGTTACATGTACTCGTATTTCCAGTTGTCGATCGATACTCTGACAAAGCGAGAGATAAAATGAGAAAACTTACTTCAGATAATAAGATCTAATCTCAGAAAAATGGAGTATTTAGGAACAGTATATCGATTGGCAGTCGTGCACGTGTATTTTTGAATAAATCTCTTTTTTAGCATTTTAATCGAGATTTTTTTAGCTAACGTATTCCGTTTTCTTATCAAACTATTAAAAATTCAGCAAATTGAGATAAAAAGCCTCTTTTAATTATATGACTCATATAAAATTGAACGAAAACATGATAACGCTCTGCATATATCATGCGATTTTTATGATAATTTAAATAATATACATAAGTAAAATCGTAAAGTGGAAAAAAAATGCAAAATATAACGCGAAATTAAAAAATCCTAATTTCTAAATTATTTTACAACCTAATTGATTAAAATAGAAAACATTTGGTCATATATAAATTTCAGTCATGATGAAATTTAATTTCGAAAGTCAAAAATATTTTATATATCTAGTGTCCTTGACCAGTTTTGACCTCGACACATAAACGTTCACGTAATTTAGCCTCCGGAAAATAATCAAGCAATCAAGCTTGCAATAGATCTGTTAACATCTTAAAATGAATCGAGAAAGGTTTCCTTTTTTATTTCTCAATCACGCGTGCATATCGTTTCTCTTTTAACATGTTCCATCAATTATCATGATTATCATACCTGCATTTCGACATGTCCTCATTATAAATGAGAAAGAAGCATAGCAAAATATTTTAATATTTTATATATAGCATAAAATATCAATGTCATAAAATACCTTCTGCAGTTCTATCATATCATCTTTCTTCCAAATTTTTTAATCCAATTTTGAGCCATTCTTTTCAAGAAACAAGAGAGGAAATAAAAAAATTAAATCTTTTAATCATAATATAAATAATTAAAATAAAGATCTTTTCATATAAACTAAACTTTAGAAATGTAAATAAATAATAGAATTTATTTAATTTCAAATAAACTTTACTTTTAATTTTGGAGATTAGTAAAGATGAAGATATTAGTATAATAGAAAATTAATTTACAATAAAGATGAGTCTTTCGACTTAAGAAAAAAAATCATAGATAAAAAATTAATTCGCTGTCTTATTATTAGGCATTCTATATAATATTAAATAAAATCTCTGCTACAGTGATTCTTCTATAATATAATATTATGTATATTTATCATGTGTACTTACGTAACTTCTTAAAAAATGCATGCAATTTTAAGTTCGAATTAAGCGAAGATAGGAATTCATTTATTAATCTATTTATTAATCTAACGCGTTCAAACGAAAGTGTTCTTAACACTTATAAGAACTACTTTAGAGATTGCAAGACGCAATAAATCTCTGGTATAGAATTGCAAGCAAAATGGCGGGGTATAGAAATTACAAGATGCAAGAATTTCAATCGATTACTATTTTGCTCCAATTCGAGCAAAATTGGAAATCACAGATGTCTAGAGATAGAAGAAAGACAAAATGATACCATTTTCAATAAATTTTAAAATTTAACATCGATACATCGATACAAAATAGATGAATTCAACGGCTTAAATATAAGGCCCGATAATTAAATTTAAAAAACTTATCTTTAACGCAATATATAATAAAGAACATACTAGATAAATAAGAAAAAAATGCAATATATATATATAAAATATAAAATAATAATTTGCGTGTGCTTCAAAAAACGTATATCTATATCACCAAAGAAGAATATATTAGATATTGAATTAATCCACGCTGTGTATGTATGATCATAATAGCATCACACAGAATAATTACACAAGTATATCACGTAATATTATATAATATCACGTAATATCATATCATATTATCACATAATATAATATCATATCATGTAATATCACCAAGATGCATCGTTAAGTTTAATATCCGTTTCATATTTTAGCTTCCAGCGGATATTTATTGTTCCATGTAAAATTTAACAAAATTGATATACCGTGATAAATCATAAATCGATAAATTAGCGGAAAACTTGGATTTCTAACTTTGCTTTCAACAAAATCCCATCGCAAAGAAAATCCGAGTTTCGCTTCATTGGAAAACAATAAATCGTGACTACTGCGGAGAATTTATTTCTCGTTAGAGAAGATTTCATGGGAGGATGAAGCCGTACCTAGTATTGCGCATTTTGTATTTGTGTCACGATGTTGTCTTCCCTCTCACGCCCGCGCTCTCCCACGATAATGAATGGAAAAGGAATAAGAGAAACACATTTTCGAGAGACGCCTCAAATGGCCAGTGAAAGTAAAAAGAAATAAATAAAAGAAAAAAAACGAAACTCGCGACAAACTAAGAGACGACGAAACCTTGTAAGCTCCGAATCGGAGAGGAAAAAATGGGCGGCACGACCTTCCTTTCTTCCTTCTTTCCCAGAAGTGACATTACGCAAAGTCGTCATCGCTCTAGGCTGGGCCATAAATGAAGCCACGCGAGGGAGAGAGCGAGCGAACGAGTCAGTCGCGCGTACTCGCCGTGACGCGTGCGTGACGTTGGCGCCGATTCACAGACTCACCATCGAGATGTGACGTTGTCGTTGCTGCGTGTCGTCTCTTCCGTGTGCGTTATCGCGACCGCACACCTTTGTCAGACGCGCGTCAACGCTCAGCTGTAGGCGCGAGTAGCGGGCCGCCGCCGTCGCCTGCTCGCCGGTGCGACGCCGCCGGCGGGCGGCGAGGAATACGTGTGTTGTTTACGCGTTGACGAGGCGAGGCGTCGTGCGACGCGACGCGACGCGATGCGACGCGACACGACGCGGCGCCGCGCGGAGCGACGCTAGTGCACGTCTCTGTCTCTCGCGATCCTTTTCCCCGCGTTCGCGCTCCAAAGAATCGATACCCTCGCGGGTACCTCGCGTCACGCCGACGACGGGGCACGTGCGAAGGATGAATGTCGGAAATACCGTCCCCTCGATCGGAGCAACACTAGGAAGTCTCCCTCGCAATTACAAGGACGACGAGCGCGTCGTCCTTGTCATCGTCAAGGCACGACGAACGTAATTAACGGCCCGCGCACTTTCCGCGGGCTCGCGACTGGAGGAGGTAATGGTCGACGAGGCGCGCGACAAAGACGGCGACATCGCTTCCCGATTGTCAAACATCTGACTTTGATTCGCTCCGGTCGGCTGCCGACGGGTCACAGCGTTGGCGGTCGGCGTCGGCGGCGCGCGCTTGTCGACTGAGCGCCGTCGAAAATAGTCGAGCGCCGCCGAAAATGGCCGAGCGCCGGCCGGCGTGTTCCGAGAGAGAGAGAGAGAGAGAGAGAGAGAGAGAGAGAGAGAGAGAGAGAGAGAGAGAGAGAGAGAGAGAGAGAGACAGAGAGAGAGAGATGCAGCGACCAACACGTAGATATTTTTTAATATAAAAAACGTAAATATGTTGCCATGTAAGCTGTTTCTCCTTGTTAGTAAACTGTGAATGTGTAAAATGATTTTTGTCATTCAAAATACCATTATTGAAATATTCAGCTGATTTTATAAGTCAGAAATAAGAATTTTTAAACACGTATCTCTCTTTCGTATATGTTAGTCTTGACATAACAATGTGACACAACATGTATCGCTCTTCGAATATAAATTTTGGAAAATTTCTTTGCAACTTTCAAGATTTATATAACATATATGTAATAAAATATATATAAATCTTATATATATGACTTATATATATTTTGACACATGTATTCGCGAATGAATCGATTTCGAGGGAGAACGCGAGATACAATGCGTAACAGGGACGTTTGTTTACGCGACCTTGACATATCAAAAAAGTCCATTTGTCGTAAAATAATGCTCGAAAACATCTGGAGCCTCGCCTAGAAATGTCAAGAAAAGTTCGAGTAAAAGAGCTCGTAAGTAATAGACAATAAACTATCAGTCACAGCGTGCATATTTGCGGTACTCGTGATTGCTTACAGTATACCATTGTTAACTCTTTTTATCGTTGTCGACGCGACGCTAAAAACGGATCGGTCAGGGCATTAAACGAGTCGCCGAGAAGTTCAACAACACACGCGACCTGTTTACATGCGATACAAAGAGAGACCGTGTTTCATTTAAATAATCGACGCAGCATATCACGCGTGTCACGAATTACGAGACGTTACATTAATCCTTGATTAATTACTTTCACTTTTTTATCGCAAGATCGATTCGTATGGATGTATACACATCTATATATGTATATTATACATATATGTACATATGCGTATTGAATGAACATTAATATTTATTAAATATATATTTATCATTTTCTATCAAATTATCTATAATTTATTTAATTTTTATGGCGATAATTGTTAGCGTAATTGGCATGCGAGCTTTATTTAAAATAAAGGGATAATTCTTGCTGTTTAACTCCCTATTTCTTTCTAATAGTATAATTAAATTGATACTATAATTGACATGATATTACAATCAAGTTAATACCTCGAACAAATAATATGTTATAATAATGTTATAACAGAATTCCGATGTGGAAGAAGCGAATTATCCATTGCCATAATAAAGCTCATTGTATGATTCTTGATAAGATTATAATGCACCTATTTTCTCTGATGGAAAATAGTATGCAATCTAACGAATGCGGTTTGTTTATTAAGTAAGCTACATTAACTTCAAATTGATTTTGTAACACATTTTGTAACGCCTAATGTGCCTATGCGAATAATTAATTACTTTTACTTTTGCGCTTGCTATAATTAATATATGTTAATCCGTATGTATTTCTGTCGTTCATAGAATAAAATTGAAGTGCCTAGTCTAAGAATGAATGTATATTCCAGTCTGAATATACATATGTACATTCATAAATGCCATTTAAAATACAATTTACAATTTAATCTAGAATTCAATTATAAGATTCATTTTAAATAAAATTCTATCTAAAATAATTATAGATTATAAATTATTACTATTTATGCAGGATGTTTGGAAAATATATATACTATATAACTGTATATCTACTTCAAATATTAAAAAAATATTTATCAAATATTATTAGCAAATTAGTCTTTTATCACAAAAGATATTGAAAGTGCAAAACTCCACAATCATTCAAATAAACTTGTTAATCTTATTATCGAAAAACCTCCTCAATAATACCTCAAATAAAGAAAGACTAGTTTGCTAATAATTTGCTAATAAATATTTTTTTTTAAATATCTGAAATAAGTGTGCGTGTGTGTGTGTGTACGTATGTCGTGACTGGGTCGGAGACTTTTGCAAGTTGCATTCTTTTATTCGTTGCAAAGAATGCAACTTGCGGAAGTCCCCGACCCAGTATCACGATTACGATTCGCCCGTTTGTCTAAGAGAGTTCTTGAACTATAATTCAGACTGCATTAATATTTTCTATTTTTTTAATAGTGTTTTGTACAAGCAAACTGCATCGAGAGATTCATGCAATTCACTAGCCTTGAATCGAGCAGATAAACTTTTTTAAAGAAGTTTTAGCAAGTTAATATTCTGTCAACTTAATGTAGATAAATGAATTTGTTCTTTTGAAAAAAATTTAACCTGTAAAGTGCACGCTTATATTAATATGTATATGTCTAAAAAATATTACAAAATATTTATATTATAATGGAAATTTTTTTATAATTTTTTAATAATATATTAAATAATATATTTAATAATATATTAAATTATAATAACACAATATAATTTAATTTTATTATTAAACGTATTAAATAATTATGATAATAAATAAAATTTTTTTAATTTTTAAATCAACAGAATATATATATATATATATATATATATATATATATATATATAATCCTCTCTGCAAAGACGTTACATGAAATCTAGGATTCTGTTCTTTAAAATCATTGTTTATGATTTAAATATGATTTAAATATGAATCTAAAAATAAATCTAAAGTATAACATTTTGTATAATATAATTAATACAATATAATCATGATTTTGCAATTGATGACCAAGTTTTTACAAATTGAAATGGATTAGCATTCGATTAGAGGATGTTTATGCAATAAATGCATAGTGCAATGAGACGGCATGTCATGAAATAATTCAAACTACCAAGGCCTATGTATACAAAAGAAGATGAAGTAACATATACGTGTGTGCATGATTATGCAAGATAATTAACATGTAAGAGATTTGATTATTGCCAACGAAAAATATTATATATGAGTTTTATGAGAAACCTTTGCACTATGTGATGTATTTATGTCGGTATTCGTAATCGGATTCGGATTCGGATTTAAAAAGCCGAATGTTGAAGTAACATGATTAATCTCAGATTTTCAGATAGAGATAGATAGAAAAGATCCGCCGAGATATTCTTAAAGGTGATTAAGAGCCGAACTGATCGAATAGGTCAAACACCTAAAAGACCAAGGCTACATAGTCGATTGCCTCGAGATATAATTTTTTTAATTTAGCTCCTCTAGTATATATGTGTTCACATGTACAATATCTTGCATACGATGTTATATTATTACTATTGACCTACTAAATAAAAATTTGCCTGTAATACTTTCCAATATTCCTACCTACATATCTTGCAAAAATGAGCGCATGTAACACTTTAATATCTTAATAATATATATAATCATGATATATTGCGATATAATCGTTTGAAAATGATAATAATTGATTTCAATTGCACATGTATCGACAAAATCTTAATTGCATATGTTTATCTCGAATTAATCCATGTACTTTGTATAAGAAATAAAAAATCGAAAAAATCAAACAGAGATTGTATATAATGCCTCGGGAGTTTACTATTTGTTCAGTTATTCTCGTATTTATGCAATAGAATTTTCTTGACATCTGATTATAACATAATCGATCGTAAACAACAAATACATTTGAATAATATTATTTAATAACAAATCATGATTTATTATCTGATTCTCTAATTTCATTTTAAGAAATTTGTTTTTTAAAAAAGAATGAACTATTTTATATAATTCTTTTTTTTCCAAATATTTTAACCTTCGAAAGTGTTAATTTTAACATAAAGTAAGAAGGAGTTTACATATGATTAAAGCATACATACTAACAGATATACATTAATCTTCATTTGATTTTGTGTTATTTCTCGATTAAAAAGACATTTAAAAATCCATTTTGAAAATGGCTTCATATATATAACATAATAATTATATAAATTTTCAATTCTTAAATATTTAATTTTTTTCGACCTAATTTGTCAAAAATACATAAAATCATTATTTTAATGTATAAATGTTACGTACATAAAACCTTATTTTGACAGAGCATTGAGAGAGATGTTAAGAAAAAAAATATTTAATCTAATTAATATAATTTTGTCAAAAATAGTCTTTACAAATTAAAGTTATACGATATTTATCTGTTTTGTGTTTTTAGAAATTAAAAACTTGGCAAAAAAAGTTATTTTTATTCGACAGTACACCTTATATAATGAAATAATCAGTCTTTGATGATAATCGCGGTTTTCCAGGGTCGCAACTGTTAATAGAAATTGTGGTCAGTTAACAAAGACGGTAACGGAATGTGCTTCAAGGATAATTTTAATTGTACGCTGATCTCGAGTCATCATCAGCACTGCTTCGCTTATGAATGACCACCATCTGAACCGCCATCGAATCTTAATCAATGATCGCGTAGAATAATGTATTGAATCTAGTGCGTGTGCAGACTTCATTGCAATTTAATTCTGCAACAATATTATGTATGTATATATTAGAAATATTCTCTTTTACATCGGTTCTCTTTCATCTATGGCTTAAAATTGCAATTTAATAATTTTTCTGTAAATCTCTTTTATGTAAATCTTTTTCGTTTTGATTAAAATCTATTGTGTACATTTTGTATTATAAATAATTTGTATTAAAAATATAAAGATATTTTATCTATTTGTACACATACGAATTCTTCCGAATATGAAATCTATTTTAATTCGTCCACTTTCAAATGGAAAAGCAGTGATATACAATTTTATTTTTAAAATATCAAAAAATTATTAATTTTTTTTATATATGAAAACTATAAAAAGTATGCAATTGCAACAAGGCAATCAAATAAATATTACTATAGCAATGTATCAATAGTCATTTTTTAACTTATTAAATAAATGTTGATATCTCTCTTACGTAAAAATGTATTCTTGCGAACAAAAACTAATCTTATTAGTAACAACACTAATTTCATCTTATCAAGGTAACATCCCGGAATATCGACTCGAATCTCTTTCATTATCTTCACTATCATCCTTCTGCCTTTTCGAACACATGACTAAGATATTTTCTCAATTTATAAGCAACACTTTCGCGCGGTTATACCTAGTCACTTTTATTTCATCGATGATCGAGGTCCTCCTTGATATAGAAGAGTGGGAGAAGACGAGCATATACGCGTGCGACAGTATTCAATCCCTCTTCTCTCTCCCTATTGGCAAGGTGGCACCAGGTGACTTCGTCGTTACGCGATCGTCCCGCGATCACTCGTTAAGTTCGCCTTCAAACAGTCGGGCAATTCGTGAAACACTTCTATGTAGCCCGTTCAATTTTTCTCGACCGATCCAAGTACTACGCGACGACTCGTTACGATTTCATTCTTTTTTTTGAGAAAGAGAGTTCGTGACTCGAGCGAATAGCGAATTTCCCGACTTTCGAACTTTTAGTGAATATTTTCGGCAATCGCAAGTGCGAATATGATTCACGATTAATCTTGCCATCCTGGTCCTGTCAATTTCATTTGAAAAATACGAACGATATCACGATACAAAAAATTAAACTGTGCAATTTGGTGCACTCTCATATACGTAATATTTTTCGACTTAACAATCTTGTTAGAGGGGAGAAATGAGAACGATTGTGAGAATTTGGACGATTCTTAGTCTGATCGGTCTGTCGTATGCAGACAAGTCGTCAGTCATCTTAACGCCTTCAAGCAATCTCGGCACTTTCGAAGAGGAAGACATACTATACGTGCTTTCGCGTAACAAGACTGATACAAAAAACTTCACTTTTATCGAGTTAATCAGCAGCCTTGGCAATTATACAATAGACGCCGAAAAGCATGTATGGAATCATGGTGAATTGGAAATGTATCACACGAATCCGCATTATGGTGAGTTCTATACTTTCATATAAGAAATATAACATCTCTGCTGATAGCTCGTAATAAAAAAGAAATTTGATTATCATTAGCAAAATGAACATTTTTTATTACTATTAACGTTTTTTATTACTTACTTTTATCAATACCTTTATTTTGTATAAAAATAAGTAATTATATTTTATAAAAATTAACAAAAAATTTTTTTTTATAACTTGGCATATACACCAAGTAAAATATATGTATAAATGTCTTGTGCACGTCTTAAAAAAAAATTTAAAAAAAAATTTTTTCGCGAACAATTAATGTTTGAAAAAAAAAAAAAAAATTACGCATTACCATCCGCGTTTTTAGGCTCTTATCGCTCGTTTCATAATTATCATGTTGTTAAATACATAGAGCCGTATTCTTTATTAATTTATTTAAAAAAAATTTTAGTTAAAGTTTTCTGATATTATCGTTTTTGTCTACTAATATTATATCCATAATTGTTAGATTGTTTGCGCAAACATATTTCAAAGACGAACTGCTATGGAAAATTAAAATGTATTCTAATTAAACGAATAAATAACTGTAACGAATAAATGACTTTTCGATTAAACAGATACTTTTAATCAACCGGATCATCTTCGAATTGCGAACAGTAACATTAAATTATATCTAACTCGTTGATACATATATTGATAAGTTGCTATAAGAAAATCATATATACATATATATATAATTTCCATACTCAAAGTACATATTATCATTTATTTCATGAAGTACATCAACACTTCAACACTTTTAAACAACAGTCGTTAGTTAAAGAGAACCAACAATCTTGCAACAATTTGAAATTTGCACATTCTTGCATTACCAATAATCTCGTTATTAACAAAAATACTATTAACCTTTGATCAATTATGCATGAAGTAAATACAGCTTCATTAGTTCTTGGCATCTCATTATTATTAATTGACTTTGACCATCGATAAAATTAATAGCATTAATATAAAAAATAATATTAAAATTCTTTCTACAATAGCAGAAAAATAATCTGCAGTTTTAGCCCACGAATTATAAAATATATAACTTCTGTGTGCACTTTTTTATCGAAGGCCACACACATTTAATCACGTATAACGCGAATACTTATGACATTGATACTTATTTCACAGATGCGTTTTAAGAGAGAAATCAAATTTTTTCCTCATTTATGACAAATGTTTTATGACAAATGTTTAAATTCGATTCATGAAAAATTAATATCGAGAAGCTATTTATTAATTCGTTTAACATGAGGAGGTTTCGATTTCTTATGTTGCAATTCGTCTTTGAATACACTCAACGTAAACAATCTACAAATAATATTAATTAGTTAAATTAGTTAATAATAATTAGTTAAAAGGATTATTGCATAATTAAAACTTGCAATAAACAATCTTTTTGTCCTTTTTTAAGATAAAATGATAATGATAAATATTTATTAGCAAACAGAATGAAAATTAACACTTATATTTAAACAAAAAACTGATTTTTCTTTAATAAAAATATTAAAACATGAGTAATATCTCTATGTTATGAATGATTTAAAAAAGTTTTTTTTTATTTAATCGCAGTTTATATGAATGAATAATATTAAAAATCTATATATTTAATTTTAAGTAAACTTTTATAAAATTTTGACTTAAAAAGCATAATTATTAATATATATATATATATATATATACGATCATAAAATTATGAAAAAGAATTAATAATTATTTTTAATTAAATTCTGATAAAGAAAAAGTATCGGTTCTCATCAGGAAATATTGTATTTAATATCATATTCATCAAATGTAACTGTAATCTCGCAACACAAAATCCATGTATAATATATATATGTATATATATATATTTTACATATATAAAATATATAAAATATACCCATATGTATTTTCTCTGTTCATATATATAGAAAGAATAATAAAAAGAATGATTAAAAAATAATTAAAAGAATAATTTTTGCATTTTTTAAAAAAAGTAAACTAAAAAAAATAAAGTATTAGTAAAAAATGGAAAAAATTGCCTAGTTTGAATTATATACTGATAATTTTTTTCTTTATATATAGGGACAGAAATTATACAAAAGAGGAAAAATATATATAGACATACAATATAATATACATATATATATATATATATATATATATATATATATATTTCCTATGTAATTTTTATATTAATTTTTATTCGGAATTCTATATAATGAAGAATACTTAACAAAGAATATTTTACCAAAGTCAAACGTTAGCAGAAAAAATGCATGCGTCCGTAAAAAAATGCTGACCTTAATTGTGGCATTGATTAGAGGTACTTACAATATCTCGAATAAACATTGCCTTACACACACACACACACACACACACACACACACACACACACACACACACACACACACACACACACACACACACACATACACACACACACACACACACACACACACACACACACATAAATAAATTTACTCACAAAAATTTCCGTTTACTAAACTGTCAAAAAATGTAGAAATATTTTTTTGATATTTCGACATATGTTATTTGAAAGTAATTTTAATCATAATATTGTGTACATTATGTGCTGACGTATCGATAAATGCAATTGTGCAACGAGATATAATAAAAGTGAGCAAATATTAAACATTGCAATATAGGAAGTCAGTTTATAATGCAAAATGTGTGTGTGTGTGTGTGTGTGTGTGTGTGTGTGTGTGTGTGTGTGTGTGTGTGTGTGTGTGTGTGTGTGTCATATTGGATGTAATATTCAAGTAATTAAATGTCATAATACAACTGCAAATATTCTATTAATAACTATTTCATTAAAAATACATATTGCATTCTCACATCATTATACTAATTGATGTATTGACTCGTATCTATTAATAACGACTATTAATTTTTTTGGTGCGGCGAGACTAATTTCTACGAAGTGATAAAAATGCAGACAATTGCGTAATTTATCAATTCAAAACCGGTATAATTAATTCATTCTGTTGCAAATTATGAACATATGTTATTTTAAAAATTTATAGTAATGCTATCGCAATTGGATAATAAATATTTCACATAAATACTTATATCAAATTTTTAATTACTTAATTTTTTTCCATCAAACAATCCGCACGTGTAATGCCATTAATAGCGCATGATAGAACGGTATGTGTGTAATTCAAAATGAATGTATGTATGTGTATAATACAAAATTATACGCTGCTATTAAGCAAATGAGTCATTAACGTAGTTTATACCCATTAAAAGAATAGTAATTTACACATAAAAGATTTGAAAAACATTTTAATATCGTCAAATATTAAAAGATCCAAAAAATTTCTCAGTGATGCGTAGTGTGTGCGTCAAAATTTTGCATAACTTTATCCAAAATAATAATCCAAAATAATTTCTCCTTTTATATTGAATTAATAATGCCTGTCCAATTGATGATGAATATGTTTCTCAATATTGAAAGGATTATGCCGGCTTAAAAGTTTCTTCAGTTTATTTATATATGTTCCACGGTTAGAGAAATGACTTATAAGTTATAACTTGATCAAGCAATATTGTAGTATAAGTCGAACAGTATCGTATAATGTTGCAATTTTATTCTTGCATTAGATTAAAAAAAATACATTGATTTTAATAATAAAAATATTGCAAGAAAAGATAACAAAAAACAGCTAAATATTGAAAAAAACGTTCAAAGACAATATTTAAATATACACTTATTGATACAAAAAATTTCAAAAATATCATAATGTAAAAATATAAATACGATATAAAAATATGAAATAAAATGTTATAACATATAAATAAATCTTATAAATTTAACATTTCTTTTATACAACACGTGATCCTTGAGAATACATTAACATTTATAGTAATGCGATTTATAACTGTTTTTTCCGAGATATAGATACACACATATTTATACATGCATATTAACAAGATCCGGTCAGACTTGGTCATTCTATTTTTATTATGTGCAATCTATAAAAAGATATTTCCGGTTAGTCAAAAAGTAAGTTTCATTGTCGAAAAACCGGTTTTTTAATCATATTACTTTTTATTTCATGTATTATGTTTAGATATATTTCACATTTTTTTGTTTCTTTCCGCCAAAGAAAGAATGTAATACACCTTGAAGCACATCTTGTCCTACAGTTCAAGATTAGTTGATGGGATTTCTTAAAACAACTTGAAATCTTAACAATAATTTATCAATATATGCTTTATAATTCATTTTTTAATTTAGATTTTTTGTGGCTAAAGGTGAAAACAATCAAATGTGTTAATATGCTAAATTACAGAATTCAAGAATTAATAATTCTAGTAATAATATCGCGAATAAAAAAGCAACATTTAGTAAGATTTATAATGATCTAAGAAAAAATAAATAAATTTTATTGATTAACTATAATTATAACTTATTATTGATAACTATAAGCTATTTGATTTTTGTATCTTATATTATATATCACATATCATATATGTTATTATACTAATAATTTTTAATTATATTTTCAATTATACTTTCTTTTATAAATTTTTACTCTTTAAAATGTATTTTAATTTATTTTTAAATACGTTTTGTTTATTTTCAGAATGTTTTCTCTAAAAATGAAAAATAAATTGTTTTTAATTAATAATGTTAATACTAATACTTTTATTATTAATATTAATACTAATACTTTTATTATTAATATTATTACTAATATATTATTATTAATAATATAATATTACTATTAACATTATTAATTGCTACAGTATTTAATAACATTGAAAACGTATAATAATAATATAATAAATAAATCTTTTATTAACAAAATTTATTGTGTTATTGACTTGGCTTATAAAATCTAGTTATTACAATCTATTACTATCTATCACAATCACATAAATCTATTTGTAACCACATAAATGGAATAATAAGGTAAATTAATCAGAATTAGAAGTAATATTAACACAATTGGCTTTGTGAGCCATTATTTGCAACGCGCATTGCAACCTCATTTATTGCTACATCATATGTTGTTAACCAATGCACATTGTGGCAAATTTTGTCTCGGATTGCCACAACTTTGTTGGCAGCTTTTCATGAACCGGACCCGTAAAGAAAGTAAACATTACCGCATGTGAATTATGCAACGCGCCTGGTACACACAGTATTATTACCAATGGACCGAAAGAAGGTCGTGAACGCGGTAGTCTAATGATTCAGGGTCACTATTATTAGAATAGCTATGAAACAATAGCTATATATATGAGAGATATTAAAAAAATTAAACAAATGATGTTTTAAAAGAAAAGATTTCAATTAAGTACCAACAAAATTTAATAGCAAAAATTTCAGTAAAACTAGTTTTAGTTTTCATATAATTACTATTCTTGTCACATATTTGCCTTCCGTCCTCAATACTTTGTTTGACAATTAATATCTTAATTTTAATATAACATTCAATTTTAATTAATGTCTCTCTCTCTCTCTCTCTCTCTCCCTCTCTTTTTGTGGGATAATGTAACAGAAAACTACAATTGAAAAACTTGTCAAATCTCTTAAACTATTTAATCAATCAAAAATATGCATAAATTTTTAAGAAAAGAATCACTTACAAATTATCGAATTAAAATCTGATTAAAATTCAATTAAATTTACTCATAGTGCATAATTATCTCTTTAACGATGTACTATATTAATATTTCAAAGAAAAAAGTTAAGCTAATATAATCTACGCTTGCATATCTGTAATTCCTAAAATCTCTAACATTCAAATTTTCACACTTTTAATTATGATTTCAAGATTTTGAAATCATAATTAAAAGTGTGAAAATCATAAAAATATCTATGTAAAAAATCTATGTAAACCAAACATTGTCTTTGCGAGATATATATATATCTATATATATCTCTATCAAAAAATAAAGATCGGTATAATTAAAATTTATCGAAATTTTCAAGAAAATGTAAAATAAAATAAATATAACAAATATATAATTAAATAGGAATATATATATATATATATATATATTATTCTATTTAATTATATATATGTATATATATATATATATATATATATATATATAATAAATAGAATAAAATCTTTTATATACAAGTGTGAAGTAATGAAAAATAACAGGAAGTGATAAAATCGAATTTTACAAGAATGAAATATCTCGCAAAAGGTCAAGATTTTGAGCAGAATAAATAGCTAATCCATAATTTCTCTTGAACGCATTGATTCATGTTTTGAATAATAAGATGCTCCGCGAGAGTTCGAGATGTAAGTCGTGAGCTTGATGTAGTACATGACCTTCGATTAAAGGTGTCAATTACCTCAGGTTTGTGATTTATGTGTACTGTATATGTGAAAGCGCGTGTAACAGATAAACAAGGACGCCTCTGTGCGATTTATGGAATGTACACATACATAATACAATTAAAAAAGAAGAGAGGGTTTTTCTCCAATATTTATACAATGTTTCGTCATATAACATCGATTTCATAAACTTTCGATATCATTCGATATATGTTTTTAATCCTTTATCTCTGTGAATAACTTATAACAGACAATAATTCTTTTTACAAATTCTTATTGCTTGTTGTACTCATATTTGCCGAATTATCAAAAAAATATATAATACACTTTAATACTGAATAATTCAAGTCTAAAGAAATATATTTTGATTTTTAATATCAGTAAATGTCAGAAATATGTTTTCTTCTAAATGTGAATAAGTTTTAAAATTATTTAACTGTTTTTTTAAATCAGCTAACTATATGCAACTGGCAAAGAACGTTTAATAAGAAGCTAATGAAGATACATAGATATCTATCCGATCCTTCTTGTCTACGCGTTAATTGCTTGTACAACAAGACATCGTAAACCGTGGTAGAAGATGTAATATCACCGCATTTACACGACAAATTAACGCTGCCGATTATTATCGTGCGTTTTGTAATATAAAAGTTTTTGTTTATACATAATATAAACTTTATACTTAAAATGCTTTAATTACGTGTTTCGTGCTTACGAAAGTATGAGATTATCTTATCACCTATTTTCCCGATGAAGTCAGCGATTTAACAAAAAAACAAATAAGTGCTTATTATGCAATATTTATGTAATAGTACGTGTCATTTGCATTATAATACCTTTGCTCTGTTCAAATTTTTAACTCGTTGCATATACATAACTATAAATAAAAAAATTCATAAACATATATATATATATGAAACATTAAATAATGGTGATACATATGAAAATGCACATTATTTATCCCCTCTGCACTGTATTTATGCATATTGTGTTTTATGCGGTTACACAGTTAATCGAACAAACAAACCGCGACGCTAAGTGATTCCTCAGAGACCATCGTGGTTTCGCCATCGCATCGTGCTCGCCCTTTCTAAATGTCCGGCTTCATTTTGAATTCGATTGTCACATATCGCGAGAAAATGTTGTCATATAAATGTTATCATATTATAACAATAGAAACCAGGTCAATCATTCGCTACTACAAAAAAAATGATGAAGTTCAAAGACTATCGCGACCTTATGGTTTTTTTATAAGTAATATTATTTAATTGACAGTAGATAAATATGACAAAAAAAATATATCAGAGAATTATACATACAATAAGAGAATTAAAGAAATGTCGATCATATTCTTCCTATTTACAGTATATTCGATGAATCTTTCAATGCAGAATTTATGCATCCGTGATGCAATAACTGCAATAACTATGCAAGACCATGTTGTAACTTTCTATAGTCAACCATTGTAACACATTTGAAATCAATTCAATATGAGTTCACACAGTGATATGTATAAAAAAATGCATAAAAAGGAAAAACTGCATAAGTATCAGATTCTATACAATTGATTCTTTTCATGAGTCGATGAATATTTGTGATAATTTAAAAAAGATATTATATGATTAGAAAATAGTATCATAACTATTTCATTCGCTAAATTCCTCTTTAAAATTGATATATCATTTAAAACTCATAAATCAATTTAAGATTATTATATAAATAATAATATTAGAACAAGAATAATTCTAACCATCCTTAAAAACGCATATAAAAGGATATAACTGTAATTATAATTAATTATAATTTATTATTAAAGAACTTTTTATTTGTTTCACGAATAAAAAAAATAAACTTTTTAATTTACTTTCTATGACATTAAAGAATTCAATTCTATCTTATTGTCACATACAATATTATAGAATATTATAGACTATAATACTTCTTAATATATTATAAGTTTCTAAGAATTCTTTTTCGAACTAACCAATTATGCATAATATCGGTTCAATGTTCAATGACATTCTGAGAGAGAATTCTCTCGAAAAAAAACTCCGTATGTTAACCTTTTCTAATTTTACGAGTTGTGAAGTCTCGCTGCGGATCAACGACCTTACATATCCTTATTATGCTCAATTTTGTCGAGTTAGCTCATCATTTTGCCTATGAAGTGAATTTTCAATTTACAAGTTTTATTATAAAAATCTTGCCTCGTAAAATAAAGTTTGTTTTATATAAAAAAGAGAAGACGAAAGGTAAAAAAAGGGTAGTAGAATATCGAATTGAAAAATGTTACATATGAACGTTGCAAAGTACAGATTGAATCACATTTCAGACAACACATATAATACAGTGTTTTTTTTGCAACATCGATTAAAATTATTATATATGTATATTGAGCGATTCGTGCGTTGATCTTATCCGAAAATTTTGCTTTCATGTTCTCGTAAATTACAACGTAGCTTGCGAGCGACAGGCACATCGGGAGGTATCTTAATAGCTCTCTCGCATTATCATGTCAATGTCAAACCAAGCAGGGTTTTACGTCGATAAAATTTCTCACTCTCATGTTTGAACTCGAGGCACGTACCCGGTTTCATGCGATTTACGTGAATCCCCGACGCGATATATTAATTCGATAAGAAACGAACGAAAAGTTTTCCTTTCACAAATAAAGTCTTTCTTAAATAAATGTGAGCATGTTTTAACGCGAAATGATTGCCTTAATATGCAAACATTAAGAGATTTTCGATCGGAGATATTAAAAAGATTCTTTTCTTAAATTTTTTTAGAAAATTTTCCCGGAGAAATCGATCTCGAGGCACACAGATTGTTGCAAATCCTCCCTGCTTTTGATCCTGGTGCAGGTGATGTCAGCGCGGAATGCAAACAACATTCCGATATCTTCCACGAGGAACTCGCGAAGTTTACACTATGGGCTCTCAAAAGTAAGTCAATCATCTATGAATAAATATTCTCAATATTTTCAAAAACATACAATCTACATGATATCAGCCATAAATAAAATCAAATTATGAAAGCAGTAATTACAGAAACGGCGTTATCTAAGAAATTCTTCCTCGAAATTAATTAATAATTAATTAATAATTGCGAGATCAAATTCATATTTTTTATGAGATTAAATTCGAAATCAAATTTGAAGTAATTGATAATTTAATAAATTTAATGATCTTTCTCAATCGACTTTTACATAAAATGTTTGTAAATTGAACATTAAGTTGCTATTCTGTAGGCGACATAGGAGATTTGCCAATAGTTACTTTGAGATATTGGTTACTCGATTTCTTTTTTTGTTCGAATATTCATCTTATTAGTGATATATACATGTATATGTACATCGCATGTATTTAATCGGATTACTATTTCAACACAAAAAGCGCAGATATTTAATTAACTCCGAAATATTAATTTCATAACTTGGTTTCATTAAAATAGTGTATTTTACATATGCAATTTTTAAAATGTAGGAGTTTAATTTCTTGAAAATATATCTAATGTAAAAAATCATTATATATATTAATAAATTTGATATGATTCTCTATAAGAAGAAAATGAAAAATATACGTTTCAAAATAATTATGCATAATATATAAATATATTTATCTTGTACCATTAATTAGCCACTTTAGTCACTTGCGTAAGGAATTAATTAGTCTACAATAAAATCACCCTCATAATCAGAAGAAAGCTCGTCTCTCTAGAGATTTTTCTATTTTCATAATATTCATTGATTATTTAGTGTATGATGCGACTGCAAAAGTACCTTCTGGCCTACTGAATGGAAACATTAATCAATTCGGTGATTTTGATGAATGCATTGGTGTCGAAGGCAAAAATGACATTCGAGGACAGTATTGCTTGGCATATTTACAGTTGGATGTCGATCAATCTCGACCAGATCTTAAATATTTGCATCGTCTGCTACATTCGCACTATGCATTCCGCAGTAACATGACAGACGTGAGTATATGCACATTTTTGTGCGTACGTGAATTGGCTGGATCGATCGTTTTGTAATCAATCACCGCTTTTTATCGCAATATCTCACCTTCGCGAATGAAATTGGCGATCGCTTTGGCACGTAGAATATCAAACTCTTGTCACACATATGAGTCATTTAAAGATTATTCACTCTTTTTGACAAGAAGGATTGTGATAATGCTTGTATACATTCTGATAAATATTATGATGTACATTTACACGAAAATATTTTATAAAAATGCCGTATATTATCGGATAAATTGATAATAATATTGGATGATATGAGATTCATATAAAATTGGAATCGATTAAAAAATCTAAGCCTTCTGTATAATAAATATTTCTTTGTGAGCATAATGTTCGCGGCATTTTAATGATTCGAAGGATCATGTCCATTTAATTCTTAATGAATATGTAGTAGACACATAAATCCGTGCCGCAGAATTTATGTAAATCGAAAGAGAAAGACAGCGACGCGGGCGGATGTCGACGAATGAAAGACGTTCATTCGACGAACAACCACGCTGAAAACAAAGAACGACGTAGAGTGAATTTTAATAGAACGAAACGGCAAATTGTGTATAAAAAAGACAGTTACATACTCACAAAGACATATTCTTAAAACTTGAAAGCTATCTGAAAATTTAACTTAAATTTAAAAGCCAGAAATTGAGGAATAAATTTGTAGAAGATCGATGCATTATAAGAATGTTTCATAACGATATTTATAGCGATAGGTATATGTAATCAGAATTAATATAAGGCTTTCAATTAAACGGTAAATCGCGTTAGAATATCGTGGATTATATAAACTATAAAGAATATAATTTTCGATGTCGACAATGTGTGTGATTTACGATAATAATATGTACATCATGACTGAATATTACAATGTACTCTAACAATCGTTTGTAATGTTGCATGTTGGCTTAATGTTAGTATCTATTATTGTTTATCTTTTGTCTCAGGGAAACCAAGCATATCAATTACTGTTGTTGCTTAACAAGATAAATGCATCAATTATTTTCTGAATAAAAAATTATTCGTTCCGCCTTCATAAGAATCTTGTGAATATGATTTATGAAGCATCTCCGTTTGCTTTATTCATACACTTCTCGAATGCTTTAATCGAATGCTTTAGAATAGACTTCCGTAAATACAATCTCAAAAGCGTTTGCGTGATATATTAAAATTCTCGTTAATACGAAGGTCAGTTATGAAATAAATCAGTTATAAAATGGTGGAGATTCTTTAAAAAAAATATCCCATTATCATTCTTTATGCATATAATAGTAATAAACATCGATTTTTCATATTTTCTCAAACAGTTCTCTAGAATTTACATATTTTTCAATATATTATAAATATTTATTTCTGAGCCAATATTTAATGGTAATTTTTCCTTTTCACAAGCACTTATAAAAGAGAACATAAGCGTGTATACAAAATAATGGAGATGAGTTTAAATAGCGAAACAAAAATGTTGTGTCACACAGTAAAAAAAATATTATTGGTGATGTCTAAGAAACTAATTTATCAGTTTCATATTAGTTGAAATGTTTACAAGATGTTTACGTCGCTTCTATATTTAATTTTTTTAATAATGTACAATTCTAAGTATCTGTTTGCATTGTAACGCAAATTTATCTTTGTAATCTGTCCGACAGTTTTGTACCGTAACTGCAAAATTAAGACTTAACATTATTTATTTTAACATTCAGCCTGGTCACAGAGTGCCGCGTTTTAGCACTATAAATTGGGCTGTATGCACACCCGCATCATGTACAGCCCAAGATGTGAAGGCTTCTCTTCAACATGCTGTCTCAAAATATACGACTCAAACTGGTCTCAAAATTACATTGCATGTGGATGAGGAAATGTGTCAAGTGAACAAGGAACTTGTTCTATCAAAAGCGACAATCGCTACTAGGTAAGAAAAGACTTATTTTAATTATAGAAAATATTTGCATTAATATGTATCTTGTAAAAAAATAAGCGAATATTAAAGTTGACAGAAACTTATTCAATTATTTATAATAAATTTCTACCGATCTTCCTAAATTCGCTTCTTTCTAAAACTAATTACTGCAGATTCTTAATTAAACTTTCGGAAATTAAATAATTTTTTTTCACATTATTTTCCACAGTCTTCTCTTCGCTACTGTGTTAATCCTGACTCTTGTAGCTGCGTACTACGATCACTACAAAATATCGGCCAGTGAATTGCTTCTATCATTTTCTTTAAAGCGTAATATGCAGAAACTTTTCTCATTGGAAAGACCGCAAGGCGACATAGCATCGCTCCACGGTATCCGATTTTTAAATAGTGTTTTACTAGTTATAGCTCATAAGAGTATGGCGGCGTTTTTTACTCCCTACGTGAATCGGACTTATATGAGTGAGGTATGTCGTTATCAATTTTTAAAGACGAGTATATAGGGATAAATTAAAAAAAAATATATGTGCGTGTATTAAATGTTACCTTTACGAATAAAATATACTTACAGGAGATCATAATCTTCTCAAGTAGTAAAAATATAAATAGAATATTTAAAATAAAAAATGTGTTAAAATATATAATATAGAATATTATTTCATAAATATTGCATTTGCTTTATATAAATAAAAATTTTGTTTATGTTATGATGTATACACACGCATATATTATAAATCGATTATCACTATTATCAGTCCCTATTATTGATCTTCATAATAGACATAAATTATTTCAATTTAGAAATATGCGACAATTTTGACGCAGTTTTTAGGTAGATCGTGGACTGTCATAGGAAGAGCAGCTAGTCTTTATACTGATCCGTTCATTATGTTGTCCGGTCTGTTAACGACATATTCGTTCGTAGGCAGATTAAACAAAACCGGGAAATTGGATATCAAGAGCGAATACTTGTCGCGCTTGTTGAGGTGCTGAGAATAACATATATGTAACAGTAACGTATATGTTAATTAAATAAATATGAAAATATCTAATTCTTTTAATACGTACAATGATTTCCGATTTTAGATTAGTACCGACTTTAGGAGCGCTGATATTATTTTGTACTCACATCATGCCGTACATCGGATCTGGACCACAGTGGCCGTTGGTGGTGACCAATCACGCGAATATCTGCAAAAAAACGTGGTGGCGGAATTTTTTATTTATTCATAATTATTTTGGATTCGAAAATATGGTAAGTATCGTACAAAATATATACCAATTAATTGTTTTACTCGAGAGATAAAATTATTTTTCTGCAAAAAATGCAAATTTAAAGACTTTTAAAGATGTCTTAATTATAGTCTTTAAAAGATTATTTGCAATATTATTTCGACTTTTCTATATCAAGATCTTTTTAGTGTCTTACACATACGCATCATGTGGGAATAGACACGCAATTGTTTGCGATTTCACCCGTGATGGTGTTGCTCCTATATAAAAAACCAAAGATCGGCGTTATTGTACTTGGTACAATAGCCGTGATATCTACGATATTAAGATTTTACGTCACGTATACCAAATATCTTAACAATTATGTATACTTTGGCACATCGTAAGTAAATTATACATGCTATATTAATAATGGAAAAAAATTGACTCCGATATGCATTATTTTTTTTCTTCTTGACAGGATAAAACAGTTATTTGATACTGCTGATTTCTCCTATACATTACCATCACATAGATTAACTGTTTATATCATAGGCATTTTTGCGGGCTATTTACTTCGAAATATACCTAAAGATTTCAAACTGAGCGCAGTAAGTGGTATTGTATTAAATGTACAATATATATAATTAATATATAATTAAAATATACTAATGCTACGAAATATACTAATTTTTAATATGTGGATTTTAGACAGCTCTTTATACAGGTTGGACTGTGTGTACTATAATGTTTTTGGCGGCTTTTATCGGGCCTTCTAAAATGGGATCAATCGATTACGTATACGATCCGATCCACGCAGCTACTTATAACGCGTTCGCTCCTATCGGATGGTGCGGATTGTTTCTTTGGATGGCAGTAACACAGCATACTGGCAGTTCAAACGGTAATTACTGAAAAAACATATTAATAATAATGCAAAATATTCTGCAAATAATATTCGTTCGAAAGTAACATGTATCATATCAATTATAGGATTCTTGAATAAATTATTTTCTTGGCGAGGATTTCTCATTACTACGAGGATAAGTTATGCTATTTATTTAACGCAATTTCCAATATATTTTTACAATGTTGGGCAAACCCGCACTGCAGAGCAATATGAATTTTTTAGCATAATGGTAAGAAGATTTAAAAAAGTGGATAATTTGAAGATTTAAAAAAGTAAAATCTTTTTAAATGGATTATTCCTTTTCATATATTTATAAAATTATTTGATTATAATAATGTAATATTATCTTTAATATATCTTTAAATTTTGTTTCAGATAAATTTAAAGGAAATAATATGGATTATTTTCATGTCCATAATTCTTACCCTGCTATTCGATTCACCATTCCAAAATCTAAAAAATCATATACTGAAAAAACCAGTATTACAAAAAGATAAAACAAAGTCATCTAAGATAGAATAAATCTAAACGATTCGAATTAAATGTTTTATCTTCATCACTACAACCTAGAATTTTGTACATAATGCTTTCATTTTTTAATCCTACGGACGTAATTAACGTCTAGTATATATGAAAACTATAAACTAAGTAGAGAGAAAAATTAAAATATATTTACATAATTTTTAAACGATTCGAATTAAATGTTTTATCTTCATCACTACAACCTAGAATTTTGTACATAATGCTTTCATTTTTTAATCCTACGGACGTAATTAACGTCTAGTATATATAAAAACTATAAACTAAGTAGAGAGAAAAATTAAAATATATTTACATAATTTTTTCCATTCCTGCACATGTAGCCATACAAATATAACTGTAAATATTATTTTCATTATTTTTCGTACAATTGGTAAACTTGATATGTTTACATAGAATATTATACAATACATTTAGGCAATTAGTATTATGTAAATTATAATTCATACAAATTGGCATTGTATGCTTTAATTCCTCTAGCCTCACAATAAAGATGGAGAAAAATAATTAATAATGAAAAGCAATATTATAAAAGAATAAATAAAAGCAAATAATCAAGACATTTTTGTACCTATAAATTAAATAAAAATGTAGTTAACTTAAAGCAAAAACAATACGTCAGTGAAAAAAGATAAAATGTTAACAATATCGTAATTGTTGTATAAATGCATTTTGATTAAAAATATATTGTTCGGGAAATTTAGGACAATAAAATAATTATTGTAAAAAATATTAAATACACATTTCATGTATTTTCTTATCTCATTCTTTACTTCTATGTCTTACATATATTGTTCGAGAAATACAGTTCACACATAATTTCTTAAAATCTTCAGTATATTATTATTATACAGAAGAATATTAATATCGAAAAGTGAAGAATAGTGAAAATAAAAGTTTAGATTGTTATATAATATTATACATATATAGACTAATAATATAAAACTTAAATTAAAATTTGTTACATGTGTTTTGAGCACCGCTCAAAAGTATTTTAATCTTGCCAAACATAAAATATATAATGTTCATTACATATGATAAATGTATAACTGTTGCAACACATCTTATGAAATAAATCAAAAATATATTTGCAACATTAAAGTAAATTTATAAAATTCTCTTATACGTCTTAATTATATTACGATGTAACTATTATGTAATAATTAAGTGTATTTACATAGAAGAATATATATATGTGTATGTGTGTGTTTCTTTTTATTAAAAGTTTAAACAAATGAAAGTAGCATTTTAAACCATTTAAATATGAACAAAAAAGATACATTAATACACACACTTAATGTTTTACAAAAAATTGCTCAAAGAATATTTTTCTTTACATATTATAGAATGCAATAGCTATATCACATATGATAATTATCTATTTCTATATTCTTAATAGTACTTATTCATAAAATCAGTTGTAATTAACTTCTTTTATAGATGTTATGTATGTTTTGCAATAGGCAGATGATATACAAGAAAGCTCTAAATTGAGGCTGTGTGTGTTTTAGCTGAAAATGAAAGCATAAAACAATAATATAATTTAAAGAAAAGAGAAACAAAAAATATTAAAATAAAATATAATATTATTCTTCATATTTCAATAAATTTTAAATATTATAACTCTTAATAAGCATTAAAAATGTTTAATTATGCCATATTACATATGAATAGGAGCATACTTGAATATATATGCAATTTATATATACAGGATGTCCCAAAACTCATAATTAATCTTTCAAAGACTTTCAGATTCCTGGGATCATTTGGAGACGATTTTTCCTCAGCAAAAATGTCGATGAAGGCCATCATTTTTTGCATGTTCCCGATTTTTGTCATCATATATCTTTGCGATTAAACCTTAAATTAAAACTCAACTGTAGTAAAGTAAACTTTATTTAAAATTAATCGAAGAATGTGGTTTTGTTAATATTTTATTTCTACAAAACTTAGTTTACGAAAAACCCCTTATTTCCAATCACTTACAATTCGAAAATTATTAGTGCCTCGACATTTTCGTTGAGGAAAAATCGTCTTCAGATGATCCCAGGAATCTGTCTTTGAAAAATTGATTATGAGTTTCGGAATACTCTGTATATATATCAACATACAACGCATCAATTATGCGTCAGTTTCAGTTATAAACTAGTTATAAATGCATTAGTGGTACAGCAATATTACGTGCAACATATATTGCATAGTATATAAATCGAATAGATACTGAAACGACTTTTCAAATAATGTCGTAAATTTTATACTAGACATATAAATGTACTTTTGTATCATATCTTTATATGTACTGTAATTTTTCATGTATATATAATTTCACATATATATGTATTAATAAAACTGATTTTCTTATAATATATAAGGCGTATAATAATAACATAATTGTTAGTCCAAAAATAAAGCACATTATTAAAAGTTAAATCAACTTGCATAACTTAAAAGATTGGTTAATAAAAATTTAGTGCTAAAATTACATGCAGCATATAACATATATATATCCTCTACAATATAATATTTTTATCAAAGACAATTAATTATTGAGGAAGCAAATTTGCACATAAAATGTGTGCCTATTTCTTATAATATATTAATATACTTTAATATGCAATATTTCAAATTGCATTATTTGGCGTAAATAATCGTGATTAGCATTTCAATGTTAGATCATAAGCAGAGAAATGTCTGTAACATAAGATTTTTTTAATTATATTTAGATATAGAGATATATCTGTTTATCATATATCAGAATTTATTGTAATATGGCACTCAGTCATAGATACCTGTTTCACATGCTGTGGATCTTCCAATAAATTTAAGCGAAATCTCTGTTCGGGAAAACAGCAGGTGCTATCAATGACCATACATAAAGAGCCAAACACATCCATGAAGAAATAATCTTCACCCACATTGAAGCAGTGTTTGCATTTAAGGTATCCAAACTGGAGTTTGGTCTATTAAAGTAATATAATGATATCGATACACATTAAAACATATAACAATATGTTAATGAAACAATATGTTAATGATTTAATAGCACAGATACGTACTTATACCAGTTTGTAAGCGTCATCATAACGTATAAAGTAGCGAGGGCAAACATAAGATGGAAGAAACTCCAGTTATATGCTACTTTTTCTTCTTCATTATCCCAAACTTTGGCCTCATTTCCACCTTCTGCATCATGATTGCGTCCGTCTACTGTAGTATAATCTGGTTACATTTAGGAAAACAAGAAATAACAAAAGAAAAAGCTACTAAACTGCAAATAAAAAGACTGAAACACAAGCAATGTTTAATATTAATGTTTTTAATGATAATCTATTGTAAAAAACATGCATAAATGTATAGAAGATTTTATTACATATATTTTATTACATATATACTGAAATTATAGTTGCAAAAATATAACAATAAATCTGTATTGTATCTTTAATATTTAATTTCAATATTATAAAAATTATATAATTATACAATTGTATAAGACAATTTATGTCTATAAAAATATTTAACAATGGCAAACAAAAGATTGACACAACAAACAAATATAACATAAGCAAGGGAATAAAGATAAACACACACTAATTGCTAAGCAGATCTATTCAATGCTACATAATTATAAAAATATATTCTTTATTACATATATAAGTAAATTATTGAAGAAATTTTATCTGTGCAAATATATATTAATATGTATCTGTGCAAACATATTGAAACATAATTTTAAAAAATCTAAATGCATATAATCAAAATGTATGATCAGAAAATAAATTCTACTTATAAGGTATAGTGTGTGCCTACCTTCACCACCAATAAGAGACTGCTCTCCTGCATTCCTAACTATATAGAAAGATCGATATTTAATACAACTATTTTAATTTTTATAAGATTAAATATAATAAGTGATGAAAAGATATTAATGTCGGTGCATTAAAAAAGAAATAGTTTTGAGAAGATTTACAGGAGGAACAGAGAGCATATACTTTCAAAATTGCATGGTTACTAAGTGACATATACAAGCAGAAATTGAATTAATATTTACCAGCTCCATTATCCTGAACAAGCACATTCTCGGACATTGTAATCTTTGATGACTTAGATGCTGTGCGTAAGGAACTGTATAAAACGCAGCTAAACCAGATTATAAGTCCAATAATACTTTCCTTGTCAAATGTGACACGATTTTTTGTCTCCAATTGTATATTATTACCAGAGAATATTCCAAGAAAACCAGGATTGCAGTACTCATCTACAAATTAATAAAAATAATAATGTAAAAATAGTAATGACAATCAAGAATGAAATATGAGTCACATGTTCCTAGCTTACTTCAAAGTCATTTATATTTACCTGGACTGTTTGATATACCACTCCATGTTAAGTATACTACATATAATGTTACCACAGAAGATTGAAGAAGCCCCGACCGTGGATGATGTTCTTGTACAACCGGTAATATTGATATGATGCTGGTAATGACACACAGAATCAAATTAAATGAAATGAAAAATTTGTTAAGTGCACATGTACTTTCCTGTAAATATAAAATAAATAAGTGTATGTATTTAGAACAAATCTATAAATCTTTACTAAAAATAAATATGATTAATAATCTTACATGTGTATAATATACATAAAGTAACACCACTCCAGTAATAGAAACAGCATAATTAAAGAAAGATGCACCTAATAATGCGGCATACCTAAAAATATTTTGTGTATCAATAACAAAAATGTTTGATGCATTTATATTATTATAAAAATATCTTCTTACCATCCTTTTGATTCGGTCTCTTCATAATTTCCTACCCATGCATCAGCCCAAGAATGAGCAAAATCAACAATCAGAATTAACTGAATAATTATAAAGAGAAAACCTCCTAGCATCCCAAAATACATCCAAGTAGATCCAAATGATTTTTCCGGGATAAAGAAAGCGCCAATAATTCCTCCAATTATCAAAAGGTACTTGATTGCCCAAAATCTGAGAATTGTATAGAAATATTACAAAGTTGCAATTTTTTTCAGCAAAATATAAGCTCAATTACCCATTTTGTATCGGTGCTCGTGGATCTTGTGAACTTTTTACTCTGATCATCATTACAGACATCAAGAAAAAATACAGAGACAGAATAAAACATATTCTATAAACTGCTAGATAGCCAACCGCAGATTCACAGTCGAGAGTAACATCCGATGGAACATAACTATTAGAACTAGTTTTGCAGAACGGAACCTGTTTAAATATAATACCATTAAATACAGGGCGTTTCTAATAGTAAGAATATTTTTTTACCTTTTTAAGAACATCCTGAAGTCCAGGAGACAGAGTGATACAGGCTGCAATAGTTCCCAACAATAAAAGCAACGCATACATAATGCGAGTACTTGTACTGTTCCTACACGAAGGACATTGAGAACAACAGAAACTGCAAGCTGTGCTTCCGCACAAACACGCAAGCTATACAGTAAAAGAGAACCGTATAGAAAATGAATCCATGGTATTTATAAATAGATAAAACAAAAACATACAATAATAATAATTTCTCAAATGATATAAATAACTTATTCTCATAATATTTCAACATCTCTGTAATAATCATCAGTTTCTCGTATCAAAAAACCTTTAAAAATACCTCTTAAAAATAGCTCTATACATTATATACATCCTAACATAGTACAATCAATATTTCAAAAATATATACATAATGAAAACATACAAATGACGCATATAATAAGTCATTAGATCATTCGCGCGCATGAAATTATAAAATTTCCTATGAGACATAGGAAAATGAGGCTGAAATTGATTCAACTATATTTTTAAAAAAGGATTTGGTATAAGGCTTCTTTGTCCATAGAGGAATAAAATAAACACAACCAGTAACTATACCAACAATAGAATTATAATTACTGCATAATCATAATCATAAATATCTCGTTAAATAAATAATAGTGCGTAATATTTTGCTCAATGATACAAAAAGGAAAATTTATTTCTCTGAAAAGAATGAGTCAGACAATAGTTATCTTCGAATCTGAACTTTACCTGAGCTGTGGAGCACACGAGACCCATGATGAGTTTTCTCCGCTGCTCGAGCTATCGAAGAAAAGACGAGATGCTTCGAAAAAAGAATTTTGATTAGAGATACCGAAATAAAATCTCACCGAGCAAGGAAAATTTCCACGAGAAAGTCACTGTATTACAATAATAACAATAGCGGACTGACAGCATCAATTTGCAGGCAACTTCGCGCAATCAGCTGACCATGACGTCACAAGCGCTATTTCGCAGCACTTCAGGCGAGTCCGATCTTGGTTAGGAAGGGAACAGTATTGAAGCGGCAATCTATGTGTTCGTACGCGTGTTTGTCATTTTGTCATCATCGCTAAAAAAAAGGTAGAACACGCACATGTATATGTTGCTCGATTCTAAGTATGTTGTAAGCGACTTATTGCCTCAATTACTGCAAGCAGAAACTAAGGTACATCGGTTATTTCATTATCGTGTAATTGTCTCGAATATATTAAGTCTTTTGCGAGCGATTGAATTTTCCGAATTAAATATCTTACGACTTACGATGTGGGCGAGGAATACAATGCATAAATTAGTGACGTGTATCTAATTTTATATTCCATTAGACATATTAACCGGTTACCTGAGGAAACAAGATTCTGTGAAAAAGCTTAATTTATCTGTAATATTACGATGTGAATTATAAAATAAAAAAATCCGTAAATAATAAAATATCATATATGTGTAGTTATACATGATTTTAGTTTTATCACTCAGGATATATTCAACTAGATATATAGATTCGAGTTTTTGCCTGCATATATTTGTATTTTTAATACGAATATTTTTATTATCTAAACGTGCAGATAAAAAAAGAATACATGAAAATTTACTATTCTAAAATTCATATGTTATTTTAGAAGGACAAATCTATTTTAAATCAATAATAGAACTAACGACCTTAACCTTAATGCGTATGGGAATTGCTATTTCTGTTATGATTTTTCTGTGTTCTCTTGGATTTTTTAAATAGAAGCTTTTTTTAAGACTTTCTTTTTTATAAAAATTTGCTTAAATAAATTTAATATAAATTTAATATTTTCAATAGTCCCTTACAAATAATATTTATTAGATGATTGATATAAATAAAAATTAGACATATAGATTAGATAGATGATTAGATAATAGCAAAATTGAGATTGCAAACTTGATATGTTATTTTTATTTTTTCTTGTATTTTAAAATAGTAAAAGTGTATATTAAGTATAAAATTATATATAATTATAAAATAAGCTATTTAGGAAATTAAAATTTTACACGCGCGTATGTGTACAAAAGTTTGTATGAAAAAATTATTTTATTATATCTACAATGATTAAAAAATCTCTTTTATATTTCGGTATTATATGTCGCTCCAAACTAAATTCTTATTAAAGTATATATTTTTGAAAACGAATGCAAAATTAAATTTTACTTATTCACATTTTCTTAATCATATTTAATTATTTCAACTCTGTCTTCAACTGTCTTAATCCTCCATCCATTTACATGAATTCTTTGGAATTTCTGAATACACATATGATGTTAAAACGTAGCATCTGTAATCTCATTGCGCGAGAGAAATTAAGTTATATTTAGATTTCGGCTAAATGTTTGTTCCACAAGAAGAGAAAATAGCAAGTTTCATTTTCTCGTGTTTGGAGAATCGATTTTCATAGTTGTTATAATTTTGCAAATGTGAATCACATTTCTATTAACAATTGCAATTGCTATAAACGTTATCTTATCGTTATGAATCATTTCGCAGCGAAAAACGCGAATAACTGTATTGCTATAAGATTAGAGACCATAGTTTTGTATGCAAAAGAATTTGTTACGTTATCGATTTTAATAACTTTTATACATTGTATGTTTTACAATATGATGATTACATTTATTGAATTTTTTATTTTTATTCTACTTCATAGATGAATCTTCCAATTTTTGAAAATCGTATCTTTTGTGATAAGTGATAAGAAAAACTAAAAAAATCTAAAAGAGCTTATTTGTTTTCTGCTCTCATAAAATTCAAATTAAAAAGTTATTAATAATCACGAGGTAATTAACAATAAACATTTCCTAAAAAATATAGATATAATAAGAATAATAATATAAAAATTATAAGAATAATATCTATAAAGTAATATAAATAGCATAAAACATTTAATTCTAAGTGCTATGAGCATTATTGTTTAATGATTTTTAATTATATTGAAAAATATATATGCTTGTAAATATAAAAGTAAATTACTTAGTTTTATGAATTTTTAATTGTGCAATAAAAATATAAATGTAACTTTTATGTTGTATGTGTAGTAAAAATATGCTGTTTTGATTACGATATTTCACGCTTGATATTTTGCATATCTTGTCTTGACTGGGCCAGTCTGTGTCATCAAAATTCTATGTATTCTCTCTTTCTTTCTCTTTAATCTTAAAGGTCACCGTAAATTGCGTTGATATAATTTAATGTGCGGATAGAGAGGTACTTTTGTAATAGAATGCAATAGAGCAATTTCAAAGTAAGATCTATCTAAGCTAGCGACGATCTTGATACGTTAATTTATGTTAACAAATGTTAATTAGAGTAAACGAATAAATGCAAAACGCAAAATTATTGTTTTTATAATAACTAATAGTAATAAAGTGTAATGTACAATTAATAATGAAGTGTATGTGTGTATAATTATGATATGTTGTTTTTCAAAATATGTGTTTCAAAATAATCTTTATTTTTGTATATAAAAGTAAGCGCTTTGAAATTAAATCAGAGATAATTATTTATTTAAAGCAAATATTGTTTCAAATATGACTTCTACAAAATGTTATATATATATATATATATATATATATATATAAAATTCTGAATAAAAATATTTTAAATTGTTTTAAAAAAGAATTACATTTTTTTACAGGATTTATCGAGACGCAATTGATAATAACAGATAATAACTGATAATGGAAGGAGAATCAGAAAATAATACTTCCAATAAAATTTCTAAACCAATTAATTGGCCATACATGAATATCAGTTCATTAACTATATCGTTTCTAAGTAAACTGGCAGCAGCCGGTATCATCTGGGGATGGGGATACTTTAATTACAGCATAGCTTGGTTGATTGCGCCAATCGCATTTTCTGTATGGAAGGCAGAATGCAAAAAGGATAACGAACTACGAATGCTTACAACACAAGCAAGTGCATTGGCTAAGGAAAAAGTAATGATTATGGGACGAATAGACGAATTACCGTCATGGGTGTATTTTCCTGATTTCGATAGAGCTGAATGGTTAAACAGAGTATGTATTATAATTTATTTATGATATATTATAAATGGTATAATATTATCTTTTTTAAATTTCAAACTGTTTAATCATTTCTGAGAAAAAATTAATTAAAATTTTTATAATTTGTTTCTTATATTTTCAGATTTTATTTAAAGTGTGGCCTAGTATGAATCACTTTGTTCGTCAACTATGTAAGCAGAATATAGAACCATCAATTGTTGAGAAACTGACTGAATATAAAATAAAAGGCTTTCAATTTGATCGTCTAGTTTTGGGACGTATTGTAAGTTTATTTTAATTTGGCACTTGTATACAGCTTATTTTTTAAGTATTTATAGTTGTAATTTGTGTATGCATGTGTATTTTTTCTTAAAACTTACAAAAATGATCTTTTACAGCCTCCAAAAATTTATGGAATCAAAGTATATGACAAAAATACTTCAAGAAATGAGATAATTTTAGATGCAGACATTATGTATGTATCTCATTATTTTTTTCATAATAATATTTTTAAGAAATATGTATTTTAATATAAAATATTGCATTTTTTTAGGTATGCTGGCGACTGTGATATTACCTTTTTGGTTGGAAACATTAAAGGCGGTATTAAAGATTTTCAAGTAAATATATTAAAACTCGATTATATAGAATATTTCTTACAATTTTTAGTAAAAATTGAATATTTTTAGATACGTGGTTTGATACGTATTGTTATGAAACCTATGCTATCTGTAATGCCAATAATCGGAGGTGTACAAATATTTTATTTAAATAATCCTACTATCAACTACAACTTAGTAGGAATGGCTGATGTATTAGATTTACCTGGATTCAAGTATGATTTTTTAATGCAAAATTATATGTTTTTGTTTTAAAATTGATAACTGATTAAATAACATCATTTGTTAATTGAATATGATGTAAAAACATGGTACTTCTTTCAGTGAAACTTTAAGGAAAACCATTGTTGAACAAATAGCAGCTATTGTTGTATTGCCGAACAAAATAACTATACCATTAAGCAACGAAGTACCAATGGAAATTTTAAAGATGCCTGAACCTGAAGTAAGATTTATAATAATGTTTATAATAATAAAAAGTTATAATAGTAAATCTTATATAATATTACATCTTGTATACATATACGTTATTTTTCATGAAATATTTTCATGTGTTTCTTTTTTTTTTAATTAGGGTGTTCTGAGAATTCATGTTGTAGAAGCAAAGCATTTAATGAAGAAAGATATTGGAGTGTTAGGAAAGGGTAAATCTGATCCATATGCTGTCATAAATGTTGGTGCCCAGGAATTTAGAACAAAAACCATTGACAATACCGTTAATCCAAAGTGGGACTTTTGGTGTGAAGTATGTATAGTGTTTCATACTTAGTTGAATACAAAATACATATTAACAATTTAATGCATGTGCTTTATCGCAATTATCGACATCTTTTAAAAAAATACAACACAAGGTCTTCTATGTGGTAAGAAAAAATCTAGTAACTTAGAAAGCGAGATTTTATAAGAGAATATTGTTCTGTTCTCTATTTCATCACATTAATCTATTGAGTTAATGACATTGTTAGATATCATAATATTCTTACATTTATCTTTCTTATAAATGGAGATAAATACTTTTCATATACTAAGCATTCAATACACAGCTAATTTAATGTTTTAAACAACCAACTCTTCTGCTTTCTTATATAATTTATAATTTTACATACACACATATAACTTCTATTCAATTGCAGACATTTCTACGACCACGTTTTCCTATTTTCCCTTTTATGGTTGCATTACCTTTTTTTTGGATTGCAGATAGAATATATATTTTAGTTTATGTAAATATATATTGTTATTCCCCATAAATTAGTATGTATGTGTGTATGTGATATGCATATTATGTGGGACTAGTGTGCCGTGCCTTCAGCCATCGCGCAGCAACTGACTGTACTGTTGTGGGACTATGATGACACTAAGGGCGATGAAAGTCTTGGAAGGTATAGTTATATGCAACAATCTGTACCTTTTATTCATTTATAATATTTCCGCTTTTATATCATTAATTAATCACATAAAAATAAATTCAAATTAAAAAAACTGAAATACTACAAAATATAATATACTCTTATTAATATATTTCAGTTAATATTTTTCCTATAATTTTATATATATATATATATATATATATATATATATATATATATATATATAATTTATTATTTTGTATATATAATAATTCATCTAAAATTATTTACTAAATTTATTTCATCCATTTTATCCATCTACAAAGAAATTGCATGATGTTTCATTATGTGGGGGTGTGATAATATTTATATTGTTGGTTTAAATGCGTTTTCGTAACATCTGTGGATGCATGTTGGTTCTATTTTTTATTTATTAATTTTCTTTACTAATGCTTTACACACATAAAATAAAATCGTCACATTATAAAATACCATTTTAATCATTTCGCATCTATTTAGTAGCATAATGATGTAATTATTATTCAGATTAAATTATGTATATATCATTTATAATCGAGATGAAATATGTTATATTCATTTTTTTATGAGAATTCATATAATGTATGTAGCATACATTTATATAATGCAAAAATTACATAGAAGGAAATAATATAAATATAATTGAAAATATATATAGTTACCCTTAAAAGACTGTCGTCTTTATATTATACGTTATACATCATAATATTAGCACATGTTATAATCAATTCATGCAATATGCAAGAAGCTGTCATATCTCTTTAGGATTGGGATCCAAATGTCTCAGGAATACAATGTGATGATTTCCTTGGCAGGTAGTAATTATGATTTGTAAATGAAGCAATGCTTGCATATATACTACTAATAAAAAACTATAGATGTTAATCTTTGATGTTATTCGAGCATGCCATTTAGTCGCGCGTTTTTCGTAGTCTAATGTATTATCTGTATAATAAGACTTCTTTATTTCCTCTTTTTATCTCACTGTGTTCTATTAGTTATTTATTTTTATTAAAAATCGCTCTACAGATATAGCTTTTCAAATGCGCGTTGCACGAATATATATTTTATTTTATTTAAGTTATTAAAATTCAATTTTCCTTTTTTTGATATTTTTCATATCCATAGTTATAGTGATTTTGAATATTTCTAATATAATCTATGTATTTTATTAACTTTTTTATTAAATATATAATCATTAACAAAAATAATAAAATATAATCATTATTAAATATAATCAATTAAACATTTTTCTATTTTTTATAAATGTTCTTTTTAACAAAAAAAATATCCTACGTTTATTCTAATTTCATTATTTTAATTAATTAATCGGAGTTACTTAATATGAATAGTAACTAAAATAAACTATGTGGTGACAGTTTATAGTGAAAGAGGGCTTGGGAGCCTACAACACGATGGTTGCCCAGCTCTTTGACAAAGACAACGCTGCTCAAGATGATCCACTTGGCAGGTATTGCTGAATGTAGCAAGTACATCAATTCTAGATCAGATCAAATCAATAATGTATTTTATAAGAGATTCGTATAGAAATGTGAATTAGTATATGCGCGAATATCTGCCACTGATTGTAGATTATGCTTGAAAGGCTGCATTTTTTTCCTTATTTTATGAATTATTTATATAAAATATTGCAGGATAAATATTAAAGTATTTTAGATATAAATATTAATCATGTATCTGTGATGCATGCTGTTTATTCAAAATCCATATGAAAAAATCTGGTATGTGAAAATTTCAATAAACTCTCGTTAAAAATAATTCTAAATTCATGTCACCACATTACTCTCATTTACATATTGAATAAACGTATTAAAACATCTGTTTATGCAATAAATTAATACTGAAATGTTGCATGTTTTATAAATGTATATCATGTGCAATGAGATGCTTTCTTTATTTAGTATCCTTATTTAAAACAAGAATTATAAAAGTACATCAGAATATAACTGTATAATATACCTGCATGAGTGCTTCATAAAAATGGTATTATGGATATACATAAACACACACACACACTCACTATATATACATATATATTGTACTTTGCATTTTACAAATGACTATACATTATCATTGCCATAAGCATTTTTCTGTGAAACTGCTGAAATAATTTTGTATAACATTCTTAAAAGTTTAATAAGATATATGTATATATATATATATATATATATATATAATATATATATATATATATATATATATATATATATATACACACATACATACAAAGAGATTTTTAAAAATCTGTTCATATTTCAAATTTTTTTATAGAGCTACTATTGAAATTATCCGAGTGAAGAAAAAAGGCACAATCGATACAGTGAGTATGAAATTTATCTCATGGAAATAATTGCCCATTATCTTAATAATCAAACTAATTTTATTTTGTAGTGGGTTTCCTTGGAGCAAGCAAAACATGGTATGCTTCACTTACGATTAATGTGGTTGCAACTTTCAAAAAATCCTGCTGATTTGAAAGCTGTAAGTAGAAAAAGAATATACATTTCTTTATGTTAATACTTATATATATAATGTTTAATTAATAACTCTTGTACAGGCTTTAGTAGAAACTCAGGAACTTAGAGTTACATCGATGAGTACAGCTCTTCTTACACTTTACATTGATTCTGCTAAAAATTTACCGGTATGTAAATTATAATATGTGTAAGAAAAGAGTTCTATTTTTAATAAAATAATTAATATCACAATATATGTATATATAGTGCATTCGAGGAAATAAACAACCTGATGTTTATTTGGAAGCAAGCATTGGTGGAAAGAAAGAAAGAACATCTACTATACCACGTTCTTGCGATCCAGTATGGGAACAAGGATATACCTTTTTAGTCAGCAATCCTGAAACTGGTGTTTTACATATAAAGGTTTCCTATACATTTTTAAAAAAAATATGTGACAAACATAAGATTTATTATTATTTATATATAATAACAATTTTATAATCGTTCATACTTTAGATTATAGATGAGAAAACTGCCATGACAGTTGGGGAAATGAATTATAATCTTTCCTTACTTTTGGAAAAGAATAATTTAGAAGTAACACACCAGCCATACGATCTGCAAATGGCCGAGGCAGATAGTAAGCTTGTATTGTCAATGTCATTAAATGTAAGGAACAGAAAATTATATATATATATATATATATATATATATATATATATATATATATGTACAGAATTTAATGCAAGTAGACATAATCATACAAAACAATTTGTTTTCATAGATCTTGAAGTATGAAGAGCCTGAACTCACTTCCGAAGAAGATGAAGATCATCATGATATCAATCAATTAAATAAACGAATTGAACGTCAGGAGTCTAACATTAGTAACGTATCTTCTGGTAAGTAGAATCGTATTAATATTACCTAAAATCTATTTATTTAAATTGGATAAAAAACTCAATCCACAAAAAAATGATTTTTTTTTAAATTCTTATATTATATAGTGTAACACATGTTATATTTAATATGATACATTTTCTTATAGTACCTCCCAGTCCTCTTAAAAAACAGCCTTCAAAAGAATCGATCAACAGTCAGTCTCATAATAGTAAGTCTGCGCTTTTACCTGAGGAACCAGCAGCGGTAGAAGAAGAATTAATAGTTAGCACTAGCGTTCCGTCCTCTATGGCTGCAAGATTTCATACTGCCCCTGGGCGCTTAAGGCATCCTTCCCTGACATCCTCTCAGGGAGAAGCAAAATTAGGCAGAATACAATTGACATTACATTACAGTGTGCAGAGACAAAAACTTGTTGTTGTTGTACATAAAATTGCGTAAGTTAATCGACATCTCTTTACAAAATAAATCTAACTAATATTATCTTCTATTATATATTTATATGTTATATTACAGTAATTTACCACTCCCTCAAAATGACCCACACAATATACCGGATCCATATGTAAAACTCTATCTGTTGCCGGATCGACATAAGGAAACAAAGCGCAAGACTGCTGTAATGAAGGACAATTGTAATCCAACATTCGACGAACAATTCGAATATGTAGTTTCGCAGGGAGACTTAAACACGCGAATATTAGAGATATCTGTGTGCACTCAAAAGGGTTGGTTGTCAACTGGAAGCAATGTGATGGGACAACTTCACTTGAAATTAAGCGAAATCGACATTTCAAAGGCTATTACTACTTGGTATGATTTACAACCGGAAATCAAAGACTAGAAAAAGAGAAGTAAGCGGGGCTTCGAACGTTTATGCGGTTGTCTGACAAAACAGCCACTTAAATTCCCGCTGAACAATTTTTACAAACGATGAAAGTTTTCAAATTTTACAGTTACAATATTCCGTTGACTTTATTATGTTGTTAAACTAACGATTATTATATATTAAAATAAGTAAATATATGGTGCTACATATGAGATGCGAAACGTCTTATAAAATATATATAAGATAAAATTCTTATTAAATATTTGTACTTACGCCGTCCAAATGGCATAGGAATGATCTGATTTACAGTATTGCTGTAACCTTCAAGCAGAAGGACGGATTGGCTAATGTAACTGGAACTGCTATTTCTATATACATCGACTTGTAAAATCATTAAAATATTACCTATAAAACAATATGCATAAAGAAATTGAGTTGAGTCAATAGATTTTATAATTTTGCATGTATTAAATTTTACATATATTCTCTTTTTAGAAATGTGTTTGAAATAATCAATTATTTAATGTTTAATTAAATACTCCATTTATGTGTACATTCGTGAATTTCATAATATAAATGACTAAAATCTGCAAAAATACAATATTATATAATCATGATTACGATTAACTCAAATGTATATAAGAAATATTGAAAATTTCTTCATTTTATAAATTTTCCACGTTTTTTTATTAATACATTTACATTTATCTTCTGTACTTGAATTCATGATTATATGATACAAAATGCACAACACATTACATATATCTATAGAATAATACATCAATAATATACTATATATTATGATTTATTTGTATGATTGATATTAAAAATTAATCATTTCAAAAAATTATTTCACTGTAATTATATTCTCCCTTTTTTTCTTTATTTTGTTTTAGTACTGCTTTGTTACTAAGAAAATGAAGTAATATATTTACTAATTGCGATTTTTATTAATAAGCAATTAAATAGGTGATTAAATTAATAATTATATGTGCTTTTATAAGGTCTTATCGAAAATATATACATAGCTATATAAAAAATATATACAAAGGTATATATACACATTAACCTAGCTTATATAGTTTTAATATAACATAATTCATAAAAAATAGAATTAATATATACGCTTTATATTTGTATCGCATAAAGATTTTGCTATATTATATATATTTATATATATATATATATATATATATATATACATATATAAAGTATTTATGTATATTCTGTGATACGTTGCAGTGTCACAAATTGTTGAAAATAATAAATATACGCATTATTATCATTTATGTACCTTTTATAACTATACATTATTATAACAATTAAATCCTGATTTTATTATATCATATAATTTTGAAAAAATATCTGTACTTATATATAATTACTTACATTTATATAAAATATGATGTAATTAAAATAAGGATACATTATTTCTATGTTACTAATTAAATAAAATCTTATTTTTTTCTAATTCTCTATTTTATATAATAATATATAAATCGCATACTTTCTTCTTACATATTACTGTATAGATCGTATAGATTAAACGATCACCAAGGAAACTCAATGATATAATGTAAATATGTACATACATGCATACTTCTTGTCGGTGATATTCTCACCTCACTGCACGAAGAAGCTTTTATATAAATACTATATATTCTTTCTCTGAATTTATAATTAATTTAATATGATAATTTAATAGTGAATTGATAGAATTTTTATCAGTATGCATCGGACATCGCGAATATTACCTTGCCTTCCAGGATTTAGCTTTGACAATAATGTAAGTGCTTTTATATTTTATAATACAGTTATAACATACGTAACTAAAAATATATAATATATAATGCTGTTATTAATATTAATTATAAAGAAAAATATATAATAAAGTATAGCTTTTATATAAAATATAAACACAATATATATATATATATATATATATATATATATATATTAATGCAAAAAAATTTTATATATATTTTAAGTATATGTGCATATCTTTTGCAGTTTGGTAAAACTAGATTTCACAAAAGACAACATTTCGATAAGATACACGATGGAGTATATTATTTATCCGAGAAAGCAGATACAAGCGTTTACAGCCGTTATTCATCCATTTATCCTCGAGAAGAGACACCAGAAATTCCGCCATGGCTCGCATACGATGGCCAAGTATGATTAATAGTAAATGCATCTCATTAAAGTAAATTGCCTTTTAAATAAATAACATCTCTTTTAATAGAATAAAAGCGCTATATAATTGTAATCAAATTATTATTCAGTAAATGAATTAAATTTTCAAACTTTGATTTAAGAATTATAAATTGATTTTAATTAACTATTGTTATTTTTGTTTTAATTGTATTTTTAGAGACTCATGTTTAAAGCGTTTTTTCAAGAAACTGTACAAGAGAAGTGGAAAACGGCCTTTCACATTCGCGTGGTGAACATTAGTTTTTTTCTAGAAGACGGAACCATAAAGATCGTAGAGCCGTCTGTGGATAATAGCGGTCTTGAGCAAGGTTCAACGGTGCATTTCATTTTTATAATTTTTCTTCGTCGCTATTTTGTCACAGCAGTATTATTTTATTTGTAGCCTTTTTTATTTTTATATTTGTATTTTATTATATCTAACGCAAACATTGTGATAAAATAATCAAAGTAGAAATAAATATTCGTAATTATTATAAATATAAAGTAAAATGTACAGAATTGTCATAATAATTTTTTATGCAAAGGGATTCTGGTTAGACGACAAAGAATACCAATACCCGATCAAGTAAAGTATAGATATTACGATATACTTGATTTAAATGTTGGCAAGGAACCTGAGATATACGGACGAGTATACAAAATTGTAGATTGCGATAAATTTACGAGACATTTTCTTAATCGCATGGGAATACCAGTGCCCGATCCTATCGATATACCAAAAGATCCGTATTCTGAAGTTCGAAAAGTCGTAAGTATAGTATTTATATAAAAAAAAAGCACACGGTTAAAATAAAATAATATTTTCACACGAAATCACTATATAATGTTCTTACTTATTTTGTTATTAAATTAAGATTACTAATTTAATTATATCGAATTTATATTATATTTCTACGTACAGGAAGTGTTTCCAAAAAAACCTAATCGTATGGTGGATACACTTGGCAATTTTTTAAAGTACGACAGACAGGTACTCCGATTTTATGGATATTGGGATGATACCGAGAATTTACACGGCATTGTCCACGATCTCGAACTACATTATTATCTCTCTGATAATACAATGGAAATCAAAGAAAATGTACCATCAAATGCTGGCCGAGACTCGAGTCCTATGTTGGTTAAAAGAATGAAAATACCAAAAGTACGATAAATATATTATTATGAATAATATTATCTCAAATTTTAACATAAAAGCATCTAATATATTATTAATAAATTTTTATGTTACACTGCATATACTATGTTATTATAAAATAATAGATTTGTTTCAATAACTGCCACAAATTTTCTACTTAATTTTATTTTTAAATTGATTTTAGTTTTATACTGGATTACAACCGATTGGCACAGAAGATCGTTTCACGATTTTAAATGTCTTAGGCGAAGATACTAGACAGGGCTATTACATGGTGGATTCTCTTGATACTGGCAAAATTTCCGCCGATTATTATAAAGATAATGAATTGAGTATCGGCGCGCAGATTAACGTCTTTGGTAGAAAAATTGTTATCACGGACATGGACGCTTTTACGAAAGAATATTACCGGTAAGATGACCAGAAAAAAAATCCTATTCTCATAAAAAAATGGATTTATGCATATTTTTAAAATAATCTTTAGGACAAAATACGGTTTGGATGATTTTACGCCTTTGTCACAACCTCGAAAAGATGATGAAGTATGTCAAAAGATAGAGAGATATATACCACCCTACAATGGTTTTGGATCTTACGACGATTCTCTTGGTAATTGTTTTTCGATGATACCAAAACCACCTAAGACAGACTTTATCAAGTTTTTGTATCATGACAAGTAAGTGAAAAGTAATATTCTTTGAAAGGGTTTTTTTAATTATTTCTCTTTTTCTATTTTTCTATTTTTTATTATTTCAGGCAGGGTTTTAATAGCCACATCTTGAGATTTCGGGCGAAAATGATATCAAAGATTCCAGCTAACGAAGATAGACAATTTATTATAAGAGTATTTCTCATGGATGATACAATATCTATTTTCGAATTAGCTAAACGAAATTCAGGTATCTATAATATCTGCAAAAAATTTAATACATAAAGATTTACATAAAATATTTGCTGAAAAAAAGAAAAAAAAATTTTTTTAATTTTTTATAATTAGAAAAAATTAATTATTAAATTATTATAATATTAATTATAATAATAATCTCGCACAAATATTGGATAATATTAATATGTATATATAAGAAATAATATATATGAAATAAGATTTTAGAATAAAATATATTAAATTTAATATATGATCAAATCAAATATATAATTTAGAAAAATTAAATTAGGGTTTGAAAGATCCTTGTTTCAAAAACGAATGCCGATAATATTGCCTAATCAAGATATTTTCACGAGCAAGAAACCGGATTACTATAAACCACAAGATTTTTACATAGGAGCGCACATAAATTTGAGCGACTTTCATTTCGAGATTACATCTGCAGATATTTATGTTCTCCGTTACATGGAGCTACATTGCGAAAAGGTTTGTAAAAATATCCGAATATCCGCATATTTATATATAAATAAGATGGACAATTCATTATAAGAATATTTCTCATAGACATGTGACATTTATTTTTAATTAGCTAAACAAACTCTCTCAAAGGTATTTATAATATCCGCAAAAAACTTAAAAAATTTTAGTATAATATAGATTTACTCCAAATATGTTTCAAAATAACGTTAAAAAAAGGAAAAGTTAATTTTGTTTAATCTTTATAATTGAACAGAAATCATTAAGTAATTATAATTCATTGTAATGAAAATTTTATATTTAAACTTTTTTTATTTCTCATTTTTAAATTTTATTTAATTCTATTTATTCTATTTCACTTTATTTTAATAGAAGAAGAAATAATGATCTCTTTATTGCAGTTTCCCAAAGCAAACAAGAAATTGATCATGGAAAAACTTCGAATACATCTACAACCGGTCTATAATGAATTCATTCAAATGTATGCCCCACCTAAAGATACGAAAGATGATATTCAGATTTTAGAATATGGAAAATTCAAGTATGTAAATAAAATAATTTTATATTTTTATTTGCGCACGTGATTTATTCATTTTCTATAATTAAATTTTAGAGAAGCATTGCATCAGTATTTGGGGGATAAAATAACAGAGCATGAAATAATCACGATTGCTCGATACTATTCATCTCATGAGAAAATTGAACATAAATCTAGAGAATACGTGAGGTACGTGAATCTTATCTCAATGACATTTTCTACGATCAAGATGGCTATTATTCTTCTAAATAATAATTGCTAAGAGATAAAATACGAAGAGTAATTTTTCTATTGATAAAGTATCAAAGATTCTTTTTTTATTATCAGCATTTAAAAATAAAAGATAATTAAAAGATAATTAAAAGATAGAGTTAAATAATTAAAATAGAAAAAGATATATAATTAAAATATAATTATAAGATAAAGTCAAGAAAATTATCAATATATGAAATCAATAATTATATGTCCTTAGACAATTATTACATACGGAACTGTATCGATTTTTGTGGCATGATCTCGATCGCTTGAAAGAAGATCTACATCATTGGGATAAAGATAGGACAGGATTCTTACCTCGAGAATCCCTGTATACGATCTTACGTGGTTGCAGGGTTCCAGTCGATGTAGAATTACTAAATTCCATGCTAGATCAGTAAGTTTTTTTTATACGAATTTAACCGATCAAACTTAACAATTATAACGTAACATTACTATTATTGCAAGTTTATGCAAAGCTGAAGACGGTAAAATTGACTATAACGACTTGCTCCAATTCATGAACGTGAAGATCGACCCTTTACCACCTGCTGTACCTGTGAATGTAAAGGTATAATGAATAATCTAATGTATATATGTGATGCACTATCTTTTGAAATATTTTATTTGTATTCATAAATTATTGTTTTCTAACAAAAGAAATTCAACGAAAAAGAAATGATACATACTATTTATTACTTACAGACAGCACTTTGGTGGGCATCCGAAAAAGAGCCGGATTGCGGGGAAGGAATAAACTGGTGTGAGTTTATCAAGGATTTGGACGTAAAGACGGAAGGAAATGTGGCGAAAAACGACAAAGATATAGAAACGCAACTCAAATACTTGACACATTGAATATATCGCGATAAAAGATATGAAAAAATCATTAAATATTTTGTTATAATATTTAACATAGAAATGTTTTTCTGAATCTTTCTCGTGATTGGATGTATTTTTTGTCCAAAATAACCGACAGCCAATAGGATTTGTTCTTCAGAAATTACTAAGAGGTCAGTTCTTTTTAGAAGTTACTAAGAGGCTAGTTTTTTTCACATGTCTGTTTGACGTTTGACAAGAAGTTGCCGTACTTTTCTAATATTTCGAATCGTGTACGTAGATACAGTGCAGTGTAACAGATCGTAGATATTTCTCATAATTGTTATTGTTTAAAAGTGAAAAGCTTTCGAAAATATCTTCAAAGTGTTCTAATCTAAACATATCGTGTATATATAATCGTGTTGTAATCAACAAGATCGCGATTTTTGACAATGATATTCTCTTGTGCATGAAATCGATCAAAATCAATCTTCGATTATTTCGAGGTTTTCTCTCGTCGAGATGCATTGAAAACACAATGATGGCTGCAAGATCATCGCCAAGTATGTAAAATATTATTTTACAGTTATTGTGTATCGATGTTTTATACTATTAGGATTAGAAAAGAAGTGCAATTTTATTAAATTTAATTTCCTATGCGTAATGTTCGCGAAAAAGGATCTTATATTGAACATTTATTTATTGACATTTTATTTATTGACAAATATAAAGAAGCGGATAATAATAATAAATATATAAAATATACATTTATATGTCGATTATGATTCGATATGTCGATTCTGGCTAAATTCAAAGTATTTCTAGAGCTTACTTTATATTGAAACGAATTGCTTAATGAGTGGAGAAGTTGCCTGATAGGTCTGGTTTACTATTACGCAGTAAGATTATATTTGAGATAAATGATATCTTTGTTATACATTTCTTTCCAATCATATTTGGCAATGCTAAACTTAATATTAAATAAAAACTTAATATCAAATTAATAGCAATTTAATAAAAAAATAAAGGTTATTTATTTAAAATTTTTTTGTTGATATGTACGATGTCTACCATGTTTGTAAATTGCTATTATATTGAATAGATTTATTAATATAGAAAATTAATATTTTACAAATATTACTATCTCAGTTCTTAAATATATGAATATCAAAATCTCTTTTTAATTGTTGGATATTATTATGTGTGAATAGCCTTTATTGATAGTTTTTAATAAATAACTTTTAATTAGTGCTATAAAGAAAATCCTGACTAATTAGTGCTACAAGGAAAATGCTGACAAAATTAATTTAGAACAAAATTTGAAGATAATGTTTCTATACAAAATAGTATCATTAAGAAATAGAAATACAGAATTCCTTAAATATATTTGAATAATGCGTTTTCAATTATTAAGAAAAACTGTAAAATAAATTATTTTAATAACACTTGATTAGACAGGTATAAAATTTTTATTTGGTGATCTATATAATAGAAAAAATGTAGAGAAAAAAAATAATTCTCGAGATTGTACAATATTAATCAAAATTCTTCGATTATTGTCTCTTACAATAATAATCTAGAATGAAATGTTTAAATTTGGTCAAACTTGCGAGCAGGTATCATTGTGTTTATTATATCATTCACACGCATTCCGACAGACATGATACATATTTAATATGATATAAAACACGAATTACTTGGCGGATTACTTTGTCATTCCATCTGATCGATAAATTTCTTATTCGATAAATTTCTTTTTCGAATAATTAATATTATACAAAAAAGAAAAAAACTTTAAATTGACGAGAACATGAAAAATATTTCATGTTATTTCCGGCGATAAACCGATCTGATCCGATATATATATTGTTGATTAATTTATATTCACGCATAAATCTCCACTATGAAAATTGAATCTTATCGTGTATCTAATTAAACAGTGTCAAATTGTAAATTCCATCGTGCAAGCTATGTAAATTATTTTCGTTTGGCGGGAAACGATTGAATAAGATTGAGATGTCATTTCTAAGTAAGTTATATTGCAGAATGTAGGTTACATTGAATTTGAGCATTCTATGTACATACATTGCATTGATCTACGTTTAAAGTCGTGAAATGTCGACGACTATGACGATCCCTTCGTAACGCAATTTACATTAATTCCGCGATTATCGAGAGGCAAACAAATTATCATCATTCGCGGTGCAGACAAACATAAAATTTCCACGATACACATACACACACACACACACACATATACGCATGCACACGCACATACATTGAATAAATAGCAAATATAGCATGATATAAATAACTCCTCTATTACGTACTGAGTTATATATTCACGATAAATAATTTATCGCCTAAATTAACGTCGCATTTTTCTTTTTCGCTCGCAAAATCAGGTTTTCACTTGCCGCCGAATGTGCAAATCTCACTCGAGATGCAACTTTCACATCCTCGCGCATCTCATAGAATTGATTTGGTCTTGGTTTATATAATTTATATAAATTGAATGGATCGTTACATGTGACGCGCACGTATGTAGATCTAATTCCGTCGTTAGCCCTTCGGTGCTTCCTTCTTCGAGTGGATTAAGGCTGCATTCATCCCGCTCGTACATATTAATTGTCCCAGATTCGCATATTTAATTACATTCGTACGTTTGTATGACCCGTCTGCACGTCTTGCATCTCACATAACAGCAACTGATGTATTTGCAGTCGCATCTCTCCAGGATGTTCTCGGTCCTGGTAACGTGACCGCGTCCGCAGCAAAGGTATTCGCAGCCCTCGTAACCAGAACTACTGCCATTACATTGTCTGTAAAGTTTTTGTTTAATTTTTTATATAATTGTTGCTACATGGAAATATTAATTTCTAAATTACTAGTTTCCTAGAAATTTTTAATAATAAATTATGAATAAGTCGAATATGTACAATATAAATCTAATATTATTAGAGAGCAATACTTGATGTATTGCTCTCTAATAATATTAGATTTATATTGTACATATAATACAAAAAGAAAGAAAGAGATAAAATGAAAATTGAATTTTTTATTGTACATATAATACAAAAAGAAAGAAAGAGATAAAATGAAAATTGAATTTTTTATTGTACATATAATACAAAAAGAAAGAAAGAGATAAAATGAAAATTGAATTTTTTATATTATACTTTTTTTTTTACTTTAAATAATATGAAATAATTAAAAAAAAAATTTAATTGGACTATATGTATGTACAATTAAAAAAAGAAACTCGTACATAAAATAAGATCTTATTTAAATTACTTTTCAGTATAATATTTTTAGCGATAATTAACTATTTTTTATTATTTGCACAATTATTCCATTAATATAATCGCATTTACCGGATATTACGTGAATGACTATTCACCCTATTCGTACGTAATAGTTCTTTAAAAATTATTTATGATAATCTATGGAAGGGAAAGAGAGAACTATGTAATTTTAATAATCGAAACTGCCTCCGGTTACTTCGATAAAACTTCTCGGACTCTATTATTAATCGATTTGCATGATGTCCACTTGATATGCTGTAAAGATGTTGGCTTTAAGCAAACGAGACTATCTGCGTAGATTACGCGCATACGTGGTGTTAATAAAAAAGGATCACGAAAAATCTCTCGTCGTACATGGAACGATCGAAGGCATCCCGCGCGATAAATATTCGCCACGCCTATTTTGTATAATTATACGCGGGTTTATAATTATTGGGTTGTAAGCTATAAACCGGCGAGGTGAGTCAGTGGTGCCCAAAGACCCTAACACTACACATTAGTAATGGATGGAAAATGAAATATCAGCAAACAAACGAATCGAATTAACTTAGTTTATAAATCACTTCGAAAATTATTGGATTTCGTTTTACATGTCTTTTAAAAATAAAAGAAATTTCTCGCGCATCAGGGACACGCGCGATAGTTCGCATCGCCGATAAAACTCGCCACAAAATTAATATGTGAAATCATGTTTGCATAAAAAGAAAATAATATCCGACTAAGATAGACTAAGATATATTGGCTAATCGGAGGAATAGAGAGTTAGCATGCTCATTAATGAATGATAGCTTCCTGATCACTTATAAAGTCCAAAAAGTATGTTATTTTATCTCTTGTGAAATCATTACCAAAAGAAAAAAATTATTTTACGTTAATTGAATTCAATTTTTATCTTCATTTTTTTAATACATATAACACGCTTTATTTAAAATCAAGAGATAAAAGTACTTTTCATAATTTTATCATTTAGGACTATCTCTTATTTTATTCTTTATTTTATTTAAAATAATATAAAAATTACATTTTTTTATACGTGGAGGAAATTGCATTTAGAATTAAATATACAATAGAAATATAGGTCATTATAATCATAGAAAAATATCATGACATCCGATATATAATTTATATCTACATCTTTTCTATGTCGCATGTTTTTTGTGTAAGCGCATGGAGAGTACAAATAATAAGCTTCGACGATTTATGGACCGAGCGAAACGAAACAAAGAATTTACCGGATCCATCGCATATCCGATACTTCCTTCACCTTCACAAAACGTTATTCTTGAAATGCTGTGGGTGATCTTAATTCACACGGAACAAAGCGTAGATAATTTGAGATGAAGAGCCATCTCTCTGCTGCCGGAAAATCCGTAACGAATGCAATCATCGTATATTGCAAAAAGCCGCCCTTCTTGCTAGACCGGATGCGACTTGCATCTTTCTTTCACCGTGATGAATTAGCAAATGTTTCTTATGCAGGATAATTCAAACAGTATTCTATATGTAATAAGCTTGCTTAAGAACATTTTGTATAACTTATTTTGATTATACACAATATTTTAATAATTATTAAAAATGAGGAAAATATATTAAATGACGATTTGATATCGAATTTAATGTGAAGAGAAATTCGTTCCACGTTTATCAAACAATCCATGACTAAAGGATGATGTGGGTCTCGGGAAAACTCTACCCTGCAGCGCAAGCTTTTCAAGAAGTCGTAAAGTAACGTCGTTAAAAGTGCTCCTCGAACAGTAGCTCGCGAAATGACACGTAGCGAAAATTAACGTTAACACCTTTCGTAAAAAAAAAAACCAAGAAACAAGACTGTGAATGGGCAGTCGTAACGGTATTCGGCATCATAAAACAGACCTATTCATTCGATTTGGAAAACAGGTTCGGAACGAGTGTCGTCATCGTCGAGATGATAGGACACCCTATCTCTGAAACGTCTTCTCTCATTCTCGCTTCGTGCGTAATTATGGACGTAGTCACATAAATAAACTTGACTCTCTAGTTAATGTCGAAGATAACTAATCGAAGTGGAGAAATTCGTTGCGTGTGGCTAGACATTTTATGTCGTCCTGAGACAGTAACAAGATGAACGAAATATTTTATTATCTGATATGACTTCCGACTAATATAACAAAAAAATTAAAAAACAACGATCGTCAAATTAAAAAACAACGATCGTCTTACAGAAAATAAGATTGCAACCGATAAATTAAGATTCTAAAGGGAACGATAAGTTAAACATGCCATTAAAAATTAATGTTGAAGTAATAATTATTGTTTAATAAAATGAACAACTATCTAATTGGAGTAATTTTTGATTAGATAAATTTTTATACGGTTATAATATATAATAACAATTTTTAACAGTTTATATCTCATATTTAAAATAAAGAATATTAACATAAGAGAAACGAAGAGAGTTTGAGTTGATTATTGAAGCAAAATTAGTTAATATAACAACATTTGAATCAATATTTCATTGGAAACAACTTGGAGAGGCGTTATAAATGATTTAGAGGAATATTTACCCTGGAGATATTATTTTGAGATAATGATTATTAAAATCATTGATTGCAACTAGAAGATGAGTATAAGCTAAAAAAGAAATCGCAAGTCACAACAGTGACCGGATGCCTCATAAGAGCTACGTTATAGCCGTGCTAATGGTCTTTCTTCGCACTTTTATACACCATCAGCCCATAACCTGGATTACTAGCTAGGAAAATGCATGTGATAAAATCACACGAGCTCGCTATCAATGGGCAGTGCCTTTTTGCGAACTGAAATCACACATTAAGAGAATGTCGTAAGAAAAACCATAGAACGTCAATTTTAATATTTTTTACTTCAATCAAACATTAGATTTCGCAAGAATTCATCATCAAAGATTATAATTAGCTTCTCAAATGTATTTTCGAGGGAAGTTAATGACCTATCGCGAAGATAACTACTGCCGAGAAAGAAAGGAGGCTCTCCAGCCTGCGGCTACTGAAAAAAGTGGATCGGCTGCAGTCTTCATATCTTTCTTTGCCTTCATGGCCGCCCTTCACTTTACGCAACCACTATGGCATACCTTTTTTCTGCCTGCCAAGTCGTTCGCGCTTTTTTTTCAGTTGAGGAACGAAAAAAGCCAGGAGAAGAATTTTTGCAGCATTAACATAAGCGCTAAATTATCTTGACGCATACTTTCTTTTTAAATCATTTGTAAGCTCGGTAGCCTATTCATTTAGATATTTGAAAAGAAAATAATTTTTGCTTTTGACGAGAAATATCGTTATGCATGTTAAATGCATATATTAATAAATATATGTATGATTGTGATGAATATATTTATGATTATGATGATACATAATATCGTTTGATTAATTAACACAATAATCAACGAAGAAATGAGTTTATCTTATTATTTTTCCGTTACGAATTATATGACATTATGTGAAAAAAAATCATTTCGTAATAGAATTTTATAAATAATTTATAAATAATAATTTCCTTTTTTTACGTTGCTAGTCACATTAAAGTAGAATTCGATCGATAATAATCATGTCAAGAGACATTGAAATTTGTAGTGTGCTTACGAAATCACAAGTTTATAAATTAAATATTTTTAACGAGCTAGTTAAACCAATTTATTAGCTCTAACAAGTTCTATTCTGAAAGACTAGTCGTTTTAAAGAGGATAGCATCTCCATGATTACACAATTCTGAAACAATGTGCAATTATCTTTTATCTTTTATATAGCTTATACTTTTGATAAGCTGGAAAATTAAGAAATTAGATGATCTTGAATACATAACATTAAGGCACATAACTATCGTCGATATTTTTGCACTTTGTATCTTCAAATTTTAGAGAAATATTTAAGCATTCCATCTTTGGCGATTTATATCATGTAACTATTACCATTATACGTGATCGGATACAATTTATACATCACATAAAATAATAACTCATCTAACCTGCCGATCGTGCCGAGGCTGCCCCTCTTCTTATCCGGTAGACAGTAATCCGGACTTTTAGTGGTGTATAGTAGACTGTCGTGATGATATAAAGGAGGTAGTCTGCCGCCGGACCCTTTCGGTCTGACCTCAGCCGCGGTAGCGTATCTGTGAAGCAAACGACTTCCGGCGGCGGATGGTCCCGATGCGCCCAGACCGCGCCAACAGGTACGCACGCTGCAGGATCCCGACACCCCGTGGCACTTGCACTCCAGAGTCAAGGATTGCTCGACCGCCTGCTCATACGAGAAATATTAATTATCAGATACTCTTTCGAGGGATTGAGCTTCGCGAATACCAATATCTTATTCTTCGATTAATTTCGTCTCGACTTGAGGTATCCTTCTCGAGATATTGTAACGATGAAACTGAAAATTCTCTGGGAGAAATCGCCGAATTTTCTACACGTCTGTTTTAATTAATTTTAATACTTTCTTCTTTCGTCACAAACACTCACCCTTCGACCCGCCCTGTTGTTATGCATATTAATAGCGTGCATAAACTTGGCGGTTGCGCCGGTGCCGAGCGGCGCCGCGCCCTGAAGAAACCGCTTTGCTATCCTCGAGGCAGATCTCACATCGTCTCCACAGCCGCCCCATTTAAAAGAATTCTTTATGGATAACGTGTCGAAGGAGACGGACATGGTAGTGAAAGACGAGGGCGACATAAGTGCCGAGGGTGAAGGTGGCTCTTTTCGTGGTGGAGTCGCGCAGGAACAAGCCGCCAAACTCCCTAAAGCGCATCCTCGTGCAAGTCGCCAGACTGCAGCAGCAGCCGACATCGCATAAACAAAAGCTTGCTCCCTCGTTCCTGTAATAAATACACGCGAAACACGTATGTGAAACAATCAATTTTCTTTTATAGCTGATGCGCTGACGAATTGATGCACTCTACCCAAAGAAATAAAATTATATATTAAATATTGTTATATTGCAGATATATTATATTACAGATTACATGAATATTAAATTGAATAATGAAGAAATATTTTTATGTTTTATAGAAGCAATTTTTGGGGATATATTTATTCGCACATGTTATTAAAGATTGATAAAATTAGTATTACATATTTGTTAAATCAAGTCGTGTATTATATATAATTATTTACAATTAATTATAAAATAATTATCAGTACAGCAATAGTTTTCAAATTTTTAAATTTCGATAATTTAATTTATGAAATGCGCCCGCACGCGTGCAGATTACATTTAATGTATCATTGTAAGGAATTAAATTTTATTTTAATATTCTCAAATTAAAAATTACATTTGTAGTCTTTCTTTTATAAGTTGAAATGATTGAAGAAAAGCCGATTACCGTACAACCGTGAAAATGAAATATACAACAGCGAAAATTACGTTCGCGTGGTCGTGATATATCTCTCATTGGCGCTTCTCGGTTTTCTCATTAACGGAAGATATCTCGATATCTCTCAGGGCACACTTTTATTTACAATATAACCATCGTGAAACGCGAGCGATTAATCCGACGGAGGCCGGTCACGAGGCAAGAGGATGAAGACCGAGGGAAGCTACGGTTTGTTAATGATCGCTAATTGAGGCGCGCCTGCCAGGCGCTTCCTATTTACGTCGGAAATCTCTCAAAGGATATTCGATACGTTTCCACGGAATCTTCGTCGACTTTCGCAACTCTCTGTCTCGCAAAATTACTGATTACAAATTTATTATACGTAAAATATTGATGCATAGTAATACAACTAGATAGTCTCATATATAATAATAATCTTTACATTTTCGATATTGATAAGAGATATCAATATTAGGAATAATATTAAAAGATTTTTACGATGTATTTCTTTTTTAATAATTTAAATTTTTTAATTCGTTAACTTTAAAGTTGCTAATTTTTAAGAAGGAGGAAAATCCAATATCCAGTTAACCAGTATTTTTCCTCCATCGTTAATTCTTTTTACAATAAATTTAACAGAAGATATTTCTCATACAAAGTATATTTAATAGATACTTTTTCAATTATTATTAATTCAATTATTTTTTAATTATTAATTATAATTTTCCGAAAAAATTAGATGGATATTTCGTAATATCTTTAGATAATATAATATTATTAATTTATATATTAAATATTATAATAATATTAATTTATATATTAAACATTCTAATAATATTATTAGAATGTTTAAAAAATTTTTTGATATCCCATGTGATATTTAGTACAAACCTGTAAGCAATTCGGGAGTGTAGTCAGGTGCGCGTTCGATGCTGCTACAATTCCATCTGCGATGTCGGAATGCCTGTTGGCATACTATAGATGTGTCTTTGGCAGCTTGCACTAAACTGGGCATCACATCCGGCGTAGCCCTGCAGGCTCTTGCTTGCTTTCTTTCCAGCAGACCCACGCTCTTTGCACTGGTGCACGCCTCTCTGGTCCACATGTCCTGCGTGTTGGTGTGACCGAGGCCGCTAAACAGAATAATTTTTGATTTATCCGTTTAAATATGCAACTACATAATTTTCAATTTAGAAAAATAACGCGTATTATTGATGTGACCACGCGTTTATATTTTATTACATAAATTAAATCTAAATTAAATCTAAATACATATCCGATATCCAAGTGCGTGTGTGTGTGAGAAAATATCTCGTTAAAATTAAAGTTATTTTAAATTATATTATAATATATAAATTATAAAATTTGAAATCAAGATCATTATATATAACACATTATAATTAATTGATTAATTATAATACATTTTAATTAACATTATATATAAAGGTCATTTTTAATATTTTGCTGTTCTGATAATACATATTACAATAAAGATCCAGAATTGTTTTACGCGATTGAGAATTCAACAATAGGTGCTCTTAATAAGTTCTAGCATAAAGGATCTCATTTCTCCCTTTAACACTTTAGAACACGCGATCGTAGAATTCAGGGTGAAGCACTCGGCATGTACGACTCTGTCGGACGGATGATCGTCGAAAGGCCGACAGCCGTGAGCGATTCCACCTCTCCTAGTCCCGGTACGACCCGCGTCGTGCCGTAAATCAGGGGGTGAATTTCGAAAATTATAGGGCGCGAGAGGCTGAAAAGGGCTCGGCTTTAAGCGCCGCGGGTTGAATGCCGCGCGGCTCTAAACCTCGGTTCGCAACGCGCGAGAGCGCACACGGGGGATAATAATTACGGACACCTGAAAGTCGAAATGACCCGTGCACGCGGTCGCCGCACCACGTCTAGACGTAACAACCCTGGGAATGGCCGAATCGCCAACCCCGTGTCACGGAGCCTACCCTTGAAATTACCCTATCAAAAGCCCGCGACTCTCTAATTCATTATTAGAGAAGTGATGCTGCTGTTGCTGCAAGTTCGCGCCAACTTGCTCCTTTCCTCTCGATGACATTTTGCCGAGAGATTCGCCGCGTTACGACTCGACTCAGGAATATTATTTCCACATAAACGCTCGCGAGCGTGCATTCACATTGCCCTACAACCCACGCGAGAACGCGATACGCTTTGCATAAAACTTGTAACATTCGCGTAAATGGCTTTCTGGGCCGATAAATCTCTCTTTTCTTCTCATTAATATCAAATATAAATTTTATATATCCTTGCCTCTTTCCAATCTATTCTACATTGTTGTAACATTTATTTTAGGTACTATCGAATTTGCAACTTTCTTTGAAATAAATACTTTCATACGATGTTCGACATCGCGCGACAAATATATGCAAAAATAAAAAATATTCTATAAGGGGAAAGGATGGCAGTAAAAGATTATATGTCTCTTTACAAACATATCGCGCGTGCATTCTTCGCACGCACGGCTCATTAAAGCCGCACGCATGAAGGGCGCCAAAGCTTCGCAATTCTCGAGCACGCGTCTCGAATCATTTGCGCGTCTCAAAAAGAAGAAACGACACGATGGAAACATTTTTACTCGGGACGATCTAGGAATTTTTACCATGTTCACCCTTTTGCGAACCATAAATATTTGATTCAAATTATCAGTCCATTAAAGCATCAATCTGCGATGATTACTTCGGCGATCTGATATGTATTAATGAGAAACCTTAACTCGCTGATAAATGAAATAATAAATGTAGCATGTTTCGTATTCAACTGAAAGTTAATTATTGATTTTACATCTTAATCACAAATAAATGCAAAGTAAAGATTAAATTCAATTGATCTTATGCGCGAATAGATTCGATAGATTATAATTTTGTTTTTTTCCACAGCAAAATTTTTGCGCCAATTACTCGTATAAATTAAAAAAGTATTTGCAGTACTACATGTACGATACTATATGTTTTTTCCATAAATAAATATATTTAGGTTATTTAAGTGATAACTCAAATACAATTACATAATAAAAAACGTAATTTTTAAAGAAAAATAAATATTCATATAGTTATGCGAAAGAGAAAGAAGAGGTAAAAGATAATCTTTATCATTTTTTTGTGTGATTGATGTTTAACAAATTTTTAACAAAACGAACAATTAGATCAAAATTTTTGCCTTAAGCAATATGTGTTCACAAATAATTATTTTTATATTAATAATGATTAATAACAGTTGGCTTTATTTTAATAACGCATTTAAAGACAAAATTATTGCTAATAAAATTAACATATATATTAACATATATATATAATTATTATATTAAATTAACCACAAGAATGTACATATTTATATAATTAATCATGCTATGATTAAAGCAGGCTTTCTAATGACAGCATTTTGATCTTGTCGAAAGTAATAACAGAATAATAATAATAAGCGACGGCTCACAAGATAATTACTTGAAAATTAGAAAGCGTAACCAGATATTTTCGTCTAGATTCTAATTATAATTTTAACACATTTTAGACTATATATATTTTAATATATAACAAAAAGTTATAATTATTTTGAAAATTATATTATTATTTACGTTTTAAAATTATTTTTTTAGCAGCAGCAGTTTCTATGATCAATTTATCGATTCCTATTAACAATTACAACGTATAATATATATCAGACATTTTCTAACATTTATTATATTGTCAATTATAATAAATCATATTACAATACGTCAACCGTATTATCGATATATCACACATATTCGAATTAGTTCCGCATTGTTACATAATTTATAACAAGTAACATTTATCAAAACAACCATTTCAATTAGCCACAATAAACAACGTAATAACGCAAAATTGTAGTGTATGATAAATATATCTTATCTTATCGGTCAGTCTATTATAGAAATAAACTGAGCGATAACGGATTGGATTTTTAAATTACTTCTTTTACAATATTTATATTTAGATTCTTCGTTTTGAAAATGCAATCAATGAAAAAAAAATATTTTATATTCTCTATATTTTATTTTTCCATCATTTGATCAATTATATTATAATTTAATTGACATTCTGATAGTCTCTATCGCGAATATTTTGAATTCTTAACAAACTTTTTCTAGAAATCTATCATTTGTAAGTAATTTCGAAACTTAGTAAGGTAAATTATCTTGGCAACTGAAAAAAAGTATCAAACGTAAAAAATACGATACATATAATAAATAATCGATGTACAGTAAAATACATAACAGACTGCTTGTATAACTAAGTACAATTTTCAGCTGCATTATGCATTGCTTAGCCCGCAGCTTTGCGCGTAAAGTAATTTATGAGTCGCTCTCTCAAGACGAATGCGCAACTACTTGTTATCGTGTGTCAGATAATTAATTATCAGCGGCAATGCGTACCATCAGGCCAATCACTGCTCAAAGCGATAGTTTACTTCTGATTAATTTCGAGATTGTACTATGCATGTAATAATTAACATCGCAAATATTAATAATAATTTATCTGCGAAAGGGATTTTTACGTAAACAAAAAAATAAAATTTTATCATCAAATTAGTCGATTATTATACAGAATAAAATTAGAATCTTGAATATTAGATTAATCTCTTTGGATTAGCGAATAAACATAGTGCACAAGTGTGTTCTATATAAAATATGAATAATTCATCTAAGATAAGTATCTCTTGGAATAATAAACTAAAGCTCGTTACAGAAAGATCTATACAGATCTCGATGGAAGATGAAATGTAACGGCCAGGATAGAAATAGGTAAAATGATTTACGAAGTGCCTTGCAATATGATAATTGCCCATTGTAACGCAGCTAATAATTTACAAAATACAATGAATACCACACGCGTGCGTGAGTAGCTTACGGCCAACTTATCTCTCGTCATTTCGCGATCGCGTTTGCATTGTTCAATAACTACCTTCGTTATGAGTAGCTCTAATGTTTCCTTCTTACTCTTTGACGTATAATATCGTGCCACCCTGCGGGATGTCGGGTATAATGCTACTGACGAGCATCCGTCGAAGCTGCGCCTTTCGTTTCGCTTCTCATGAGATTTCGAAACGGTTCATGGCAATATTCACCTCTTTTCACGAAAAAAAAGAGATTCTTTTACGTTGAAGAATATATTTTTTAAATTGTTCTGGCATTCCGAGATATGTTGTGTCGCGTATTATTCTTAATAAATAATTTTTTTAACGTAAAACGTACATTACTCTTGATCTCCCATCTCTCTCTTTTCATTTAAGACTCTCTCTTTCCATTTAAGACTCTCTCTTTCCTCTCAGAATTTCCATCTAAATGATCGCTATCGAGGAAAATAGTAATGTTATCGTGCATATTACCATTTTACATAATTTGATTTGTACACTGTTGACCGTTTCGTTTTACGCGCGAGAATCTCGCGACAGAAGGACCTTCACGGACATTCGTGGCAGACATTCTTATGAAAATGCACGGCAGTTTCTTCGAAAAAAAAAAAGAATCACAATATATATTTCGAAACTGCATATGGACCAGCTGCACTTTCGAAATTCATTTTGACTGGTAGAATCGTAAAGCGTAGTTTTTACGAGACCGATAATAGGCGGGCGCCTACGAGTTTGTCCGATCGAAGAGATTGAAAAGAGGAGGAACTGTTCAAAGGAATATCTGAAAAGACGAGAGAGGAAATGAAATCGGTTCGTATTATCCTGAAACCACGATCAGATATAACCGATTCGTGCATTCGCGTATATTAACTGAAAAAAAGGGAATACGATGATGTACTTAAAACACTATCAATCAAGAGATAAAAATGAAATCACATCTTAATTATCTGTCAACGAATGCTATTAATGTTTTTTCTTTATTCTTAATAAATTACATAGAGTCGTACTTCATTGATTAACCCAGCTTGTTTCGCAATTAACATCAATTTGTTTATAATCCCTTCGACGTTGGTGTCCCTTGAATGACAAATTAACGAGACGAGCGAGTTAGGATCTCCTTGTGTAGGACGCGAATTCCACGCTGCAGCGATATAACTGTTGCTCTCCAACTCGCGTTAAGTAAGAATACGTGATTTACGAGCGATGCATTGTAGAGATCGCCTCGTCAAGAATGATCTTATAAATAGCAGCTCGCGTGTGATTCAATGTGACCCTTCGGGCGTTTGTTGCGGGCGTTGCAAGTAAATTATTATAAATCGATCCTTGGCCTCGATTCTACGAATATATCCACATGATCCCGCTGAAAGAGCTGTAGATTGCTCACTGAGAATGCTATTCGCAACGTCGTCTCGAAGTCATAAGCAACAATCTTCGATCTTTCAGACGATGATTAATAGCTCCATAGAGCAGTTCAGGATAGATTATTACTTCTTTAAATCCCGAGAAGATTAGAAAATTGTACTAAAAAAATGACGCGCCTTGAGAAGAATGAAAATATAATATGAAATTCCGTTATTTATATTCCTAAATCTTGATTACTTTATTTTCAAGACATAAGTATCATTATTCTTCGTCTAAATTCTACTATTTCCAAATAAAAAAATAAAACTGCGCGACAAGTTTGGTGACACTTCTTAATGCAGAAAGCTCATCGTCCGACACATTGCTACCAGACGCTTTAAGACAATGTAGGATCGATGGTTGTTCGAGAAAAGTAACAAAACTGAGAATTTGAATCACCCTTCGAAATTATCCGTCAATGTCGGCCGCGATAATTATAAACAAATGAATCGTGAGAAGAACCTGCGTAGGCTTCGTTCCTGGGGGGCGAGTTCTTGGAAACCGTCGTTTATAAATCACGATTTGTAGGCAACCCCTAATCTTCCACCCCCGGCCATCCTCGTGCCGCTCCCCGATCATCTTCCTTACGTATTTCCCCTCTCCCCTCATCGTACTTTCAGTTTTGCACGCAAAAGCACCATCACTCCGCCATTCATCATCTTCCACCGCTCAACCTTCTCTCTGTTTCCGCTTTTTCCGCTCTCTTCCCCTTTAGCCTTTACCTCGCGCCCTCCTTCACAGACGATGAAATTCGTCGACACAAATCTCGCACGACAATTAAAGCATTTCCAGAGGCCGAGAAATTCTCGAAAAAGAAGGTTACTCGACAATCCGCTCTACATCAGCTTTAAATGTTAACGAGATAATTTGATAACGATTTCTGAGATGAAAGAAATGATTTTTGGTGTAGAAATAATTAATAGAAATCGATGAATGATGAGAAATGACTTACGAAACAATCTTAAGCAGAATAAAAAATAAAGAAAAAGATATATATATTTTTTTTATTTATATATATAATAATACTAATATCTTAACATATCTATCTTGCGATTTAATAATTCTTTCCTGTATTTATTTTAAAATATTTATTTTCATCTTAATATTTGTGCATGGTTACTTTGTCCACAATAATAATCTGAAATTGATTGATCTAAAGATTCTCATCTAAAGAAGCTTCCAAAATTTACAGTAATATTAAAAGCAATTATGAAAAAGAGAAAGAAATATTTCAAAATTATTTTCTTGATAAATAAAAATTCGATAATATGAATTAGATAAAGAAAACTCTCTATCTCTTTATCATGATAAAAAATACTCTTTATTTCTCTATCATCATTGCTGATAATTAAAAACGACTAGTCTGATAAGAAGCGCAATAAATTCGCCACGATGCGAGCTATGTCTAAAACTGGTACTGATAATCATCCTCTTTTCATTTGCGAAACATATTGGTCGGGATTACGAACATAAGGCATCGCTATTTACATATGCAACCCATAAAGCAGCATCAGCGATATCTTTATTCCTTATTCGAGTACGAAATTTATGTCGATCTAAATCTCGCCATGGTCCGATCTGATTCAAGGAAAATAATGATCGAGATCGAGAATAGAAGACTACGTCTCCGGCTCGCGCTCTCGAGCGCGTTTCCCTCGGCCACTAATCTATTTGTTTCTCATTAACGGACCTACATTAATCTTCGAACTCGTTCGAAGCCACCACGAGCGAACGTGAGAGCGCAAATGGAACTCATTATTACGAGGGTTCGCTGATCATAGAGAAACTTCTCAGATATCTTTGCTTGATTCAATGATTGAAGAATATTTACATACGACTATGCATATATATTTTTAGCTTGTTATTGCAATTGTATAATTCGATATTTATTTCTTTTCTAATTTTTTATCTAGCAGAAGTTATAAATTCTTCCTTTATATATTTTTAATAATATATTACAAATATATATTACAAATATAAATAATTTAAATAACACATCTTAAACATTTTTAAATAATACATCTTAAATTTATATAATATATTATAATAATATATCTTATATTTAAATAATATATCTTTTATCTATATCTTACATGTTTTTAAAACTGATATCTATTTTTATATTATTAGAAAAAATAAAATAATCAAATGTTATTATTATTAAAACTTAGATTTAAACTTATATATATATGCAACAGGGAAAATTAAATTGCAATAAAAAAATGATGAAAGGGGAAACCAGGAATCTGGACTTGAATGAATGAAAATGTCTAATGGTAGCCAATTTTGATTGGAGATTATCCTTATGTATTATAATAAGTTAAGTTTCTTCCATTTTAGTTGCATTAACCGATTGATATTTCAGAGTTCGCGAATATAGAGACATAACGTAAAAACTGATTTTATCGCAGATTTATTGTAAAATGAATTATTCTTGAATATGCGAAATATACAAAATTGAATAAGATATTCAAATTAAGATAAATCAGTACTCACAGCCATTTTATACATCTGCCATCTTGAACCACCAACACGAGCAGCAGAAGCCAGACTTTAGCACCGCTTAGCTTCTTTATTTGCATTTTTTCCCGTTTCACATTCTAAAAAGTTAACGGAATACCGCGAAGACGATTTTTATTTGCGATTTTTATTCTTCAAAGACCATCAGCCATCCCTCGATGTTGCATAAATCGTTTCAAGATTTGAGATCTCTTCATCACGTTCTTCATCATTTAATTTATCGCTATTAAGAATTTTCTTTTCTTTGTGAGAAAAATGAAGGCTTCGAAAAGAATTATCTTTAATGCATTTTAAAAAGTTCCTTTTTTATCTCCTTCAGAGTATCCTTGAGATCGTTGATCCTATATAACATTTATGTATTTAATATCAATTTTATTCAATTAACTCAATTACCTTTTCTTTAAAATAATTTTATGGTAAAAATAATGTATTGGATCCGATTAATATTTTTATCCGTGTTGATATTTTTTAAATATTATTTCGCAAGACAATTTTGTGCATGTTACTTAGAAACATTTTTTATGTTAGAAATAAAATTTTTCTATTGATTAGTTGAAAAGAAGAAAACTTATGATATATCTTTTAAATATCTATATATTATTTAAATATCTATATATCTTTTAAATTAATTAATAATAATTAAAAATAATAGCAAAGAATAATTATTAATAATTAAAAATAATAGGCAAAAATTCTTAATCAATCCTTACCGAATTTTAAATTTATTTATCGATGAAATCCTTAATCATTACTGAATACACTTTTTAAAAGTCAAAATTATTAAAAGAAGCCAAAATTATTAATTCCCGTGATCAAACTATATATGAATGATTTATGGTTTGAATGATTAACATGTTTAATATCTAACAATTTCAATAATTTCACTGATCAAATTATTTTCAAATATGAGACTTTCTTTCTTTTGAATAACGTGATTGACAATTAATTAAAAGATGAGACGAGAGGCCGCATGTAAAACACGCGCACAAACACTAGGCATCACTTTCGTTGAAATCGCGAGTGAAAAACGCATCGACAGTACGCCTCAGGATCCTTCAGGATCTGCGACGATTTCGGCGAACTTTCTCGTGCACCGTGCGTCCGGCTCGGCAGGGAGTCTGCGTGCTTACAGGTGTCCGTCGGAGCAGTCCCGCAGGATTTGCCAGTCGATGGTGGTGGTGGAGTCCTCCTACTCTACTTCACTTCCTCCTACTTCGCCTCCTACTTGAATCTCCTCTTTCCTCAATATACGAGGAGTCCGGCAATCGACACAGGGATGCCGCCGAATGAAGAAGAAAGACAATTATTATCGTTAACCCCTTCTAAAATCTAAAATTTACTTTTTTTCTTTTTATTCATCATATACAAAGATATAAAATCTCTTTTATATTTTACAACTTTATACATGGACGAAATCAAAATAGATTTTATTTGACAAAAATATATTTTATACATATATAGATATAAAATGATTGAGATTCTAGAAATCTCGGGAATTCAAAAAAAATTGAAAAAACGTAAAAATTGTTTTTTTTATTCAATTTTAAAATATATTTGACACAAGCATATTACTAGAAAGAATGTTAATCAAATCTGAAGAAATATTAACTTTAAATTATCATTGATCAAAGAATTACATATTATGAGGAAGAATTGCGAAGGAAATAAAATATTTTATGGGCTTCTAATTCATCTGATTCAAAGTATTATTTCATAAGAATCTCATATAATAATAACCTTTCCAATATGAATAAAAAAAGAATAAATTAAATCATTTATCGACGTACAAATTATTTGTTTTTTAATCACTAATTAATTTCAACACACTGCTTTCCTAGAGTTCGATTCTATCGAAAATTATATACCTCACATAACGAGGAATATCTTTAAAAAAAAGAAAGAAAAATCAAGCCTACCTTCGCGGGATGATTTTAACGAGCAGGCGGTATCTTTATGATCATTTGTTTTACTACAAGGCGGAGCCAAAACAATTTATCCTTGCCTTTACCATTTAAAGACTAGTAAGCATTGGTCCTCCGATTCATCAATCGGATTCGAGTGTCGATTTCAAATACTTCTACATATATAGAAAAAAATAGTAATGTCAAGTTTCTTCTTCTCTCTTTCTATTTTTTGATTCAACTTGATTATATTTAACTTCAATATAATTTATTTGATATTTGAATTTTAAGAAATATTTTTCAACAAATTTTATTCGAAAAAATAATATATATAAAATTTATATATATAAAATTAATATATATAAAATTAATATATATATAATTTATAATATATATAAATAATAATACAAATAATATATATAAAATTTTATTCGAAAAAATAATATATAATTTATTTTATAATAATGAAATAATTTCTTAACTTTCAACATAAATTTTTATTGCTGAATTATTTTCGATCAATAATGATCCTGCCTTTCATTCTACTTCACAGCGTTTATAAATAAATAATTTAAATTTATATTTTTATCTCTTCTAAGTTTTTCTGATACACATTTTTTCTTTCATATTTGTACGCATATATTATTTCGATAGACAAATCGATGGCGTACAATTAGCAAGTAAATTTCATCAAGTGCATCAATTAGAAGAACTCGTAAGTCCTTTGCCCTGCGCTAATTACCGCGCCAATTTTGTCCACGGTGTCGATCGTTCGTCTTCCTTTCTACTCTTAGGCTAGTACTTCGGCCGGCCCTTCCGGTGCCCCATTGCCGTCGATAAATAATCCTGCGTCAGACGTTCATTACGTCGTTAAGTTTCGGCTCGGACTTATATCCACCGTTCCTCCTTACGCGAAACCCAACAAGTAGATTCGCCTGCAGCGATATAAACCTGGAAATATCATACGCCATGTAAAAAAAATCGCGGATTCTTTAATTACTAAAGCATATCGATATTAGTCTAAATGGGGAGAGAAAAGCGAGTTTGCTTCAAACGGAGATTGTCTAGTTGTTGACAGACAAGTTATAACAGACAGAAATATAAGTACTTATTAGAGAGGATTAAGGAATGAGAAATTCAAGTTTCTTATTGATTGGATGTCAAATATATGTACATATACTTATTTATTTAGGAATTAAATCAAATATATAAGAAGAATATTAAGGCAATTATTTCAATTATAAAAATTACATAATAGTAAATAATAGTAGTTAATTAATAATTGTAATAAATTAAAATATACTGTATATTTTTTTTATTTTTAGGCGATTAATATCATCAGTTCTCTATTTATGAATCGATATTACGGTATGATTCTAAAATAAGTTAATAAATATCAATAAATCGTTCTCAAGTTCACATATTATTCAACAGTTTATTAATTATAAAAATTAAAAATAGAAAAATTGATTGATAGGTGAGACAAATGATAGATTATTTTTGCAAGCCTCGGAAACGTGATACGCAAATGAACACCAATTATTGGCGATATTGCAAAAGTATGTATTCTAAGAGACGGCAAATTACTTGCCACGGGCAATTCTCGCGTGGAATACAATGGAACACAAAAGTGAGAATATCTATTTGTTTAGACCTCTCGGTTTGCGGAATGAATGGAACATTAACTTATACTTACTTTGCGGTTTACACAATGCGTTTACATCTCATTAATTTGAGAAACAGCTAAGTGGACGAGCGAGTGAATGCAACATGCGAATGTCAGATCTGTAAGAATTTAACGTGCAACCACATTATGCGCGCCATCAATTCTGTTTCGTTTTTTACATTGTCTAATTATCTTCTCGCGATCTCAAGTAACCTCTCTCTTTATTTTTTTTGATATTTTACTACGATATACTTGATATTTTACTACGATATACTCATATATTTCCCGCTACGAGAGAAGTCCTTTCGCTTATGGAAAAGAATATTAACTCTCTATGAATGGCAAAAAATATATTGATAAGAGATATTAATATTTATCTCATTTTTTGTTTCGATTTTCATATTTTAAATTTTCAAAATTAAAGAAAATAGATATGTAATTGTAATATTGCACTTTAATATTATTGAAGCGCATAATAAGTAAAGATAGTCAAATATACATAATCAGGTATTTTATACTGATATGCATTATATACTGATAATATATACATAATCACAATGAATTAAAGAATTATGTAATATTGCTATCAACAATAAACTAATAAATTAAACATTAATGATCTAGTTTTATTAGCGGAAAAGAAAGAAAAACTGAGATAAAGAGAGAGAAAGAGGAGAGCAGAGGAAGAGAAAGAGAGAGAAAGAGAGAGAGAGACAACGCTTCTTTCGTTTTAGATTATTTCCCGGCATTATTCGCCGAAGAAGACATCGGCCATAAAAAAGAAACAAGCAAATCCGGCAACAGCTGCTTCGCTATTAAAAGCGACTTAAACTCCAAACCCTTCCTCTGCGATCGTAGAACGTGAAGATACCTCCCCTACCCGTCATCCACTGTCTCTCTATTTCTCATTCACTCCCTTTTGCTTCTTTTTGCTCTTCTTGCTTTCTTCCTTGTCATACCATCCCCTTCTCGTGATTACGCATAAACAAAGCGTAAAGCTACACGTACGCATATACGCGCCTGCGATTTCTTGCCTGTAAATAAGCGAATTGCTAAATGAGCCGTAAAGCCGCGCCTCGGGAATATAAAAGAAGAAGCAAAGGAAAAGGTTTCGCTGTTGGCCCTAGATTAGAATTTAGAGCCGAGTATCCCTTGTTTCGCGACTCGAAAGCGTTACAGGCTTGTGAAGAATGGCAGTAAAGAATGTTTAATAAGTATAATCGTTTTTCAAATATTAAACACGAGGTAAAAAATGGATGGTTGTAAGAGATGCTACACATCTAGGGATATCAACTATATTTACCATCTCTCCTTTTAAATATCTTTCAATAATTGTCGATGAGATTAATTAAAAAATGAGTTTTTTGCATGCATTTGTTAATTATTCGATATAGAAGATTTTTATGCGAATTAAATAATGCATTAACCTAAGCTGCCTAAAGTAAAATTCTTTGTAGAAAGAATTTCTATGCACTTTTATTTTGAATAACTATTTCATTTCTAAATAAAAAGAAATACGTAGAAAAATGATTCTTATATAAATAATATGAGATAGAAAAATTTAAGACAGAAAAAAAGTTCATAGTATTTCGTAGGTTCACGTTTATCGATAAAATGGACGTCGCGAAAGTTCAAAATTGTCTATTTGCATGAGACACGATTAATTAATACGATACCGGTAATTAAATAGATATCAACCTTCTCAGCACACAACGATGGCATCCCATCTGCATAATCTCTATACAATAACGTCAGTGAAAAGAAGAGTTTTGTCCCACCGATGACAAACTTTTTGCCACCCTCCTACACCTTACGGTCAACACCCTCCACGCCGTTAATAAAGATATATAGGGTGATTTTCAACTAGCATATAAAACGGTAAGAATATTTATTTAGATCTCTCACCAAATAAATTGAGATTTATTGAGATTTATTAGAAATTGAGAGAGAACAAGCTGTTAAAAATGAAAGTAAATCTTTATTCGAATTTAAAAATATATAATACAATATTAGTCTTTCTCTCTCTCTCTTTTGTCTTTTATTTTTAAATAAATCCTGTCCTAACATTCAACAAATTCTAAATTTATAATTTTATTCTAAATTTAATAAAATATTCGCACACACTAATTTTTTTTAATAATTAGAAGTTGTGACAGAAGTTTATCACAGCACTCTTTCATTTTCTATAGAAGTTTTCTATATTTTAAGGAATCTATTTATGATTTTCCATAAGAGTATTGTTACTACTTTGTAGATAGATATTGATTTTCTGCTTTTTCGGCTTTGAAAGTTTTACAAATTGCATATTGCAGCATTATAATAATGCTTTACATACAATCAAATAAGTTTTTTTTACATAATGTTATTTCTTACATTAATTAATTTTAATTATTTCTGGATTATCTTAAATATCTTCTCTTTAGTTTTCTTTTCTTATCCTTAGAATTTTATTCATCCAACGGGTCCTTTTTTTCTTCTCTTTTAAAATTTGATTTATTTGCATTATTCCTCTACGTACAATTTCTTGCTAAATGCTCTAATTTCTACTTCACTTTGACACATCCTACATTTTCTTTTCCTGTTTATGTAAAATTGATTTTGGAGTTCCTCGTTTCGACAATATGTATCGTAATAATCTGCTATCACTTTGTTTGGCTTTGTATAACTTTGTATTACTATGTACGGCAATTTTCATTCATCATATACAAAATAGATAATGATTTTTTAATTAAATATATTTTGAAATAGGATCAAAATTTGAATTTAGTAAAATGTGTTTCTAATAATATATATATATATATATATATATATATATATATATATATATCACAAAATATCATAAACAATATATACATAATTATTATTGTAAAATAATATAAACAAATACGTACAATTAAATATAATTATTTAGAAATTATTAATGTAAAAAAATTAATATGCTCTTGCTTTTCTCTCTTTATCTTGTTATATTTTCAAAATGATCAACACTTTACCATCCAAAATCCTTACCACTTTATCATCCAAAATCAATGAAGTGTCTTTACAGCAACTTTATTCAGTGAAATGCATTTCACTGATTGACTGATAATCGTCCGGCAACCAAGGGATCCAAGTGTTGTTAAAGTGATATGCATAGCCAGCCGGATCGATGGGTGTATTTGGCTGTTTTACAAGAACTGATTTATATCGATCGATGAACATATTCAATCTCTCTACTTCCTGAAATAGAATGACGAATTCTTTAATTATCCCTGTCGTTTCTATCTCATCCGTTAAGTATCGATGCTTATATATAATAATAATTCGCACGAGAATCATTTCCTTTAATTATAAATATCTTGGATACACATTTTAATAACACACTTAATTTCATTATTATTTTAATGCAATATTATTTGTATATTTAATTAAAAAAAGTTTTTGAAAGTTTTAGAATTCATTTATATTAGATTAAAAGTTACTTACCTTTCTCGTCATATATTGATCATATAAAATATCATTTTATGTAAATTAAAATCTATTTTAACATATTTAATTGTTTACAATATTAATATTAAAGATCTAAAGATGTATTTATTTTAAATCTTAATTTAACGTCACCTTAGGATACTTCGCGGATAAATCTGTAGTTTCGCAAGGATCCTCTTTGACATCGAATAAACAGCTGCGATTCGTACAATTGGAGAAATCCATAAAATTCTTGCAAACTATTGTGGCCTCTTTCCGCAGTTGCATTATTTTATTAGCGTTTAACATAGAAGTCGAAATGCTCGCGATAGCTGACGCAACTGGCGATGCTAAGATATTTATTGCATTATACTTGGGATACAATGCATTGTTACCACTATAATTATAATACTTCTGGTACTCGGATGTATCTATACGAGTATATTAAGAAGAAATGCACTTTTATTCCTATTATTTTGTGTGTGTGTGTGTGTGTGTGTGTGTATACCTGTAACAAGTTTATAATGTCCTATTAATGCTGCTGAGCTATTACCCCTCTCGTCAATATTAATGAGAATTGATTTCCGTTTACTATCTTCCGCGCTCTTAATTGCGGACCATTGATCAAAACCATCCAATTGTTTCAAATCACTCGAATTACCACCAGCTGCTGAATACAATGTCGGTAACCAATCAGTAATATGAAACAATTGAGTCGAAACTCTCGACAGACGATCAATTAAGGGTGAGTAGATGTATGCTGCGCCGCGAACGCCGCCTTCGAAGAGACTGAATTTCAACTGGAAATAAATAAAAATCGTTTCTATTAATTTTATATGTAACTTCAAAATCTTATTAATCTTAATTCTTTCTTTCACATAAATTTTTTATCTACATAACTATTCTCATAAATTTTCGATAAAATGTCAACTTATATCATTTTTGTTTAGTAATATTAAATAAAATTCATATATGTGAATATGTATCAAATGTAAAGTTATAGTCTCAGAACATTTACACGAAATTGCATTTACCCCTCTAAGTGGATAGTTAGATCCATAATTTTGAAGAAATCCTTCAGTTTGCGCTCCATTGTCGGATATGAAAACGATGATTGAGTTTTTTAACATATCCGTTTTTCTTAGAGCATCGATTATCCGACCGACTGATTCATCCAATGTGGCAACGACACCTAAACATTTATAATTCCAAATATTATAAATTCAAATCATTGATACCAACGAAAATATGAATAACGTTGCAAATATCATTAACATTATAACTGAAGTAAAAAGAAAGGAAGATAATATGTGTGTATGAAATAATTTAAAAAAAAATTTGTTGAATAGTTTGAAATGATAGAATTGATTGATAAATTAGAGATTATTTAAAATTATGGATAAATAAACACAAAAGAAAGAGAAACAACTTTGTACCCTTTGTGTAAATTCGATTTGATTTTTACCTGTTAACATATGCGATACTTACGATAATTGCGATCAAAGGTATATTATGATACATACTTGCATATTTTCTTCTATTTATGTCTTCGATGTAACCGAGAGTAGCATTCGTTTCTTTCCAATCGCGTACTTGCATTTCTATACCGATACCGCCAGAATGGGCCGCATCATGTGACACTTGCAGATATAATGGTTTCGCAGGATTATGAGAGAAAATAATATTTTCAACCTCGTCGGTTATAATATCAGTTATATAGTCGTATCTGTATTCAATTGTGCGATTTTCACCCACGATACGGTGAAAATCATAGCCCAAATATTTCTGTAAAATAATTTTCTATTCTAATTTCATATTTTCTTAATAATTCATTTATTTATATCGCATGATAGAAAAGAAAATTGAATTGATGAAATTTTCTCGGCAATTGGTGCAAGCAATTTGTGGCAATTTTATTATTACTGCATTATAATATGATGCCAAAGAAAGACATATTAGCATTATAATATGTATTATTATATTTCTAGCAAGTTGTTTTGCAATATATATATATATATATATATATATATATATATATATATATTATTACTTACCAAGTACATATAATAATAATTATATATAATACGTAAATATATACAAATATATAATATCTAAATATATTACATTTTCCCAAATAATGACACAAAGCTTACCTGTTCCTCGTCCAAAATTGTATGATTGAAATAGTGAATGTAACCGTTATAATATCCAAGAAAAGTGTCGAAACCGCGACGTGTAGGAGTATAATTCTTTGTATGATAACCAACATGCCATTTTCCGACCAAATGAGTGGCATATCCGAGTTTTCGAAGATACTCGGGTAAAAGAGTATCATTCAAAGGTATACCGCGTGGTTCGGCTGGTTGCAAAACATAGCCTTGCATACCTAAATATTGGATACATCTTAGTTCAATTAAGTTTTAACTTATTTCAAACATCATTAAAACAGCATAAAATTATAATCGTTAAAGGAATTATTTAAAATATAAATTCTAAATAAATAAATATGAACACGATCTTTCGCGAAGAAGTTACAATTAGATTGGAATATCAAATTGAAAAGTGTTTGAATATTTCTGCCGATGAAACGTAACAATAAAACGTAAATGATTTTCAGAATTTGTTTGCTGTATAAATAAATTAGGTTATTAGATATGATTAATTTATCATATTACCTGTTCTTATGGGATATTTTCCAGTAAGGAAAGCTGTTCTCGATGGTGTACATAACGGCAATACGTAGTGTCGATTTAATATGACGCCATTGTATGCGAGAGCATCTATGTTCGGCGTAGGAATCTCATCGGCGCCGTGAAAGCTAACGTCGTTCCATCCCTATTAGTTTTAGCAACATAACACTTAACGTTTTACATTTTAATATATATGTACTTCATTTCTGTCGTTTTTATCTTTCGCTAAATGATTGCTCTCGTATAATGATGCGAAACGTTGAACTAAAGCTAATGTGACGATAACGATAACTAACTAATCAATTTCATAAATAATCAAACTAAATAAAGCATAATGCAATTTTATTTAAATGCGTTATATAGAAATGTTTCGCGTTGAAACTGAATGGATTCAAGAAACCGTTAAGAAGGAAATTTGGAAAAGCAATAGAAAATATATGATTTAAGAAAAAAATTTGTTGTTAATCTTGTTAATATTTAACGTCTAAAAAAATTTAAGAACTTATATCCTAGAATTAATCTGTATTTATTAAAACATATTATATTTTTTAAATAAACAATTAGGAAGTCTACGACAAAGAAATTTTTTTTATGAGTTAGATTTTTCCACAAATATTTTAAGCTACGCAATTATATTTGTTTCTTTAACGCGATAAGTTATTATTCGAATGAAAATATTTGCTTACTAAATCATCGGCCATGATGACAACGATGTTAGGTGGCTGCTTGGGAACGTCATTTTTCACACCGAAACACATGCGTGAGACATATAAAATGATCACTACAAGAGCATATATAAACAAGCCTATTTTCTTCCAAATCATCGTTTCAAATATTTTGACCGTTTGATGAGATGAGATCAAATTAGTTAAATTCACAAATTGTTACATTAAATTATCGCGAAAATCGATATCACAATAACATTAAAGTTAGCGATTAATCAACTGATAAATATATAATTTATCTTTCTTATTATCCTAACTTATATTTATAATTAATTGAATATTAAAATAATGTTGCAAAAAATTTAATGCCAAGTAAAGCTAATGGAAATTATCTTCTCTTTCAATGATGTAGGTCGAGCATTTTTTTATTATAGTTGTGCACTATTAATATCTAAGATTATCCATGTCGTCTTATTATTTGACGTGCAAATGATTGTTGACTCTTCCCGAATTTATATTAAATTTAACACTGCAAAGTGTAAGACGTACGTTACTATATTTATATGCTAACAGCGGTACTATTCACACATGTTTGATTATGATTAATTGAAATGGTTGTTCGCTTGATAAATGTTACTTGTTATGAATTACATAACAATGCAGAACTAATTAGAATATATGAAACTCCAATATACGGAACTAATTGGAATATACCTGATATGTCATACATTTAACTTATTGTGATGTGATTTATTATAATGACCTTGTCAATAGATTCCTGTCACAATATATCAAACGAAATATCGATATATCACGTATATTTGAATTAATTCTGTATATTTGAGTTCCATATTGTGTTACATAATTCATATAATAACAAGTAATACGTATCAAACAAACCACAATTTCAATTAGCCATAATAAACAGCGTAATTACGCGAAATTCTAATGTGTGATGAATATGTCTTATTTTATATGATCATTTATATAATTCATACATTATAGAAATGAACATAACTGAGCGATAATGGATTTTTAAACTGCTTTTTTACAATATTTATGTTTAGATTCTTATTTTTTAAAATAATAAAATTAACGAGAAAAAATTCTATATACATTTTATTTTTCCATCTTTTGATCAATTAATATTACAATTTAATTGACTTCTGATTGAATTCTGATAGTCTGTATTACGAATATTTTGGATTCTTGGCATATACTTTCGAAAGATTTATGATAAATTTAATTGTAAATAATTTCGAAACTTAATAAGATAAATTATCTTAGCAACCAAAGAAACAAAATATTAAATACAAAGTACAATACATTTAATAAATAATCGATGTATATTCACTTGCGTACAGTAAAATACGTAACAGACTTGTATAACTAACAAGTACAATTTTCAGCTATGCAATGCTTAGTCTGTAAATTTATATTTAAAATAATTTATGAATCGCTCTTTGAAGACGAATATGTGCGATACTTGCTATCATATGTCAGATAATTAATTATCAGCGGCAATGCGGGCCAGTCATTTCTCAAGATAATAGTTTATTGTATTTCGTCGTTTCTTCATTCATCGTAATATGCTAATCGACTGATAGTCATCCGGCAACCAAGGCATCCAGGTGTCGTTAAAGTTACGCGGAAAACCAGCAGGATCGACGGGTGCATTCGTCTGGTTCATAAGGACCGATTTATAGCGATCGATGAACATGTTCAATCTCTTTACGTCCTGCAAATGAAACGACGTATTGTTGAATTATCTCTGCTTTCGCTTTTATCTTGTCTGTACGAATAAGTACCGATATTTATATATAATAATAATAATTCTCACGAGAGTCATTTTCTTTCCTAATGATCATAAAATCATAACTCACATTGGCTACACATTTTAATAACACAATTAATTTAATAGCCATTATTATCTTAATGCAATATAATTATCATAGTTAATTAAAAAATGTTTTCGTAAGATTTAAAATTGACTCATGTATTTAGATTAAAAAATCATTAATTTCTCGTTATATATTGATCATATAAAATATCATTCATATGTAATTCATAATCTATTTTTCATTAATATTAAATATATAAAGATGTATTTATTTCTAATCATAATTTAACGTCACCTTAGGATGCTTCGAGAATAAATCTGTAGTTTCGCAAGGATCCTTATTGAGATCGAACAAACAGCTACGATTCGTACAATTGGAAAAATCCGTAAAATTCTTGCAAATTATTGTGGCCTCTTTCCGCAATTGCATTATTTTACTAGCGTTTAACGTAGAAATCGAAATACTCGCGATAGCTGACGCAGCTGGTGACGCTAAGATGGTCGTTACATTATATTTGGGATACAATGCATTGTTACCGCTATAATTATAATACTTCTGGTACTCGGATGTATCTATATATTAAGAAGAAATGCACTTTTATTCCTATTATTTTGTGTGTGTTTTATTCCTATTATTTTGAATGTATCTATATTAAGAAGAATAAGTATATATATATATATATATATATATATATATATATATATACTCGTATATATATATATATATATATATATATATAATTCTCCCCCTTAGCATATCTTTAGTTTTACTAAATATATATATACTTAACATATTACTAAATATATATATATATATATATATATATATATATATATATTTAGTAAAACTAAAGATATGCTGAGGAGGAGAATTATTCAAAATTAAATTATAAATAAATGATAAATAATATATAATATAAAAAAAGATTATTCTATTATTATATATATATAAGTTTATTACTTATATATATGATTATTGTGTGTGTATGTACCTGTAACAAGTTTATAATGTCCTATTAATGCAGCTTCGCTATTTTCCTTCTCGTCAATATTAATGAGAATTGAGCTCCGTTTACTATTTTTCGCGCTCTTAATTGCGGACCATTGATCAAAACCATCCAATTGTTTCAAATCACTCGAATTACCACCAGCTGCTGAATATAATGTCGGTAACCAATCAGTAATATGAAACAATTGATTCGAAACTCTCGACGGACGATCAATCAAGGGTGAGTAGATGCAAGCTGCGCCGCGAATGCCGCCTTCGAAAAGACTAAATTTCAACTGGAAATAAATAAAAATCGTTTCTATTGATTTTATATGTAATTTCAAAGTCCATATAGAGATCTTAATTCTCCCTTCTGTCGAAATTTTTTATCTAAATAACTATTCTCGCAAACTTTCAACATAACTTATCGCTAACTTATATCGTTCATTGTTTAGTAATATTAAGTAAAATTCATGTGTGAATATGAATCAAATGTAAAATTACAGTCTCAAAACATTTACACGAAATTGCATTTACCCCTCTGAGTGGATAATTAGATCCATAATTTTGCAAAAATCCCTCAGTTTGCGCTCCATTATCGGATATGAAAACGATGATCGAGTTGTTTAACATATCTGTTTTTTTTAAAGCATCGATCACTCGACCGACTGATTCATCCAATGTGGCAACGACACCTAAACATTTATAATTTCAAATATTAATAAATTTACATCATTGATATCAAAAACGTGAACAACGTTGCAAATAACATTATTATTATAATTGAAATAAAAAGGAAGCAAGATAATATGTGAAATAATTTTAAAAAACTTTGTTGAATAGTTTGAAATGATAGAACTAATTGATAAATTAAGAGATTATCTAAAATTATGGTTAAATAAACACAAAAGAAAAAGAAATAATTTTATATTCTTTGTGTAAATTCGATTTTTGATTTTTATCTCTTAACGTATACGATACTTACGATAATTGCAATCAAAAGATATTATGATACATACTTGCATACTTTCTTCTATTTATGTCTTCGATGTAACCGAGAGTAGCATTCGTTTCTTTCCAATTACGTACTTCCATTTCTTCTTCGGCATCACTAGAATGAGCGGCAAGATGTGCCACTTGCAGATATAGAGGTTTCGCAGGATTATGAGAGGAAATAATATTTTCAGCCTCATCAGTTATAAGATCAGTCATATAGTCATATCTGTATTCAATTTTGTGATCATCACCTATGATACGATGCAAATCGTAGCCTAATTGTTCCTGTGAAATGATTTTCTGTTTTTAATTTCTGAATAATTAACTTATTCATAACATATAATAAAAAAGAAGAGTATAGATTGTTTAAACTTTTTCGGTAATTCTGACAAATGATTTGTGACTTAAGTCTATTATTACTGCATTATAATATAATGTATATTAACGTATTGTTATATTTCTAGCAACATATTTTATTTTATATATACATATAATAAAGTACAAAACTTACGCTTTCGTAGAGTGTATGATTGAAATATTGGATGTAACCATTATAATATCCAGCAAAAGTGTCGAAACCACGATGAGTAGGACCGTAATTTCTTGTATGATAACCAACATGCCATTTTCCCACTAAATGAGTAGCATATCCGAGTTTCTGAAGATATTCGGGTAATAGAATATTATTCAGAAGTATACCACGTGGTTCAGCTCCTTGCAAGGGATAACCCTGCATACCTAAATATTGGATACATTTCAATTGAATTAAATTTTAATTAATCTCTTTTTGACATTATCAAAACAGCACATAAAATCATAATTATTACTAAAAGAATTAATAAGAATATCAATTCTGAATAAACAAATATGAACGTGAACTTTCGCGAGGAAATTACCATTGGATTGGAATATCATGTTGAGACAAATTTGCTTATTTTTACAATGAAACGTGCTAATAAAATGTGAATGATTTTCAGAAGTTCTTTGCTACAATAAAATATATCACGTTATTAGATATGATTAATTCATCATCTCAGATTACCTGTCCTTATGGGATATTTTCCAGTGAGAAAAGCTGTTCTCGATGGTGTACATATCGGCAATACGTAATGTCGATTTAGTATGACGCCATTGTATGCGAGAGCATCTATGTTCGGCGTAGGAATCTCATCGGCGCCGTGGAAACTAACGTCATTCCATCCCTTATAGATATCAGAATATATAATGATAAACTACATTTTATGATTTATATTTTATAATACATTTTAATATACGTGCTATTTTTATTAAAAAGGAGATTTATTAAGAAGAAAAAACAATAGAAAATGTATGATTTGAGGAAAGTAATTCGTTGTTAATCTTGATAATATTTAACATACAAAGAAATTTAAGAAAAATATATATTCTAGAATTAAACTGTGTTAATTAAAGCACATTATATTTTTTAAATGAACAATTAAAATATTCTATGAGAAAAAAATTTTTTATAAGTATTTTTTATAAGTATTTATTAGATTTTTCCACAAATATGTTTTAAGCTGTGCAATCATATCTTCTTCTTTAAACGTGCTATTATAAAAATATTTCCTTACAAGGTCATCAGCGATGATAACGACGATGTTAGGTGGCTGCATAGGAACATCATATTTCAAACCAAAATAGATGCATGAAATACTTAAAATAATCACTACAAAAACACATACAAATAAGCCTGTTTTCTTCGAAAACATTGTTCCAAATTTGTTTGTTTAAGGAGATGAGATCACCGAAATTAATCAAACTCATAAAATGTCACATTGAATTATCGATGATTGATGTTGAATGCACATAAGCAATAATATTTTATATTAAAACTGGCGATTAATCAACTGAAAAATATAATTAATAAAATATACAAAGTGGTTCTAAGATAAAAATCATATAAAAAAGAAATGAAAAAAGGCAATTAATAATCACAGCGCTAAGATAGTAGTAGTGAAAAATTAGATTAAACTTTATGTCATCAATTAATAAATGATCATATAAGAAATTTCAATTGACGCATATGAAAACGACATACGTACGTTTCGATCTCGATCGGATCCTTATCAATGTTTGAGAATACATACAAATTCAAAAATGTCAAGAAAGTACCGGAATAATATAATAAACATAGAGCAATGTCACAATAAAGTCGCTGTGAAATGAGATATAACGGATGCCAACAGAATACAAAATACAATCGCAAAAATTATAAAAATATACAGATTGAGATAATGAATATTACAAGAAAGCGCAAACATTATGACGGAGAGATAAATAAAATAAAAATATAAGCAAACTTTATAAACGTGCGACGGCAATATGTGCTGCTCACCTGCCAGTTTCCCTAAACTGGTAAAAAACGCAATCCAAAACCGTCCACAAATATCACGTGATGTAAGCGTGAGAGATGATATATCTTCGAATAAGATGATTGATCCAGAAAAAAAGCAATAATTTTGCGAACAGAAGAAAGGAAAAATCAGTGGAAGAGAAGTCCAAAAGAGTCAACTGAATAATTTAGAAAAGAAAAAGCAGAACAGACCAACACACATTCGAGAATACAAAACGAGAAATTAATGATTTTTTAATCTGAATACATGAGTCAATTTTAAATCTTACGAAGACATTTTTTAATTATCTATGACAATTATATTTCATTAAGATAATAATGGCTATTAAATTAATTGTGTTAAAATGTGTAGCCAATTATATATAATTATATATAATTATAAATAAATATATATAATTATATATAATTATATATAATTATATATAAATATTATATATAAATATCGGTACATTCTCGAATAGAATAAAAGAAAAAATAGAACAGACATTCGAGAGAGCAACACACATTCGAGTACTGATATTTATATGTATATAATAATAATAATTCTCACGAGAGTCATTTTCTTTCCTAATAATTGTAAAATCATAACTTACATTGGCTACACATTTTAATAACACAATTAATTTAATAGCCATTATTATCTTAATGCAATATAATTGTCATAGTTAATTAAAAAAAGACTCGGGTTCGATTCCCGATTCACCAACTTCACCTCGATATTTTTCCTGTCTACATCTCTTCATGGGGATAAAGAGGGTGTCATAGAAGTCTCAAACCAAGAGAATCTATAACTTAGCATATACACCATTAAAATATATGTATAAATGCCTTGTGCACGTCTTAAAAAATTTTTCGCGAACAATTAATGTTTGAAAATTTATGCAGTACCATCCGCGTTTTTAGGCTCTTATTGCTCGTTTCTATTATCATGTTGCTAAATACATAGAGCCGTATTCTTTATCAATTTATTTAATTAAAAAATATTTTCGTAAGATTTAAAATTGACTCATGTATTCAGATTAAAAAATCATTAATTTCTTGTTTTGTATTTTCGAATGTGTGTTGCTCTGTTCTGTTTTTTCTTTTATAGATTATTCAGTTGACTCTTTTGGACTTCTCTTCCACTGATTTTTCCTTTCTTCTGTTCGCAAAATTATTGCTTTTTTCTGGATCAATCATCTTATTCGAAGACATATCATCTCTTACGCTTACATCACGTGATATTTGTGGACGGTTTTGGACTGCGTTTTTTACCAGTTTAGGGAAACTGGCAGGTGAGCAGCACACATTACCGTCGCACGTTTATAAGTTTGCTTATCTTTTTATTTTATTTATCTCTCCGTCATAATGTTTGCGCTTTCGTGCAATATTCATTATCTCAATCTGTATATTTTTATAATTTTTGCGATTGTATTTTGTATTCTGTTGGTGTCCGTTATCTCATTTCACAGCGACTTTATTGTGACATTGCTCTATGTTTATTATATTATTCCGGTACTTTCTTGACATTTTTGAATTTGTATGTATTCTCAGACATTGATAAGGATCCGATCAGGATCGAAACATACGTATGTCGTTTTCATGTGCGTCAAATGAAATTTCTTATAAGATCATTTATTAATTGATGACATAAAGTTTACTCTAATTTTTTGCTACTACCATCTTAGCGCTGTGATTATTAATTGCCTTTTTCCATTTTATTTATATAGAAAATATAATTCCTTTTGCTTAATCTCCTAATTTATGTTTACATTTATTTATAAAAAATTAAAATAATTTTGTAGAAAATTTAATACCAAATGAAGCAAACGATGTATACACAATGTGAGCACTTTTTTTCACTATAGTTTGCACTATTAGTATTTAGGATTATCTATACGATCTTATCATTTGACGAGCGAACGATTGTCGGAGATGACTGTTCGCGAGTTCACATTAAATTTAATACTGCAAAGTATAAGACATACATTACTAAATTTATACGCTAACAGCGATAGCAGTCACACACTTAATGACCTCGATAATACACAGCACTTTATGATAATACACAGCAAGCGATTTTATAAATTTATTATTAAATTTTATAAATTTATTATTTAATAAATTATTTTTACGAATAATAAAGTAAATAAGTTTTTTAAATATTTTTTTTAAATATTTACCTATTGATGTATACAATATATATATAAGTTATATATTATGTAATATATAATATATATAAAATATGTAATATATATATATATATATATATATGACCTTCGAGATTCTCTTATATATTATATCATATCTATTTATGCAAATGTATATATTTATTCGAAACAAAATATATGTATATATTTTGTTTCGAATAAAACTTTTTACGTAATGCTGTTATGAAATATATGGAAATGTTCGAAGGTTTTATATGTCAGAATACGTTAAAAATATTTAAGTGATTATGTTTCGATACATATGTTTATTTATCATATATTATTAATATTATCGATTATAAATTATTTATTATTTAGGGGTTTATATTATTACTTACAAAATACATTATATAGTCAAAAAAATAACAATATAAAATATTAATTAAAAAGAATTAAAAAAGAACACATAGACGCATTTAAAAAATTTTTGTCGTTTTACATAATAATTTTCGATTATTTATAGTGCAAAGATCATATGACAAATTCAATGCAGTAAATCATAAATTAAAATTAATTTGATTCGAATTATTATCTTTCACATTCAGAAATATAATTTAACACGATAAGATAAAAACATAAAGATTTCATATCTTGTTTTTATGGAATAATAATGGTTGTTTAATTTTAGTACAAATTTGATAAAAACGCGTTTTCAACATGAAAACCAATGAACAGAAATGCAGAATTAGTACATTGTAATTTAAAATAAATTAAATTAGTACTTAGTTATTTCAATAGGCAAAAAATCTACTCTGATTCTATTTGACAATTGCGTAGTTAACTTTATAACGCGCACAATTGCAAAAAACTGAAAACAGATTTGAACATACGCAATTGATGTAGGTATCTTTCGCACAGGCAGCACAGTTTATATAACTACCAATCCTCAACTAGGTCATACATTTTATGGAGACAATACGCATTCGAGATCTATTGATAATTACACAATTGTGATTAAAAACTTAGATAAAATGATGTTAAAAAGTTAAAGAAATATTATGAAATTATCTGAAATCATCTACAAAGTTACCTATCCATGATAAAACTTTTTTTCACCAAGTTTGTTTTCAAATAAGATATGATAAAATAAGCCATTACGAACATTCGTCGTTATTTTAAGTGTTTCTGCAATGTAAATCAACAGCGAATAATTCAAAGCAAAATTTAACAAAAAAGATTAAATAAAATTACATAAAATGTATGTAAAAACATAATGATAAGGAAAAATGCTATACAAATGTTAATTCGCCGAGGTATTTGTAATTCGCATTAACATATCTATACATTATAATTTATTCATTTGGAAACAAACTTATTGCATATACATTATCATATGTTGTAACACATATGTTGTACGCTTTTTATTTTTAAAAACCTGCATGATTTTTTTTATATATAAAAAGGAGAAGGCGCTCAAAATATAGATATTTTTGTATGTAAAATCGATAAATCAATTCCGAAGTTGCTTTAAATTGATCAACGCAACTGATTTTGCTCAACTGATTGATAAAATTCGCGCGTTTTGCGAAACATTCGTTTAAATGAAATTATCACACATGACTATTACGAGAATAATTCCAATGTGAACACAATAGGCCAAATTAGCCAGTTGAGCCGCTGAATTGTTTAAAATTATTTCACCCGATGGTATCCACGGTTCCCATGTATTATTTGTCTTTCTGGGATCTGCTAGCCAGTCTACTGGTATCTTCATCTGTCTCTTAACGATATGCCAATACTGTTCCAAGGATTTATCCAGTTCCCGAGAGATCTGCATAAAGGAAAGTGGATTATATAAGATTGTATACGTCATCTAAGCTAAGTACTTCATAACTTCGCTATCTGATTGATAAATGATCAAAATCTAGACGAGTAATTATACAAAATGGATAATTATTTGATAAAGCATTGTTATTAAAATAGCGTATAGTTTAATTTTTTTAAGCGTTTAATTTTTTAATTTATTAAAATTCTTTGAGTATTAAAAATTAAAAAAATATCTTCTGACTAAAAATGTTTACTGATCACGTATGTAAAACATTAATCTAAATAATTATGCAATTTTAGTTCGCACAAAATTTAACTTCTCACCCTTGAATATTGCTCGGCAATGTTATTCGTTTCGCAGGGATCATTATTAACGTCAAAGAGACACTCGGTAACGTTGCATGTAAGAAAAGATCTGTTTCTAGACCGGCAATTGACAGTTGCTTCGCGTCGTAATTGAATTATCGTGCTAGGTTGAGTAACTGGGTCACCCAGGAAACTAGTGATGGTCTCTGATACCACACTCCTCAAAATGGTCTCGGTGTACGGCGGTACGTCTTCTTGTACAATTGTCTTAGGATCACTAGGCATGATAAGCATTATAGGCACGTTTCTTTCGATATGATCATAAAAATATCCATCATATAATCCGCCTTCGATTGAACCTAAGACATAAGATGACTTCTCAAAAATATACTAATTAATGCAGAATTATTGCTAATAAATTAACGAGCTATAAAACGATATCTGTTAAATATCACAGTTTTATGAATATCAAAAAACTATGAGTTTATGAGCAAATATACTTTCAAATTTTTTAACATATTATACAATTGAAGATCTAAATTTTCATTAATAATACTTTATAATTCCACATTTTATCTTTGTGTATGTGAATTAGAATTATAATTAAATCATTATTTGGTTCAATAATTCTAATTGTAATAATAAAGTACCTCGAACAAGTTTGAACTGTTTATATATGGCACCCTCGGTCTTAGAGACCTCGTCGATGTTAAGTAATAGTCTGTCCCTGGCACTCGGTAGACTGCCATTCAACATGCACCATTGATCGATTCCGTCGATCTCTCCCAAATCTCTCACATCACCACCAGCGATAGAATATAGAGTTGGCAACCAATCGGTTACATGCATCAGCTCGTCACTTACACGTGCTGTCTTACGCAGTCTTGGTGACCACAGTAGAGCAACTCCTCTCACGCCTCCTTCATACAGTGTATATTTCATCTATCGTTTTATATATATAAATTATAATCTTGTTTTATTATTGTTTCTTAAACTATCAAAGCGATCCATAAGTTCGCACATATTTTTTTAGAAGTTTTAAATGATATATATATATATATATATATATATATATATATATATATGTATATTTTTCTTTACTATATTAATTACAATTCCATTGAATTTGTTATTCTATTTATCAAAAGAAAATTGAACGGACATATTTTTATCATGGAATGTCACGAACTTATTCGATATGTGGTTAATTATGATTTAAGATACATACACCTCGTAAGGGGTAATTGGAACCATAATTGCGAAATTTGCCAATGGGTGCTGCACCGTTATCAGTTAGAAAGAGAATCAGTGAATTTTTTAACATTCCTTTGTTACCTAAGGCCTGAACGATACGTCCAACGGAATTATCTAATCGTAATACCATTTCTAACAAAACAATAATAAAATATAAAACATGAATTATTTTTTCATATATATTCTGTCAATTTTTATGCTAAAATTATATTCATTAACTTAAATCAATATTGCGTAATATGTAGATATTTATTTAATGTAAACTTTTATTGTAACCGATGATAAAATTAATATTAAATACGACTGATACTTTTATTTTGCTTTTAAAAACAATATAATATTACGTACTTGCATATTTGCGGCGATTTATTTCCCGAATATGCAAAAATTGACTATCATAATGATTATAATCTTGCGGACCCTCGAGAGGCGCATGAACAGCAAGATGTGATATTTGGAGATAAAGGGGTCGAGATGGATCGTAATATTCGATAATTTTGATTGCTTCATCGGTGAAAAAATCAGTCACATATTTGTCAGTTGATCCGTAAGCTGGAGCATCACCGCGATGCATATCATATCCGCTCATATTCTAATAAAAAATATCGAAATATAACAATAAAATGTGTAATAAAAAGTGAATTATATAAATCAAACATGAATTTTCATGATTATTGTACTGGATTATATATAAATAAAATATCTTAATGTATATGTTATTGCGCTATTATTATTATATGTATACATGATCGTCTTTAGTAAGAGAAAATCGTGTGTATTTAATTAATTTTTATTATATTATTCATCTAAAAATAACGCTTTCGTTAAAAATAAAAAATAAAGCCTTTTGGATATTTATTTTGATTGTATGTTAATTTGTTATGAAATAATAATTGGCTCAAATAATCAAAATATATAATTAAAATATATGCCATACCTGAAACGAATACTTATAGTTATAATACGAAACGTGACTATTGTAAAAGCCAAGAAAGGAATCGAAACCCCGTCGCAAAGGGGTGTGCTGAGGTGTGTAGTACCCTAAATGCCACTTTCCGATCAGTTTCGTCATGTATCCCAAATCTCGTAGAAATTCCGGTAATATCCTCACATTGAGAGGAATCCCTCTGGGTTCACCACCCTGTATATCTTCTCCCTGCATACCTGCATGAAGAAGACAATATATAGGCACACGAGTGACAAAAATACGCACGAATGCTAATGTTAATTTTTGTAGCATTATTGTAGTTATACTTATTATTTATTGTTTAAACGCTCAATAAATTGACACATCCTGTTATCATTATCATGTGAGAGTCGATCATATAAATATAATATATATAATAATATACATAAGATATTTTTTTCTCTATTTTTTTTATACAGAAAGAGATATCTTCTCCAAGTTAAAGAAAATGAAAATGACAAATTTATTTTTTATTGAAAATTTTGCAAAATGTATTCAAAAAATTGATTCAGATCAAAGATACTATTTCATGATATTATCGTTTACTGAGCGCAATCAATAAAAACATATACCCATGCGTATCGGATATTGTCCGGTGAAAAAGGCAGTTCTAGAAGGCGTGCTAGATGGTAAGACATAATGTCTGTTTAATATAATTCCATTATATCCCAAAGCATCTATATTTGGAGTCCGTATCTGATCCGAGCCATGAAAACCGACGTCATCCCATCCCTAAAAATTTGAAGCATTATTTGTTTTTAGCACGTTAAATAGATAATCAATAGTTACATTGAAATATTAATAATTTATTGTTTTGGCAGAAAACAAATATTTCTGTAAAAATTTTATTTATAATGCTACGATAAGTATGTATGTATATATACATCATGGTATTATAAAGAAGATTCTTATACAAAAAATTGATTTGTACAAAAACATTGCGTTACCAATATTTCTATGTGATTAAAATATAGAAGGGTAGAGAGTACTTTCCTTTTTTCATATATATACGTATAACGCACCGGAAGTTTAATATATAATAATTACATGATCGAATTAAAGTATAATTGACGTGTAGGGAATTAGCATTCGTCAAGTAGTTAGAATGAGTCACAATCCACGATTTGATCGCGGAGGCGTGGATAGTACGTAAGTCACGATAATTAACTTAACTAAGGATAATTTTAATCATACTTTCGTACAAATTAATCGGGATAAATTAAACATACAATGTAAGCATAAGTAATAATAGTTTATGTCAATTATTATAGAGCGTAAATAATTTTTGACTTCTTTGTTGATGTATGTTTCAATATTCTCCGCAAAAAACAAACAAATTAAAATAAATTTATTCTACAATCTTATTTATTATACAATCTTTAAAAGAACATTATTTTTAAAAATAATTATTTAGATAATTTATTTTATTTTATTTTAATAATTTCGTTAGAGCATTCCTCACTATTAAAAATATTATTTCCTTGTCAAATACGATTAAAATACGATTAAAATATATCTTCATTTTCACATATCTTACCAAATCATCAGCCATGATGACGATTATGTGCGGTGCTGATTCGTATAAGCCCAGTGTAGTTCCAAATAATACAATAAAGTATGAAACAAGTGTACCCCCAGTTGTGGTTGAACGTATCATCTTTGAGACGATTTAAAAAAATTTTCACATATATGAAAATAAACACGTGCTCAGAGAAAACACTTTTATGTACTTCTGTTCACTTTGCGTTACACGGCAGCAATAACTTCATATGCTAACAAAAGGTATAATTATATATATACGATGCATATACATCTACGATGTCTTACGGGATACAGAAGAGCAAGAAGAGGACGTAAACAGGTTTATATATGGCCCACCTACAAAAGCACGTCATGAATGGATCATGCGAAGGAAGGGCAGATATACTAATGATTACCACAATGACGAGAATATATAACGTGTCTTATAACGTAACTTATAAATTAGGTTACTTCTCATTTTACATTCTATTCTCCCTACTTATCTAATTCCCACTGCGACTTACGATCGCGTAGAATTTAAGGAACGTAACATAAGAGCTTTTCCCGCGGTGTTCTTTTACTGACATAGTTTCATTCTCTTTCTTTCTCACGTTTGAAAAGTTTATTGCTTATAAAAAATATCTATAATATCTGAAAAAAAAAAAAAAAAATTATTAAAAAATAAAGGAAATGAACAAGAATTGATTATATAATTCGTAATTGTTAACATGAAAAATTTATATAAAAAATATTTAAATACTTTTCTATTTCTTTATAGTTCTATCTAATCTTTCATTCTGGACTTTTCTGATAGAATTAAATATAATTCTTTAACGAAATTTTACGATATTTCATAGTAAATTATTCTTTTTATTTTTTTATAAAAAATTATTATATTTATATTATTAAAATGATAGATTTTTCCACCTGGGGCTGCGTTCAGAAATATCACCCGAGTATACCCGAGTGTACCATTTTATCCTTGTTTAATATTCGGTAAACAACAAAGATAAAATGATACCCGGTAGTATTCGGATGATATTTTTGAACACAGCCTGGCATATTATTAAAAGGGTAGTTTTTTCACTTCTTCCTTTCAATTCTTACGCATGTGCAAAACGCACATGTCGCAGAATATTTATTATTGTGATATTAGTAAGTAAAGATATAATTCCTCGTGATGAAAAAAAATACAAAATGTAAAATAAATTTTTTCATTCTTTGATTAGGTAGTTTTTCAGGATTATTTTTTTAATTCAAAATAAAATACAAATCTATTTGATACCTATGTGCGTCTATTGATTAATATAAGGCACTTATGTTTTATCATAGGATTTACTTATATTGTATTTATATTATCAATACGAATATTGTTAACAATTTAATGAATTAACACATCTATTTATTTATTTATTTATATACTTTGCATTTATATTATTATCATATATGAATATTGTTAATTTCATGAATTATTTCATATATATGATTTGATTGAATTTTGAATAATTAACTTTTATAATAATTATAATAAAAAGTGTCTTATATCTCTCTCGCTTAGAATTTATTCAATAATTTCTTAAAATAATCAATCTCTCATAATCATAATTGTGAATATATATTAATATGATTTTTAACATTAAGAATTATATTGACGTTTCGCTACAACTTAAACAGTATTAAAAGATTTTAATATAAGTATTAAATATATACATTCACTGTGATGTAACACATAATTTTTTATATTTTTTATATTCAAAATAACTTTTTTGAAAACGTAAACAGAATCAAACAAAAATTTATTGCATTTTTGTTTCCATATAGAAAAAAATTGTTTTATATCGATTATTTTATTATATGTATATATCATGTCATGATAAATGTCAATCCTCTTCATTAGCATTATCAGTATTAATATTATATTAATGCAATGACTAAAATATTTAAATTTATAATTGGAAACGTTTCGACCAAAATAAATACATATCTACATTTACAGTTAGTTTTTACATACAATAATTGATAAATAGTATAATTATAATAGTATAATATTGTATATAATATGATATATAGTATATATTGCGCTTGTTAAGTATTATAAACTTGTAATTCATGATTTAAAAATATATGATGAATTAATAACAAGAATACAAAATATAAATAATGAGAATAAAAGTCAATTAGTTAGGATAAAATAAAAGTAAGAGACACTATAAAGAATATTAAAACAAAGAATATAAGTTACAGTAACAAATTTATTTAATTACAATTTGTCCTATAAAATATGTGCATATTCCTTTCACATCAAGAAATGTTTAAATTATGTATATTACATTTTTGTTATAAAGATGGAGAAAAGGCTAAGTTTTAAATTCTTTTTCCTTTATTTTTCTATGTACATATCTAACTTTTTTATCCTAAAAATGATTTTTTCTAGATCTGAATTATATATAATGTATATATATAGAAATTTGTATATATAAAATATTCGATTAAAAATACAGGTACGATCAGATCCCATATATTTGACATTTATTATTTTAAGCTACAAAATATTATCAGTTTGCAGAATTGCAATATATACATGAAAAAATCTTTGGTGATCAGACTTTGTGCTTTCACTTGAATCATTTTGATATTTTATATAGTATTTTAATGTAGTTATTTTAATGTAGTTATATTATCGAGATCTTGCATTTTATTTATAGTATGTAGATTGTCCCACCAATGTAATAGTTTGTATTGATACATTAGACGGAACCATGGTGTCAGTGGTATCGTAGTCTTCACAAAATTTTCAATCTCTGCTCTAGGCATCCATCGAACCTCGCTAACTTCATCAGGATTAGGATCTATAGTGATGTTATCTTTTTGCAAGAACAACACATAATCAATCTCATGTTCACCCCAACGTGTATTACTCATTGCTTCATAGTAGATTCTTGTTAAATAAAAGAATTCATGAGGTTTGATTGCATCATTAGGTATACCCAGTTCATAATGGAGTCTTCTTATTGCTGCTCTGCGTACACCCATAGCATTCTTCTCTTCCATTTCAGATGGAATTTCTGCCAATGGATGACTGCAGCAAGTATTTGTGTAATGATCTGGGAATGTTATCTAGATGTGTAACAGAAATTTGACATATAAAGATAAATTTTTTAAGCATTTATAGCCAATGTTTCCAAAAGTATGAGAAAGATTATTCTATATTAATTTAATCACATGTCAAGATAAATAAATAATTTTATTTTGAATTTTAATTTCCAATAGATATATAATGTTATATATATTAAAACTGAAGTCTATCTATTTTCACACTAATATAATCTATTAATTTTCATTAAAACTATTGAAATAAAATATTCAATAAATATTTATATCTAAACAACATGATAATTTAATAACGAGCACTAAGAGCCTACAAAACGCGGATGGCAATGCGTGAATTATTTCGAACATTAATTGTTCGCGAAACATTTTTTAAGACATATGCACATATGCCAAGTTATAGATTCTCTTGGTTTGAGACTTCTATAACTAAAAATATTTATATCATTAAAAATAAATATTTATATCATTTAAAATATTCAAGATTATCTTAAAGTATAATATAATATATAAGTCTCACCTTACTACTAGATCGTTTTTGAAGTAACAACTCTCCTTTGTTATTGAATAAAAAAACACTGAATGCTCTGTGAAGCGGTATACTTCCTTTTGCATTAATTTCATGACAAAATTCTTTTGTAGCTTCGCCGATAGGTCTATCCAATTTGTCTATAAGTATACAACGTTCCTTCAAAGCAGCTTGTTGTAATGATGCTATTTGCGCCGTTCCATAATTCTTTCCTATAGATGTTGTAATCTTGTGTATAATATTGCAAAGCTTCTTAGATCCTCCTTGTATCATGATGGCAAGTTGGAGTTAACTCTCTCACTGCTACACAGCAACTAGCTATAAGTAAACAGATACAGAGAATACTACTTTTTTTTTTAGAATGTATAATGTGCGCTAATATATTATGATTCAACCTTGCAGAATATAATTTTGTGTTTCGAAATACAAAGATAACAAAAAATTATCGTAAAAAAATTTCGAATAAATACAGGTATTATACGCGATATTCGTGCCTTTTTTTACCTAGGTAGCATTAGAAACACTGTTGAACTTTCTAATTAAAAAAGCAATTGCGTGCCAGTTCAGTATTTACTCGGAGAGTAATAATTAAAAGCAACGGACCAAGTCTACACACGTGGTTAACTATACGTTACTAAATGTCACTTGTCACCATTTTTTTCAGTCGTTCCCGTTATCGTTTACACAAGCTAATTTTTATTTGTTCTCGAAATGAATAGAAAAATTATATATGATGACACATGATATAAGTTAATACGATTGAAAAATGTGTCATTCATATGTATGTAGAAATACGTCAGACTAGACGTCAGACCGAACACGCGATCGCATTAGCATTCATGGTCATGGCCTACAGCTTCAAAACTCACAATGATTGAAAAAAATTCCATGAATGCATTCAGCATCAGGTCTATTCTCCTCAACTGACTCACTGCACTAGTTCAGAGGTTATCTTTTTTACTCTACATTGAAAAGAAAAAGATAACTTCTGCAAGTACAGCCAGTTCAGTTAAAGAGAACAGACCTCTTGATTGAATAAATTGACGTTCGTTTAGCTATTTCACCCATCAGTTTCACTATTTAGCTTCGGTAACGTCAATACATTCGCTTCGGGCATAGGTTGCGGTTAGCAAGACGCTGAAGTTGCTTTGAAGCGTTGAGTGGCCAATCAGAACGAAAGATATAAAGATTTCTTGAACCTGATTGGTCAATTAAACGCTTCAAAGCATTCTTAGCATCTCTCCTATCGTAGTCATAGACAAAAGCTTGTAAAGAGTTGTCGCTGCATAATAATACGTGTCGATCGCTGCATTACCGATCTTCATCTGCTGTCACTTGCTATCTCTTGTTCATGCATATGTCATGGTCGGCGCGTGCAATGGTATAAAATGGCTGCCGGGAAACGTCAATATATTTTATATTAACAAGAGTCTGCCTTTTTGTAAATATTCGCGCGGCGCAGGGAGACATCGCAATAAGGACTGTCGTGTAAGGCATGCCGTTCAACTGACCGGCTCGATACTCGTCCGTAATCGCGTGTATGTGAAGTGTGCGTCGACAGGATGGCGGAATTTGTACGCGGCGGACCCAGCGTGTCCAACAATGCCAAGGTAAGTACGAGGAGTATTATTCATCGTCCGTCATACGTCATTTCTTTGTTATACGGCGTTATAAAAGGAAAGCGCGATCACCGTAATGCAAACTGCTTCACGTCTTTCCAATTTAACATTTTACTTCCTTTCCGAGTTTTATCAGCGTGCTTTGTACATTTGTGACTTATCTTAATGTCTGTCGTTCGGTGTCGTCGGACCGATATCATTAATTCTTCGATTAAGCATAAAAAAAATGTGCATGCTTTATATTATATTTTTGTTTATTTTTTCAAATTGTATAGTCTAGTATAACATTTGTTGCATTAAAATGAAATTGACATTCAGTAACATGTCAAAATGGATCAAATTATTGATACATGTATATGTATAAAATAAAATTTGGTAGAAAGTAAAAATGAAAGATTGATTTCATCGGGTATATAATCATATTTTTATAGATGGAACATAGTAGTAAAGGCGGATCTCCCAGTACAGGAAGCGAAGATGGCGGTCAAAATGAATCATTAAATGCAGAGAATGAATTTGATCCCTTTCTTGAAAATATACCAGATGATATACAAGATACGGAAGAACCTGATGGTGCAAATGCTACCTTATTAACAGCACCACCAGAAAATCAGTGAGACTGAATATAATTTATCAATTTTTTGCAAATATATGATTTCTTTACGATAAAGTTGTATGTTAATGCAAGGCTGATTGCATTCACAATCATAGAACCAAGATTAAAATAGAAGCGTACAATTTTTCTTGCAGGTGGTATCATGGTAGATTAGATAGATTTACAGCAGAAGAAAGATTGTGGGATGCGAGTAAAATGGGTAGTTATCTGGTTCGTGAAAGTGATAGGAAACCTGGAAGTTATGTTTTATCTTATTTGGGGAGAACTGGAATAAATCACTTTCGAATTACAGCTGTCTGTGGAGATTATTATATTGGTAAGGATTAAGATATAATTTAACAATCCTTGGCCATACATAACAAATATTTAAAACAACTTAAAAAGAAATATATATATACTTTAATAGTTGTATATTATTTGAGAGATATTTTATTTTTGTGTGCACATGAGGTTCATTCTGAAAATTATACAAGTCAAATTTTAAGATATATTAAATTAATACATATTTATAAAATGTTTTTAATGTATAAATTAAATGACATATATAAAATTTTCTATATTTGCATTATTTTGTATGTAGAAATCCTACATAAATGGATACTTTCTACTTTGAAATAATGTTGTAGGCGGTCGCCAATTTAATAGCTTATCAGATCTAGTTGCATATTATACTCATTGTTCGGATCTGCTAAAGAGAGAAAGACTTATACACCCAACACCACCTCCTGAACCAGTAAATGATAAGAAACGAATTGTCGCGATATTGCCATATACAAAAATGCCAGATACTGATGAATTGAGCTTTCAAAAAGGTGATATATTTTTTGTGCACAATGACATGGGTGATGGGTGGTTGTGGGTCACTGCTCATAGAACTGGTGAACAGGGTTTAATATTTCGAGAATTAGTGGAGGATCTCGATGATTCAATAGATCCTAACACAGTGTTTTCCTGGTTTCATCCTAATGTCACCAAAAGCGAAGCAGTGGACATGCTGGTGAAAGCAGGACCTGGAAGTTTCCTAGTAAGCAAATAATTATACTTTTTATTTTATAAATAATATTTTCTATTTTAAAATTTTCTTGATTTTATTTATTTTTATATAAATTATATTTTCTATTATAGGTCAGACCATCGGACAATAGTCCGGGAGATTATTCACTTTTTTTCCACATAAACAATCAGATACAAAGATTCAGAATCGAAAAAAAAGGAGTAAGGTATCTAATGGGAGGTAGAACGTTTGAATGTCTTGATGCTGTTATTAACAGGTATACCTTTTGCTATTTTGACTTTGCACAGAAATAATTTTGACATAACTTTTACTTTTAATATTATATTGTAGATATCGAAAAGAACAAATTGTGGAAGGGCATACTTTAGTTCAAGCAATGGTAACTGAGCCTGATGGTAGTGTCAGAGTAAATAGAGAAATTCAACATGCCGAAAAAATATATGCGACTTTGAGAGAATGTCGAGAGCAATCGGGAGCGAAGAAAAACAAAGGAATTAAAATGCAAGGATATTTGGAAAAGAAGTCTGAGAAAAATAAAAAATGGAAAGCATTATATTTTGTGTTGTTAGTGGACGCTACCGACACACATCTTTATTTATATGACAATCCTAAAAGAACCAAACCAAAAGGTCTCATCGACTTGAGTTGTGCTTACTTATATCAGGTGAGAAATATACACTAGAACAGTATGTAATATAGTGAAACTTTAAATCCTATTAAAGTTTATAACATAAAAATAATTGCTATAATACAATTGTTATAACATGCATGATATATGTGCAATATTTCATGGGCAATGGCAAGAAATAACATTTTAAAGTAAACGCAAGATGAGTTATTAAGGTATCTTTTTAGGTCCACGAAAGTGTATTTGATAGGCCTCATTGTTTTCAATTAGTTGAACGTGCTTTACCTTGTCTGGCCACCATAACTTACTTGGCTGCCCCAAATTCCGAGAACGCATTAGATTGGATTAACGCCTTGAAACCATTATGTGTATCACAACTTACTCGTGCTCCAAAAGTTGCTCGTCTCCGTGAATTACGTTCGTTGCACTTGCATATCTTAGACGCGCATAGGCTTCCATATAAGCTAGTTCCGAGTCCATTTATTATAGTGGCTCTAAACAATGTTAAAGTTGCTCGCACGAAAGTTAAAACGGGATTACATCCACTCTGGGATGAGGAATTTATTTTAGAGTATGTATGCGCGATTTTTATACAAAATAATTACTTTATATATACAAATTTTATTCAATTGCTTTTATTAATATGCTCAACAGGGATGTACCGCCGGATGTTATGTCCTTTTCATTGACTTTATATAATAAAGGCAAGCGCAGCAAAGACACAGAGGTTGCGGAATTAACAGTTGAACTGGCGAGTTTGACTAACGGCGAAGAAATGGATGAATGGTATCCGTTATCGGGAGTTACACCTATCGGGGAATGGGGAGCATTACGTTTACGCATACGGTGAAGATAAAGAATCTTTTTTAAAACATTAACATTATTTTTTTCATATTAATACAATAATATACGTGTGTGTATATGTATGTATATGTATATATATATGTACATGTGTATTTTACAGATACAGACACGATTTAGCTATGCCTCCTGAAGAGTACAGTCCTCTTCAACAGTTATTGCTAGATCCAGAACTGCATGTTGTCAAGGCTTTAGCGGATGTATGTCATTTAGATAGAGTACCCCTGGCAAATAGTCTTCTTAGAATTTTTAGGTACAAATAATTATCTTGTATGATCATTTTTAATTATAAAAATGAATTCTAATATCATTATCAAAATAATTTTTTAGGCATGAAAGAAAAGAGGCAGATCTTCTACGATCATTGAATCAAGCAGAAGTAAGTTAGCATTTGGTTATTCAGATATAAAATATAAACACTTAATTATAAAATGCATTTTATTTAGGTTGAAAAAGAAGATGAAACACCAACATTGTTTAGAGCTGCCAGTCTTACTACTACTTTGATGGATTTATATATGAAATCCGTTTGTACTTCATTTTTAAAAGCAGCTTTACGTGATACAATTGTGAAATTAATTGAAAGTAAACAGAGCTGCGAATTAAATCCAACAAAAATGGATTCTCCAGAAGATGCTTGTAGTAATGCAGAATTTTTATTACAAGTATATAATTTTTTTGCAATTTTGTACTTTGTAGTTAGACAATTATATTAATGCATAATTTTTTGTGCTTTGTTTTGTTTTAGGTTTTGGATGAAGTTACATTGAGTATTTTCACGAGTCCCGATGCTTGTCCGAGGACTCTCAGATACATTTGTGGATGTTTACAAAGAGCAGTAGTTGCTAAGTGGCCACATGAAAGACTAGTCAGAACTCGGGTAGTCAGTGGATTTATATTTCTACGCCTTCTCTGCCCTGCCATATTAAATCCTAGATCATTTAATCTAATAGCTGAGCCACCACCTCCATCTGCTGCAAGGTATATTATACATAAATTAAAATTACATAAATGTAAGATAAAGATAAAGAGAATATCTCTCATGTTGTACTTTTTTTTTGTTTAATTTGAATTACTTATAGATCATTAGTCATGGTGGCAAAGTGTCTACAAAATCTGGCTAATTTAGTGGAATTTGGTGGAAAAGAACCATACATGGAAGTTGTAAACCCATTCATACTCAAAAATAAAGAACGAATGGTAGTGTTCCTTGACCAGTTATCTGTAAGTTTACTTTATATATTTATTTATATTATTTATTAGAGACTTTTGATTTTTATTGTTGAGTTTAAATGTTTGCATTGTATTATTCATAAAAATTTTACATTAATGTAGTAAAAAATAAAAATTTGAATTTATATAAATAAATTCATATAGAATGTTACTGAGAAGCCAGAATCAGAAGGTACAGATCCAAGAACCAAGAGCGTATCCGACACTGCAAGAGATTTGGCGACATTACATCATATTTGTGTTTCACATTTGAAGGAACTTCAGGTTTTGTCAAAGACACAGGTATGTCTATATTTTATATAATATAAACTTTATATATATATTATACATGTATATATATATATATATATATATATATATATATATATATATATATACACTTTATATATATATGTATTTTATATATATATATACCTTATTATGTAGATATTCTCTCTCAAGGCATGTGCATATAAAATACATTTAAAAATACATTATTATATGCATATAAAAATATATTTATTACTTATAGCCGACGATTAAACAATTGGTAACAGTGACTGAAATGTTGAGCAAACATAAGCAGAAATATATGGAGATGATACGGTAGTGCTAGAACCATCAGCCATGAATAATGCCAAACAATAAAACGATTTATAAAATTTGACGGATAACGTATAGTAATATTTAATAATTATAATTAAGTGATTAAACGTACAGACTGACGTGCCATATATATTACTGTATACACACTCAAGCCTACATTTACTATTTCATATGTAATTAGAAGTTAGTTTATATATATATAAATATATATATATATATATATATATATATATATATATATATATATATATAGGCTACGATCGGGAAGACGCTCTGGATGCTTTGAAACATCATTCTATCTTTATTCTCATGGAATGTAGAACAAGGATGATGTTTGACAGCATCCAGAGCGTCTTCCCGACCGCAGCCATAGTGACACACAGTAACATGACAGTGATATAGATACATACAGAATCATATAGGCATATAACAATTTTATATTTACTTAGATGCTCGAAAATAAATGCAACTTTAATCGAAATATTTCAATATTTTTAATAATTCTTAGCCCATTATCCCAAGTGTAATTAAAGTCGCGCACAATTTCTATAAAATATTTATATTGAATGTAAAATGCATATATCAAGGTAAATAAACTAAACTGATATTATTTCGATATTATTGTATATTTCAAGAACAGATATAACTTTATTATGAACATTTTGCACATATCTTAGATGGAAGATGAAATATGTTAAAGATAAGTTTATATATCTATATATGTATATCTTAATACATTTTTAAAAAATTTTAACAAATAATTGATATAATCAAACTTTACATAAAATTTTTGATTTACAAATTTTGACTGTAATATAGTTGAAACATGAATATCATTGAGTAGTATTATATATGAATGTAAATTTATTTCTACATAAAAATTCACATGTCAATGACAAAACATTGTTAGATAAAATTACAAAGTTGATTTTATGATATAATTAATGTTACAAAGTAAATAATGTGTGTACGTGAGTCATAACGATCATATAGGCAAGCATTCGATATGAATGCTACATAACAAATAGATTTTATACAAAGTTTTATTATGAAACTGAATTATATGTAATATCTCTATACTGTGTATACTTATATATACACATACACATTTCTTTTCATTAGCCAGAAATATTAATATTAAAAAATATTACATATATATGAGAATATGGAAGTTTGTAATGTTTGCATTGATTAACGAAGGATTTAACCCTTGATTGTTCCATTGTTTATAAAGCCTAGCCATCAATATTTACGTTGTATGTTAATTGTAAAAAATAAATTCATTGTATGTCGAAATTATTTTATTGTCAGGAAAAAAACTCAATTAACTTGAGTATTGTATTATTAGTGTTCGTCGTTTATATATAAAATTATGAGTATATCGTAATAAATCGTGATTAATATTTTAATGAACTATTCTATTATCTATATTATAGTGTAAGTTAGCAAATTATTAATACAGGAGAAACGTAAAAATTTATTTCTTACTATCTTAATTTTCTCCAATAGCGCAGGATGTTTATTCTGTATTTACTTTTCTTTTAAAATTTAAAGGAAAGTTATAGTTTTAAGTATATTTAGATTCTTATATAAACCTGTAGAGAAAAATACATATTTATATCCATATGCTATCAGTAATTATAGTAAAAAAAATATAGCTTTCTTGCAATAAATTCATTATCTCTAGAAATAAATGTACATTAGATGAATATTTAAGCCTTTGGTTAATAATATGTAGGTAGCACAAGAAATTAATACAAGAAAGCGATATTCTATCCAAATTTAACAATTTATGTTGCGAATTTATTTCGATATTGTTATACAACATACTCGCGTAATTTTATCCATATCTATCTCAAAAAAAGCAAGTTTCTTTAAGGATACATCTATATATTTACGCGCGTATATTCTCCTATAATTACTAAATAAAGTACTATTTATATATATATATATATATATATATATATATATATATAATATATATATAAATTGCAGACTTAATCATAACGCCTTAACTAACTTGATGTACTTAAAAATATCTAATCACAGCATATAATGAATTAAGTTTATAATATCTTTTCTGTGACTCAGAGTTTTTTTTACTGCTTTAGAATAATAATTTTATTTGCTTAGCTTTCATGATAAAAAATAACAATTGATCAAAAAACTTAATTCATAAATTATAAAACAATTTATACAGCGATTAAATTTTACTCTACTAACATATTATAATATTGCTGTTTGATTAAAATCCATAGTGCGCGACAAGTTAATAATTACAAATATCGACTAAATGTCTATAAGATAAAGAGTAATATATACATGTCACATTTTTATGCCACATGTTATCAATGGCCTCTATTTGTATTCTGTAATACAATTTTTATATTCTTTTCGGTATAAAAATGACAATAATATATTATGAGATAAATATGAGTTATCATCAAATATAATATTGGCGAATTAAGTTATAGATTTACAATTCTATAATTTTATAGGTATATGTATATGTGTATGTGTGTATATATATATGTGTATATATATATATATATATATATATATATATATATATATATATGTATACGTATATATGTGTATATATATATGTATATGTGTGTGTATAATTTTACATGTTTTTGTGCCAACATCATACATATGCAACAAAGAAAATCAACATTATTCTTTCACTCAATCAAGGGTTAAGATACTTCAATATAATGGAATTGCCTGGCAAACTGTTACAAGTAAACATTTCTTATAAAACATAAACCCATTAATAGAAACTATTATATAATTTGCTATTACATAATTTGTTCTTCTTTTCAATATATAGAAAAAATTGTGCTTGCAATTTATTACAATTTATATCGCAATTTATTCTATAAAGTAAGCTGCATATACTTGTGCACTGTGAACATAATTTAAGGCTCTTCTCATATTCTATTTTTGCGTTGTAATAAAGTTTCGAGTGAAAATATATATATTGGTGTTATCCAAGAATTTATAAAATACAGCATCGACGTTTCTTGTGTCCGCTACTACCGGGTGGTTTACCTGTACGTTCTTTATCTTTCCGTATTTCTCTGACCTGAAACGCGTGTATGATGAATTTTCGTCACTTGAAATTTTTCGCAAAAATTTCACTTGAAACATATATATATATTTAAACATTTTCATATGTAATATTATGAGTGTTGTGCCATATTAAAATGTGTGATATTAATAAGAATTTGTTTACTTACCAAAGTATAAAATGCATCATCTACACCCATTCTTGTTTTCGCTGAAGTTTCTACAAATGGCACACCATACTGTCGTGCGACTTCTCTCGCTTGGGTCATATTTACTGCCCAAGATTGTTGAAGATCGCATTTATTTCCAACTAATACCATTGGTACCTCCTCTGCATCTTTTACTCGTTTTATTTGTTCCCTATATGTTCCAATGTCCTATTAAACACATGATGCAATTATTAATCAGATAGATAAATATCTATATAATACACTTACTTCAAAACTTTTAGCAGAATTTACTGCAAAGACTAATAAGAATCCTTCTCCTGTTCTCATATACTGATCTCTCATTGCACTGTATTCCTCTTGTCCTGCTGTGTCTAAGATATCTAGAAGGCACGTTTCACCATCGATCACTACCTATATTAACAACAATATATCAATATATTTAATGAACTAAAAAGAGATACTGTACTTGTAAATTATTTTAACTTTTGAACAATGAAAGATTCTGACATGAATGGTGGTATTTGAATCCAAAAGACTCAGTCATATTATATAGTTTGTTTTATTATGACATATTGATTATGCTTGGATTAAGTTTAAATAATTCCATACAGAATGACGAGTTATTTTAAATTTTTATAAAACATTAAAGTTAGGTGTGAATAAAATAATATGCTTACTTGTTTTCTATATGAATCTTCTATGGTAGGATCATATTCGTCAACAAAATGATTTTGTATCAGTTGAATAGTAAGTGCTGATTTTCCGACACCTCCAGCTCCAACTACTACAAGCTTGTATTCCGTCATAATGCAATTTCTGTGTACAGCTTACAGGTTTTATTATTTTTTCTAAGTAGTTCCTTTATCTATAAAAATAATAGAATATATGTATATATGTATGCTATCAGTTTAAATTTTTTTATAAGATTTATATAAATATATAATATATATATATATATATAATTCATCATAGGAAATCATAATTTTTGAGAAAATTTTAATTTTACAGAAATTGAAGAAATATTGAGAGATAAATATATGATAAAATTATATCTATATCCTTTAAAATATATGTGTGAGAATATAAAGATTAGATTGAAGAGTTAATTTTATCAATTGATTATTAAATTAAATATGAACTCTATTCTCCTAAAAACCACTTCAAATATAACTGCTGCTTATGTAATTTAAAAACTTTAATCAACAGTTGTTATTATCATTCATGTTCACAACACAAGAGTAACTTTTACAACTGTACTTGTATGATCTTCTGCTAAACTTTTTTAATCTACTATCTTTTAACATGTTACAGCTAAGCAAATATCAATTTTTTTCAATGTATTAGAATTATAACTACAATTAATAACAGTATTCCTATCTTTCACAGAACACATAAATGATGTAATTTAATAAACGAAAGACCATTCACAGTAGAAACGATCTTCAAGCTATTGATAATAAAATATTGAGTGTTAACTTAGACTGTCTTCCGTTGAAAGCGAACATTGTATAATCATTGGTATTAGTCATCCAATTATTACTTAATAGAATAGAGAGATGCGCGATAGATGTTCGTTCATGCAACTTTTTCGCGATAATTTCGAAGGTGCGATGCCTTCAGCGTCGTAGACGGTTGAAAAGAAAGTGATATAAATAAAAGCGGACTCAACAACAATCATATGACGAAGGTGCGGACAGATCGATCGTAGCGTATTCGTGCGTCCTGATGATATGTGATCGTCGAACACGAGGAGGAATCATCCGACAAAGA